TTTAATTATATAATTTCTTAAATAATATTATTATAATTATAAGTATTCTTTATTTAATATAATAATTTAGAAATATTAATAATAAAGACTTCTCTTAATTCTTCTAAAAATCTTTTTTAAGAAATCTCTATCGAAGTCTCTAATAGTAATTCTTTATTAAACTTATTATTATTAATATTATTTTATTCGCTAAATTTATATAATATTATAATTAAAGAGATAATACTTTTTCTTATATTATTTAAAAGTATAATAATAAGATATATAGCGTTCTTAATATCTTTATTAAGATTATTATTTTTAAGAATTATATAATATCGATAATAAATATAATCGTTATTCTCGTTTTTAGATAGATCTCTTACTTATCGAGTAAGGCTATTAAATTTAATACTTTATTTTTTTAAATAATAAATAATATAAAAGTTAAATTCGAAAAGAAACTTTATCTATCTTACTTAACGAAAGTTTAATTATTTAAAAAATATAAAGTACTATAAGTTCTTATAATCTAAAATAACTTTAATAAAGTTCTCGATAAAAATATTAATTAATTTAAAATATTATTTTTTAAAAATTTATATTATAGCTATAAGTTTCTTATTATAAATATTATAATTATACTTTATAGAAGATATCTTTTTAAAAAGAAATATTATAGATTTAAGTATTTTATTTTTATCTTCTTATAATAGAATAATAATAATTATAAAATTAAACGCGTTTATTTCTAGCTAAGTCTTTTTATTTAAATTAAAATAAATAAATATAAAGATAATAGTAAAAGCTTTCTTAAGTATTTTAAAAGCGAGTTATTTAGAATATTCTTAAATTTATAAATAGATAAAATTTTTCTTCTATTAAGTATAAATAAAATTTATTAAAAATATAGCGATTTTAGAATATCTTATAATAAACTTTTAATAAAAATTAGCGAATTCTAAGAATATTTATATATCTTTAATATATCTAAATTTCTTCTATTAAGTAATAGCTTTAATTTTCTTTATATCTATTTTTACTTCTTTTATTATAATAATTAATCTTAAATATTTAATTTTAATAATATAAAAATTATATTTATTAATATTAAGATAAAGATTAGCTTATTAAAAAAAATTAATATCTTTTCTATATATTAAATATATTTCTTTTTAATATTATTATAAATAAGAATATTATCTAAATAGATAATATAGAATATATTTAGATATTCGCGTAAGGTATTATTAATAAATATCTAAAAAGTAATAAAGATATTATATAATTCGAAAGATATTACTATATATTCGAATAGGCTATACCGAGTAAGAAATATAATTTTTTCTTTATAATTCTTTTTTACTCTAATTTTATTAAAAGCGATTATAATATCGAATTTACTATATATTCTTATCGCGTATAATTTAGCGAGAGTCTCTTTAATTAATAAAGAAGTATTTTAATTAGAAATAATAAATACGTTAAAAGCTCTATAATTTATATATAATCTAAATCCTCTATCGAGTTTCTTTATTATTAAAATAAGTATTATATAAAAAGAAGTATTTAATTTAATATAGCCTTTCTCTAATATCTTATTAATATATTTCTTTATAACTAATATTTAATCTCTAAAAGCATAAACCTTCGAAGTAAAAAAGTTTTTAAAAATTTAAATTAAAAAGCGATAAAGAAAAGTTTATTAATTATAATAAGATTTTAATATCAGCTATTCGTAATATATTATAAAAATTATTCTATAACTATTTTATAATTAAGAGTTTTTCTAAATTTATAAAAAATTCTATAATCTCATTTTAATACGGCGATATTAATAATAAACTACTTTCTTATTAATAAAATTAAAAAATTTAAAATTTTAAGACTATATAATAATAATTTAATTTCTAATTTTTAATTATCTTAATAAAGATATAGATAAAAATCTCTACTATATTCTTTTTTTAAATATAATCTTTATTATATAATTTAAATTCTTTTTAAAAATTTATTATTACTCTAAATAATAAAAGTTTATATATAGTAATTTAAATTAAATATAATAATCTTAAATTTAAAGAATAGATAACAGTTATATTATTTTAATTATAATATATTTAAAATAATATTAAATTACTAATAAGATAATAAAGTATTAAAATTCTTATATAATTTTCTAAGATAAGTTTTATTAAAACTATATATATAATATTTAAATATAAAGATAAATTTATTATCGACTAATTATAATTTATAAGATTATATTAATACTACTTTAAATAGCTTATAAAATTTAATAAAAAATATATTTATAAAATTTAATATTAAAGCTTAATATTTAAAAAGATAATTAATCTTAATCTATTCTTTTAATATAATAATTTTTTATAAAAATCTAATTAATATCTAATTTATAAAGAGATTCTAATAGCGATAGTGTAAGCGAATAGAGAATAAAAGCGAGTATTCTTCTCTTTCTAACTTTTAATCTTTATATATAAAACTTTTAATCTCTAATAGCGATTTAATTAAAGATTTTTAAATTTTTAAATTTTATATATAATTTAGTAAGGACGTTCTTCTTAATATTAATAATTTTTAAAATTATATTAATTTATTTTTTTATTTAATAAATCTATATTTTTATATAAACTACTATTATCGCTAAAATGATATCTAATTTTTAAATATTTAAAATATCTACTTTCTTTTCAAATGCTATTTTTTAATAATTTAAGATACTTATATTCTTATATACGAGAATTTTTAATAATAATATTATTATTTCTTTTAATAAAGAAAGAATTACGCTAATTATTTAAGAAAGTAAATTTTTTATAATTATTATTAATTTTATTTATTTTCTTTTTACTCTTTAAATTTAATATATTATAATAGCTTAAAGATCTATATCTAATACTTATAAAAAAATTACTAATTCTTAATAAGTATTAAAAGATTATTCTAAAATTTAATATTTTAGACGTATAAAGATTAATTGTTTTAAATTAAATATTTTATAGATATTACTATATCTTAAAAGAGTAATAGTTATAGAGGATCGTATATAAAAGTTCTTAAATAATTTCTTTCTATTTATTACTCTTATATTAAATTTAAATTTAAATATCTTAATATTTAATTTAATAATTTTATTATATATTTTAAATATATTATCTAGTTCGTCGATTATTTCTTAGATAATTTAATATAAATTTAAGATATCTTCGTTTACTCTTATTTTAATAATATTATACGTAATAAACTTATAATAATTTTATATATAATTAATTTTTTTAAATTTAGTAAAGATAATTATAGCGCTTTATCTAAATTTCGCTTTAAGATATTAATACTAGCTATTCTACTATTTTAATTATTAATATTATAAAGTTTTAAAATATTAAAATATTATTTATTTTATTTTATATTCTTTACGCGATTCGTAATAAAAAAATTATAATATAAATTTTGATAAATATTATTAGTAAGAAAATTCGGCTAATAAAATATAATCTTTATATTTTTCTTCTCGAAAGTTTTTAAATTAGCTAATATATAAGATTATTACTTCTTTAACTATTACTTTTTATACTTTAAGTCTTATTTAAATTTCTTATCTTTTTAATAAATTCTATAATATTAATACGATATCTATTATATAAATCTCGAAATTTATTATTTATTTCTCGCTTATAGAATAATTAGCTATTACTATTACTTAGCTAAATAATAATTATTAATATCTTTATCTTAGCTTAAGCGATATTCTAATTAAATTCTTTATTTTATTATTTAAATATTTAAATATTATAATTAGTAGTTTAAAAGCTTTTTATTAAAGTTTTTAATTTATTATATTAAATATTAATAGTATTAATAGCGCTTTTTAAAAAAACTTATTAATTAGCGATGAGTATAAATATTATAATTAACTCTTCTTTAATATTATTTATAATTTATACTTTAATATAACTTAAATTAGATTTAATAATATATCTTCTAAAGATAAAATGTATTTTCTTATATTATACGAATAATATAATAATATTTAGAATCTTCTTATCGAAGTTTTTAAGTTCTTTTAAATAATAATATATTTATAATATATTTATAATAATTTAACTTTATCTATTATCTAGATTTAGAGTTAATAGATTTATAGCTAATATTAAATTAATAAAAGTATAAAGAAGATTTAATCTAGAGTTTATATCTTTTAGTATATTAAAGATATTTTTTTTTCTTAGATTTTTCTTTAATTTAGCTAAATTAATCTTTATATAAATAAAAGATTTTTTTTTAAATAATCTTTCGAGTAATAAGCTTAATTCAACGGTTACGGTGTGCCCAAAACCTCAAATGGGACTAGTGGCTTTCCTAAAGTTTTGCGTAATTCAACGGTTACGGTGTGCCCAAAACCTCAAATGGGACTAGTGGATTTCCTAAAGTTTTGCGTAATTCAACGGTTACGGTGTGCCCAAAACCTCAAATGGGACTAGTGGCTTTTCTAAAGTTTTGTGTAATTTAACGGTCGCGAACTGTTTTTCTTTATGAAGGAGTTAGATGGGTGACAAAGTTTTTATAACAACCACATGCTGTCGCATAAGATTAATATTTCTCTCAAAGTTATCCTTTGAGAAGACCTGGAGTAGCTGGGTCAGTTATTTATGGAATTCATAATATACGAGTATTACTTGTATACAATGATGGGTACGAGTAAATACGAGTAGTGCGGCGGACGATCAAGCAGCTAAACATGCACGATGCCCTACAGAGTCATATTTTGCACTACTATTACAACAACTGCATGTCCGCAAAGAAAAGGCCATGAAATGCTAGGCATGAGCTCAAGAAACTTGTAATGAGATAACGGTATCGGTTCCAAATCTACAATTCACGCTTGTCCATCATTTGACTTAAACAGTTGTCAAGCAAGGAACAGCGTGCTTTTGGCAAGCATCCAAGCGTCTAGAGTAGATTCTCCTCTGATACCTTCTGCAACATTAGACGCCGCAATGCTATCGGAACCCGCCCACCACACTTCTCAAACTAGCGCAGCTCTCCAATATCAATATGATCTCGTATGTATCGGGTTTGGGCCTGCGTCTTTGGCCATCGCTATTGCTCTTCATGACCGGGAAATCAAAGCTCGAGTCCTATACATAGAAAGACAGCGGACTTTCGTTTGGCATGCTGGCATGCTCCTTCCGAATGCCCGTATGCAGATCTCTTTCCTCAAAGACCTGGCCACTTTACGGAACCCTCGATCGAAATTTACATTTGTCAATTATCTCAAGTCCAAGAACCGTCTCGTCGCATTCACGAACCTCTCAACTTTCCTTCCACTGCGCGAGGAATACAATGACTATATGTCGTGGTGCGCTTCGCACTTTGAAGAAGATGTCCAATACGGCCACGAAACCATCTGCGTGTCACCGGCCGAGAACCGCATGGGACCCATCCAGGCATGGCGGGTGCTTTCCAGAAATGTCGAGACGAACGAAACAAACACCGTCACTGCGAGAAGTGTGGTCGTTGCTATAGGCGGGAAGCCCAGGATACCGCCTGCGCTTTCAACTGGCGGTCTTGACCGCCGGATTATCCATTCTTCTTTATACTCAAAAGCTGCCCCCAGTATCTTGACAGATGCAAACAAGGCACATAATGTGGCTGTTATTGGGGGTGGTCAAAGTGCGGCCGAGATCTTCAACGATTTGCAAAGTCGATATCCAAACTCCTACATCACTCTCTACACCGGAGCATCTGCGCTCAAACCCAGCGACGATAGTCCCTTGTGGGTCTTTCGCAACCCTGCAATCCGAGCACTACTGATTGCATCCTGATTCTCTAGTGTGAACGAGATCTTCGACCCCGAACGCGTTGACATGTTCTACGATCTCCCCACCGAATCAAGACTGAAAACCACCTGGAGCGACAAAGCAACGAACTACGGAGTAATACGACCCGAGCTTCTAGATCGTATGTACGAGAGCATGTACCACCAACGCTTGCATGAGCCGGACCAGAGTAAATGGCAGTACAAGATCGTGGCGTGGCGGGAGGTCGTGGGGTTTGAGACCTGTCCAGATCGTCGGATACGGCTGAAACTGAAGAATACTTCGAACGGGGAAATTACCATGTCGGATTCGAGCTTCGATCTAGCGGTGCTTGGAACGGGGTACGAGCGGAATGGACATGAGACACTGTTGGAACCTGCGCGGCATCTGCTTCGGGAGAATCGGTATGCCGTGGAAAGGAACTACAAGGTCAAGTTCCGCAAGGACGCCGTGGCAAGTGATTGTGGGATTTGGTTGCAGGGCTGCTGTGAGGATAGTCATGGGGTAAGTGGCGTACTCCTGCATCCATCCTGGCAAGCAATTGACTGACCATCGACACCCGTAGTTAAGCGATAGCCTCCTCTCAATCCTTGCCGTGAGAGGAGGCGAGATGGTGGACGCAATTTTCCCAATGCAGAGTCCAGGTCCAGGCAAATCGGGATGCGCAAAGCTTTGATGGCCTGTGCTGCAGTACTGCAGCTCGAGGACGACATAGGCGAAGAGCTGGGGGCCGTAGGTTGGGAACGCCAGCCTGTCTGTCTGTAATAGTTGTAGGCATCGTATATACAAACAAGCAGCCAAGAGGATCCGGTCAACAGGATGCTAAAATTTTTACTGCGTTGACATTACACCGTACCAGAAGCTAGCCAGAAAGTCTGGCAACGACACAGAAAAATAACAAGAACATCTTTTCTCACCCGCTCGCTCAGGTCTCCCACCGAATAATCTCGTTATACAACATATCGCTGGTGGATTCCATCATGTACTAGAATCAAACCTTAATCATAATTCTCAGCCCCTTCACCAAACAAACAAACTCCTTATTCGTCGAAGCCGCACCGTATGTAACCACCAAGACCCTGGGGAAAACCCCTTCGTACGTATACATCCGAGAGCCAACACGTGCCTCACCTCCGCGACGTCAGACGATCTGTCAGAGCATAGAACGATCTCTGGAGCAGACTGGAGCGGAGTGGAGAAGACTACCGTTTTTTACGTGGTGTGCGGGGGGGAACGTCCGTTGCGGTATTGTGTTACGTGCACGAGTTGGACGACTCCGTTCAGGGGTAAGGGAAAGGAATGGAAAGGAAAGGAAAGGAAGGGAAAGGATGCGGTTTGTAGGGTTGATGGTTACGTACTCCTCGTCCATGCGACTATGGGTTGTCGGGGGTGAAGAGGTAGTGCTGTGTTGAGGTTTCGTTCGCATAGGCTCTGGATTGTTATGTACGGGGCGGTAGAATGGGATGGGGGAGTTGGGAATGCTGATTGAGGATTGTGTTTTGACACGAGGTTGGAAATGACCCACGTCGAAGCCTTTGCAAACGATATCGGCTGGGAGGGTGGGTTGAATTGATGGTGACATTGGCAAGCTTATTGTGACTGTACTATTTTCGCCTCAGTATGTAATAGCATACTCGTACGCCCAATTCTCTTGCACAACTAGCGCAATTTCCAGCGTGGTTCTCCGCCTTGCGACCTCCTGAACCTTTTCCCTCGCGCTTTGAGAGCTTGGGCTAAGCAGATGGTTGAGTGCCCAGGGTGGTGAAATCTCCGTTATCATCGTTACCACCATGACCATCATGCCACAAGTCATTGACGGGGCCAATTCCATCTTGACCGTAATCTGCGCGAGGCTCAAAATAATTAGTCGGAATTTCATCTGAGGCTGAGGCTGAGGCATGCGGTCCGGCTTACTTTTCGTCATCCTCCACCAAGGGCCCCTTGCTTGTATCACCCAAAGACCACATACAGCCAATCGATGGAGCTGACGACTTCTGGGTAAAGCTGCTGAAGTTCTGTCGTCGGCTCAGGCGAAGTGGTCGATGGCGCATCATCTCCAGAAGCGCTTGGGGCGGCTCTGGAGAGCTTCCCAAGAATATCACTAAGAAGCAGATGTAGATTCTCGAGCAGACCCGTGACCGCTCGGCCGGTTAACGGTGAAGTATTGCCTAGGATGGACTCAAGCGAGGATTGACCCGTTTCATAAGCCTCAACGTTGGAAGTCCATACTCGCAGGCGGCTCAACTCGTTTGTCCAAGAAGCTGAGGGAACATCTCCCTCATGGCGATAGTCAGGCTGCTCCGCTCGTGTTTTGATATGATTCAAGGCTGCTAGGCATTTCGTAAGTGTAGTGCTGACAGAAGTTGGCATTGTTCCGTTCCTGCGGATCTGATGGTTGCTCTTAAAATCACTGATTTCTTTCAAAGTAATTGCGGAAGTAGGACGAGTCGAAGAGAATATTTCTTCAAGTAAAGGACTCTGGTTAGGTGGGTTTCATGCGTGACGGTCGTCTCAGCGGTGGCCAATCGAGAGCGCTTAATAAAGAAGACCGCTCAGCCATTTCCCCGTTGACACTTTACCTCCACTCTCCCTAAATAGGCCAGGCTGTAAGAAGAGATGTCACAATATTAATACGAGGTAGCTGGCCTCTGTTTCACCATGTGTGTTCAAGGCGAAGACCGGCGATGATACTTGCAGGCACCCGCAAAACAGTTTCAAACTCTCATGGTAGAAGATTAAGGGTACGCGAACAATTCCATGTTCTTGCAAGATGTCGGCTTCAAGACATTGATAGATTGATGGAAGATAATGCGTCTCTCGTGTCTCGTCAAAGTTGGCTGGCATACGGGGAAACTTTTCACCGGCGCCGTCTGCTGTAAGTCATCAGCTATCTGCAGCATCTGATCCTGGTCTTGAGGTTTTTTGTCTCAACACACATAAGCTGACACTGTTGCCTTGTTGTTGCCTCCCAATCTCTTTTCCTGCACGGCTTCATTCCTATCTCATACACACTGACCATAATGCTTCGATAACGCTTCTCACGCAACCGACTGGCCAGCCTCGCCGCCTTGAGCTCTCATATTTCAAACCATGCACGACCCATTCCCCTTTCCGCCGCCCTCACTGCTCACACATCTAACCACACCACTCGCTAACGCGCTCTCCTTGCCCACCCTCTCGCTCCATATTCACGAACTCCTCCTCGCAACCCTCGTCTACCACCTAATCTGCCGCTACATCTCCCCTTATGTCTCCAGCAAGCTCTTCCCCCGCATCTATCCTGCCCTCAGCGCCCGCACAAGACTGAACTGGGACGTCCACGTCGTTTCTTTATCACAATCGCTTCTCATCAATACGCTGGCTCTATGGGTCATGTGGATGGATGAGGAGAGGGGGAGGATGGGATGGGAGGAACGGGTGTGGGGATATACGGGAGCGGATGGCATGATTCAGGGATTCGCGGCCGGGTACTTTTTGTGGGATCTCATTGTGTGTGCGGGAAACGTGGGGGTGTTTGGATGGGGGCTATTGGCGCATGCGGTGGCGGCGCTGGTGGTCTTTTCGTTGGGATTCGTGAGTATTCCCTCCTCCCTTACTTCTCTGGGAAGAGTATAGTCCTGGGCTGCAGGGAGTGAATTCGACTAATGCGAACAATATAGAGGCCTTTCGTCAACTTCTACGGCCCCACCTTCATTCTCTACGAGCTCTCCTCCCCCTTCCTCAACTTTCACTGGTTCTTCGATAAACTTCACATGACCGGCTCCCGACCGCAATGGTACAATGGCATGTTCCTCCTCTCCAGCTTCTTCTGCTGTCGCTTGCTCTGGGGCACCTATCAATCGATCCGCGTCTCCCAAGATGTCTGGGCTGCGCTGCACTACGACCCTCTCACTAGGAGCTCGAAGGCAGTATTCGAGCCAGAAGCGGGGGGTGCGGACATCATGCGTTTTGCAGGCGACTATCCCATGCCGGCTTGGTTGGCTATTGTCTACTTGAGCAGTAATGTTGTGCTAAATACGTTGAACTTCTACTGGTTTGGCAAGATGATCGAGACAATTAAGAAGAGGTTTGTGGAGTCGAAAGAACAGAAAGGCGCTAGGAAGAGAGAGGGTAGAGAGGAGGGTGTGATGGTGGAGGGCTTAATGGATAGTAGTACGCTTATTACGGAGATTGCGGAGGATGAGGATATGCAGTTTGGTGGGGAGGATATCATGTATGACGGGGAGGTGGAGGATAAGCTGACGATGGAGAGCAGCATCTTGGATGGGAAGAGTACGATGCATGTTGAGAAGACAGAGGTTAGGCGGAGGAAGGGTTGAAGTCCTGGACGATGCATCACTGGCCCGCGATTTTAGCGTTGCTGCAGCTTGGTATTCAATAATGTTACACTGGTGTCAGATTCGCAGCCAAGGTTATCATGCCATCATGCCACTGAAGCTGTTGCGCATGACTCAGAAGGCTGACTAATTAACCCTTCGTCTCTTGATGCTTGGAGGGTGCTTCCAGTCGACGCTTCTTCTTTATAATCTGCATCCCATGCATCCACGGCCAGAGCACCTCCGGTATCCTCACACAGACTTCTTTCTCATCCCAACCATTCTCCAATAGTGCAGCGAGGACTCGGGGTACAGCCAAAGCTGTTCCGTTGACAGTGGATGGAAAGTCCATCTTGGTCTGAGATCCTGCGGGGTTTCGTACCCTCGTGTTCAGTCGCCTTGTCTGATAGTCGGTACAGATCGACGTCGAGGTGACCTCACCCCATCCACCATCTTTCTCACGCCTGGAAGGGAAGAATGCCTCGATATCCTGTTTTCTGACGGCGCTGGCCCCTAAGTCTGTCGATGGCATCTCGAGTATGCGACAGTGTAGCCCGAGGTTCTGAAGAATCTCCTGCTGAATAGAGAGCATGGAGAGGAAAGCTTCGTCCTCGCCTCCTTGAGCCGTCCAAGCGAACATTTCCACTTTCGTGAACTCGTGAACGCGATATAATCCTTTTGTTTCCACACCCCTGGCGCCTGCCTCTGCTCTGTAACACCGGCTTGGCCCAACCACCTGGATCGGCAAGTCCGCTCGGTCAACGGCCGCATCCGCCTTCATCCCAGCAAGCGGTATCTCAGCCGTCCCTGCGAGACTATGCGACGGCTTGCCCTTTTCTTGATCCCTTTCACTCTGCTGTGTGTCGTATACTTGCTGCTCCCCACTCTGATCACGAGGCCGGAATCCACAGGCCGCGGCAATGTGCGAGTAGACCATTGAGGGAGGTGTGACGACTGTGAAGCCGTGCTGCATGGCCACCCTGACTGCGTATTGGATCAAGGCCTGCTCGAGTAGCGCTGCTTCATTCTTTAGATAGTACCAGCCCCACCCGCTCGTTGTAGCAGCGCCAGCAAAGTCTAGCAAATCGAATTCCGTACCGATGTGGACGTGGTTTCTCCATGTTCGGTCGTGGGACGTAGAGGGAGGGTTCGAATGTTCGTTGATATAGCCCAAGACCTTAGGCTCATCGCCTCTAGGCGTTTGGTCGCTCGTGAGATTTGGTAGCTCAGCTGCTAGATCCTCGATCTCGTTATTCAGCTGTCCCTCGAGAGCCTCGATGGCCGATAGTTGCTTTTTCAAGTCCTGGGCCTCCTCCACCAACTGCGTCTTCTGCTTGCCTTGTCCATCTTGTGCCTCTCCCTCGATACCGCTGAAAGTTCTGGAATGAGACAGCTGCGTTCTGATGGCATTGCTCTTCTCCCGTAGTCCGCGCGTACTCTTTTGGGATAGGAGCCATTTCTCGAAGAGCTTGACAATCTTGAAAGGACTGTCACTCTGGGCTTTGTAGTTGCGCTCGAGGCAGTTCTGGGAGTAGAGTTCGGGATTCTGCCGGATGTGTTTAATGTTGAGGGAGGGTCTAGGAGCGATTGAGGGCAGGCTCTCGCGGCATCTGGGACCGCATTGGGAGAAGTAACGGTTCGCGTGGCCGTTGAAGAGCTTTCTCTTTGGCAGGAGAACCTGTAGCTCCCATTTTGTCATGGCAGAAGCCGCAGCTCGAGGTCCCAATCCGCTGGGTTCATAGGAGGAACTTTCAGTACGGCAGGCGCTAAAAACGATTGCGCAGGTGATAAGATTACAATCAACGGCTCCGGCCGCCGAGGCAAGGCGAGCTCGCTGGTGTCACGTTGCTCCCATGTAGTGTTCTCCAAACCTCACAATCCCCAGGTACTTCTAAACCAGTCACAAATAACGATGCTGCCTGTCTGCGGGCCTTTCAGATGAGGTGTTAGCAGGCTGACAGCCACAATTCACATCTGATATCAGGGCAAGATGTCAAAATTCTTCGTCGAAGACACATGTGCCTTTAAGGCTGATCCAGCTATTGTTGGCACAGTCGAGGGTACATGGAGTGATGTTGAGTCCTCATCTGAAGGCTTACTTAATTGTTACATTCACCACGATATACCTTTGAGGGTTCGAAAAGCTTGGTTCGATAATGCGAAGCTTACTCCTGGCTATGTGATCATTGCTTTCAGCCAGGACTATGATGGCTACTGCCTTGTCGCCGAAAGCTCTCTCCAGTTGATCGATCGGTCTCTCGCTGCTGGCGATGTTGTCAAGAAAAGGCTTTCAGATGCACAGAGTGGAACCGTGATAGCTACGTCTCTTATGTGCTCTTTGCGTCCTACATGCAGCCAAGCCGATTTTTCGAGACGACAGCATCCTCCAGTCCAAGTTCATACGCCATCTCATGGGCCTCGCGCCCCAAGGCATGATAGTAAAGATGCAACGACACCTAGTTCCAAGCTTGTTCATGGATTTCCAGCCCCGACCAGCCCGGAAGTGAATGGACTGAAACCGTTAAATAGCGCTGTCTCGCCCTTTCTTCAAGCCCCTGCTTCAGAGTTGAAGTTTTGGAACACCTATCGTGAAGAGGATAATCTGATGTACAAAGGATGGATTGGGGAAGTGAGATCTGTTTATGATGAAGTCACGATTCGTCTCGCTAATGGTAGCGTGGTTGTCGTTGAGGACCCAGAGGAGCTTGATGAGCCTTACTGGATCCCTGGTACTCCTTCTTATGAGCTCGCGCAGCGCCTAGATTGTGCTGGTTATTACCAATATTGCCCAAAGCAACACGCTCCAGGCGTGGGCCAAACCCGATCGATCCCAGCTGAACCTTGCTATCCTGGCCAGCACGTCCAAACAAAGAAGGGCAACTTACGCTGCGGAAGATGGAAGTTCGGTGCTTATGATCCATCAATTACGCCAAGGGGGATAGTAGTTGATGTTCGCAACGTACAGATTGAGGTTCGCTGGCTGTCTCCGATTGCATCTCAAGATGCTCCGCCACTCCAGCCGTCGACGCTGTTAGATACTGAAGAGCTTCAGACTGGAGAGATCATCGTCTTCGATCGGAGCAAGCTTCCTAAACAGCTGGTTGCTAACGCCTCTTACAGCCCAGATACCGGCTTTGGCAATAAGGTGAGGTTCAGGGATCCCACCGGTGCTGCAGTCAAGTATGGTCCTGCCTCTGAAGGTGCCACTCATCCTAACCCAACGCCCATCTTTGATCGAATGCCTCGTGCTGCTACCCAAGGATTCGATATGAATGTGCTCCAGGTCGTTGCAACGTCTACCAAGGTCACGGTACGTTGGCAGGACTGTTCTATTACCGAAGACGACTCAGCTCAACTATTTCCTTACTTGAATCCCGATGAAAATGATGTGTGGCCAGGCGAGAAGGTGTCATTCCTCCCGGACGAGGAGAAAATGGGCGATGAGGTCCCAATCATTCGCCTTCACAAAGTGGGAGTGGTGCAGTCCGTGGACGCCCGAGAGCGTATCGCTCGTGTCAGATGGTACGAAGGCACTGAGATCGATATAGACGAAGAAGAGAAGGCCTCCCAGTACTCCGCGTCAACTTATGGGAAGTTGCGTAATGAGGTTGTAGAAGTTCCTCTTTATGACATTGCTGCTCACGCCGCTTTGGCCTTGAATCTAGGCGATCTTGTTAGGATCGCTCCAGAGCAGGTCCTGTCACCGGCACACGCTGCTGGTGGAGAAGATCTTCGATCGTTTCTATCCACTGATCCTGATGGAGATGTCGACATGCCGTACGCATGTTCTAGTTCGCTCCCCCTTTCAAGAGTCGCTCAGCCATCACTGCTTTTCAATCCCGGATTCTTGACTGCCCCTCTTGAGAGAGCTCAGACATTCATGGGGCTGGCAGGCGATGACCCCGGCTCAACACCGCAAGGAAGATCTCTTTCGCAGGGCAATGAATGGGTCGGAGAGATTATTGATTTATGTCTTAATGGAGAGGTTGTAATCCGGCTCGGAGCCGCTTCCGAGGCCCGAGATGTCAAAGTACCTGTGGAACGAGTGGTAGTCGTTGCTTCTACAGTTACAGGCAGCTCAGACTACAGCGAAGAAGATGATGACGACGACGGAGAATCGTATTTCAGCGATGCTATGTCCGTGAGCGACGGGTGGTCAGACCGTGAAACAGATCAGGAATCAGTGGGGGCTATTGATGTCACTGTGGAGTACGAAGGTGGAGAGAAACTCAATGACGACGATGACGAGGGTATGTGGGCCACTGATGAAGACGATGTCGGAGGCCTGGACGTGCAGAAGTCCAGAGATGATGAGAATCCGCCAGTCTATCACCTGGAGGCCGTGAATGACGACCTTGTCCAGCTTGATCGCGGACTAACCTTGGAGCCGCCAAACCTAAGCTCCAATGCTGACACAGCGACGCGACTTTCCAGCTGTTCCTCGATGCCACCTCCTTTTTTTGTGCTTGAGGACGCGGCACCCTCAGATCATCATTTCTTCGGTTTGAGTCGGCCATTGACCGCCGACCTTATGCGGCGCGTCATGAAAGAGCACAAGATTATGCAATCCTCTCTACCAGACGGGATTTTCGTCAGGAGTTGGGAGTCCCGACTCGATCTGCTGCGTGTACTGATAGTTGGACCTTTCGATACGCCTTATGAGTTCGCTCCTTTCGTCGTGGACCTTCACTTCGGGCTATCATTTCCTGCGTCCCCACCGGATGCTTTCTTCCACTCTTGGACTGGTGGCTTGGGCCGCATAAATCCGAATCTGTATGAAGATGGCAAAATCTGTTTAAGTCTGCTGGGTACTTGGGATGCCGACGAGCGAAACGAGGAATGGTCTTCTAAAAGATCGACCGTTCTACAGATACTTGTGAGCTTGATGGGGCTAGTTCTGGTAAAAGAACCGTATTACAGTAAGTGCATCATTCGAATATTTCTCGGGCCCCTGCCTAGTGATGACTTGAGTGCATTTGGCTCGAGTACGACAGGGTGGCTCTTACTGCCCGTCGTCGATGATGTGAAATCTCAGCTACCTTTCTAATTCTGTCTGAACATCTGTCAAGACCCTCCGTGTGCGTTGTCCATTACTTAAGCATCGGTACTGACTTGTCGAGGTAGATGAAGCAGGCTTCGACGTATTGATCGGCTCTGCAGACTCCCAATTACCCTCCGCATTGTACAACGAAAAGGTCTACGTGATGTCCAAGGGCTTCATTAAGACTGCTTTGATAACTGCACCAAATGGTTTCGCCGACGTCATCCAGTGGTTGTATCTTTCATCTCAGCCAGGCCCGAACCTTCTACGCCGTGTTGTTGAGGATTCGAAGAAGTTGTTGGCCAATAGCACCACCACGAGCGCAGTCGTTAGCGCTTCCGGCGCGATGGACGAAGGGGGTTCAACTCGGGCAAAACTCAGCACTGGGGCATCAATCTTGCTCCGAAGAAACGTTGAATGGTTGGAGGATTTCATGGTTCAGTGTGATAAGGGAATAGTTGCCATGCATCATGGGAAGGTCTGACGACAATGATACCCTTTTGCAATACAGCCGCCGTTGGAGTATCCGCGAACTATGTAGAAGCACCTACTGACTCTGAATGGCTAAATCCGAAAATATTCTCCCTTTCCTATTGATCTATTGCTGCCTTGACCGGAGAGGTGGCGACTGTGGGAGCGTAGGCGCGAAAGGAGTGAGTGTTTTCGAGGAAAGCCTCCAGATTGCTCGTTCCCGAACATTCTCCGCTAGAGCAACAGCAAACCGATTGCTGCATACATTGAGCTATTTTGGCATGATATCAACGATTGCGGGTACAGGAATGAGATCCGGGTTACGGAATGCTCCCCCTTTTCTGACGGCGGCCCTGGGCTACGAGTGAGCGATTGCGAAGCTCCTTTGTCGATCCCGCTTTGCTTTGAACGCGAACGGGGACAGTACGTAGTACGGTCTCTCGAAAGAGTGTCAACTGTAGCGTAGGTTGAATTTCCAATTTTCCATCTGGGCAGTTGCATCTCCGCCAACGGCCAGATGTTCGGGCTTCATGCCCGTGGATCAGCAAGCGATTGATTTTGATGACGGGAGCCAGGCATCGAGAATTTCTCATTCTTCCGGACGTCTGGTTGGCCGTCCGAGGGTGGGCTTGACGCCTGTGACAACTTAAATTTTTACGCAACATGGGTAAACGTGACGGGTCTTGGAATAGCGTTGGTTTTTGAACAGGGAGTCTGTTACGGCATGGGGCCGAGAAACAATGGCACTACGTGCTGTACCCTTTCCCCTTCTCCTTCCCATTTATATCATCTGAATATTTGCAGCCGCAAGTGAGCTGGATCTCAAACTGGGGGATCGATACGATCCTTCACGGACGAGCGGACGGCACGGCTCGCGGACGATCTTGACTGGCACCCTGAACATGCTTGCGCTCTTCGGAGGCTGGGACTGGGGGAGCGATGGCGGAGGAGGGGAACGGCGGGGCTTCTTGTCGCTTTCGGGTTTGAGGGAAGGTCTTGCATTTAGGGGGACAGGAAGTAGGCCGGTTGGATTGGCGATACGGTGTCTGACCGAGCAGAGGAGGGGGATGGGTTGCTACCGTCCGGTTACATATGTGATGGGTTTCTTCATCAGGAGTTTTTCGTGCGAAAGCAGATATGTTGATGAAGGGATGAGAGGTGATGCTGGAAATGTATCTGGAAAGGAACATGTGGGTGGCAAGAAAGGTATACTGGGTAGCTAGCCATCGGAAGGCTTTTTGGGCGCCTTCGAGATATGCTTTGGGGGTATGCATGCTTCATGTTGTTGTTTATGCGAAGAGGTACGATAGCGAAAACGAAGATAATGAATGGTAAGGAGAGGGTATCACAGATCTTAAGATAAGAATCAGGAATATGCCTCCCATTCTCGAGATTCGAAAATGTGTCCGTGCATTAAAATATATATCAGACAGTGAAAGGATTCAACAGTTTTATAATTCTTCTCTAGAAAAATAACAGGCTAGCGTGCCAAGACCTCGCGACATTGCATCTTCATACTAGAAACGCCATAGGTAGATGGAAGGAAGATGTGTAGGCGGGCATACTCCAGAGAGTATCTGGTTTCACTTGGACATCAATCCCACGCTTCCATACGATTCCAGTGGAAACGTCTTGCAAGTCGGGTGGGTTCAAAGGGCGTTTCTCGAAGTTTCCTCTGCATTCAAATCAAGCGAAGCAATCGTCAAACCTTCCACTCCAGCCAACAGTTGGGGCTCAGTCCTTAGCGTGCACGTTTCACTTACTCCGGAAGCACCCTCCCGCTTGCTCTGTCATTGTAGCAGTATCGTGTGTTCAAATGTTCGAACAAAGGGTACTCCCCAAGTCAGAGTGCTTCGAGAAACCCAGTAATGATTCCTCAAAGTCTGCCTCGGTGTCCGAATCGCAACAGCTTTCGATAAGAGTCACGGTCGGATAGAGCATGAAGTCGGAATACTCGCCCTGGCTGCGGCGACTCTTGACCACAGTCATCGCCGTCACGCAATCAAATACTGTCAAGGGAGATTCACCGCTTCACATTACGGTGCATCCACCATTCGACAGAGCCCCGGCTTCGGTGGTGGTCCTGGCCGCTGTCCTGGCAATATCTTCGATCACTTCGTTCATGAGCTCGCCCGTCGTCGCTGAACACTCGGCGTACCGGTCACAGCGGAGATCTTGAGCCACTTTGAGCCCCTACGAGCAACTCAGCCGTCAGCTCCAGTCATCTTCGCCCACGGACCTCGGGAAAACGGACCTCCTGCGGATAAATCACCCCGGGCTTTTCCTCCCGGAGATCCCTTTTCAAGCCCAGCAGCATGATGGGAATGTCGTCCCTGTCTTTCATGTAGGACTCCACCATCCGCTTGAACCACACATGCTGCACATTCACCAAGGTTCGCCTGTCGTTGATGTCGTAGCACAGTACTATAAAGTCGGGCTTCAACAGCGTGTAATGCTCGGGGGAAGCCGTGTCGGAGAATTCGAAGCGGTATGATCGGTTGTACATGCGTATGTCCCAGACGAAGGGCTGGTCCAGGTCGCGGAGAGGGGGCAAGGACGTGGTCTGCTGGCGCATGGAGTTGGCGCCATGGCTCAGTCTCCTATGGATCAATGTTTAGCGTTGGGATACGGTAGAGGTGGGGGGGAGATGTGTACGAAAGGAAGGTGGATTTGCCGCAGTCAGGGTCGCCGAGGAGCAGGATGGTGACTGTTGGAGGGCCATCCATGAACAGCTGCTGAATGATAAGGTCAGATAGATCTTGCCTTTACTTTCACACTTTCGGTCCCTCAGACGTGCCAAGCTCGCTAAGCCCCTTTGGGTTAATTCACTGACTTCCCAGCCTTCGGGTGGCACCGCTGTTGCGAGGCGCGGATTACGAAGTTTCACCAAGCAATTACTAAGCTTTGTAGTTTGTACTACCGCTAGCCGATTAATCATTATCGCGTTTGCACACCATGGCCTCGGCATATTACTGTTCCTCTCTTGTGCAGTAGTAGCTGAAAGGGCGCATCGCTGCCACAGCGGCGTTTTTCAAGGCTCAGCTGCAGCAAATGCAGTAATCGTAGCCCCTCCCCTCCTGGTTGGTTCACGTTTCCGATCCCCTCTAACAAAATTTGGGAGACTGCTATGACTGATGCCTTATCTGTACAACAGACTATACTCCGCTCCCATGGTGTTTTCATCACCGTGCCGATATGCTCATGAACACCAGAACGTCCAGGATGCTGTAATACGTAGCTAAGGTCAAATACGCTCCGCGCGGAGGGATGTAACCGCGGGAGTCATCTGTGGCATTGAAAGATATCGAAGGTCTTGATCTTCTTTTCTGCAGGAAGACCCCTCATCTAAAGTTCAACAAGAAAACATATATACCTAAAATCGTCTGCTCAGGTCTTGAAGAACTTAGTGTGACAGGGGAGCAAGTGGAAAATGCTGGTCTTGCGCCCCACAATCCGCTGATGCCAAATCGCGTGTTTCCAGGTCATCTCGAAAGGTACTGACCGATGGCTTACTAGGTCGCCAGCTTCGACCGTCAGAACCTTTTCTGTCGACTCCGGTCTGGCCATCACTCATGTCTTTGTAACGACCTATGCTGCCACGAGATAAAAGACTCTTCCTCCCCTTGCTGGTAAGCAGGACTCGATAGAGTGGTAAAGACGCGACCATGACCGCGATGGTGACTTCGAGGCTCGACCACAGCGCAACGCCAGAGAACGTGCCCGATTGAAGAGACTCAACCGTGCGAAGGATGTCAAAGATGGCAATTATCAAGCCGAGGGAGAAGATTCCGGCAAGAACCACTTTCTGTGATTGGCGCAGCTGGAGGCCCCAGACCATGAAGAGGGGCAATACGATGACTGTAGTGTGTCAGACCATCAAAAAAGAATTCAAGAATGTAACCCCACCTATAAGGTCTGACGAAACGTTCAGAGCACACCAGTATTTGTAGGTAGCCCTAATGTTGTACAGTGTCTGAGGTGAGGAGCACTTCTCTGAAGGTCATTAGTCTTGACGGTTCAAGAGCTTGGAGGACTAGCTACACACCAAATGTATACAGGTCGCTCGCAGATCCGCAAATTGTAAAGGTGCTGCCAATGCATACCCAAAACGAAGCGAAGGTAAGTGCAACAGCCGCCCACCATACCCGGATGAAAGTGAGAGACACCTCAAAAAGGAGTCGGTAGAAGATTAGGAATGTCGCTTTTACTGTCCACAGCACCATGAATACCAGCAGCGTTACGACTAGCCTGAGTTGCAGATAGGTGTGGTAGAAAGGATCTGTAAGTGGTGGTGCGGCTTCTTCTTTGAGACCTATCCTTGCGATTCGAGCCGAATATGGAAACCCGGCTGTGTATGTGCCGGCGAGAGCTATGAGGAGAAGGAGCGAAAGCAGATGCGAAGCGTCATCCCAGTAGAACCTTGAGGCGGTGACATAGCGGATGGCGAATCGCCCAACAGACAATAGAATGGCGATGGTGGTGAAAGTCCAGAGGAGAGCCTATTTTCATTTCGGCGGAGATAAGAATGCGAATCCATCAGTAGCTAGAATGGAGGAATACGAACATCTAAGCTCTGCACTGAAAGCGAATCATACATGGTCAGGCGAGCACTCGGGGATTTAAGGCGTAGGTCAGAATGCAAACGAGTACTTTTGCAAATGCCTGGTTAAGACGGGCAAAGGAACGCGGACAGAAAACGTCAAGTAAAAAGGATCCAGTTCCATTCTTAACGCTGATGGAAATAATACTAAGCACAGATGGCGGTATATGGCACACATGATCAAGATCTCTACAATGCGCATCGACCGCGCCGCACCGAAGTCGCACCGAAGTGGAATGGGTGTAGGGTGTAGGATTGGTGAGAGTTAATTATTCAGCTTCTCCAACATCCAACACTGGCCAATGCAAATTCAGGTTCGGTGCACGAAGGAACAAAAGTCAATGCTGGATGACGCAAATGTGCGTAGGTGAAGAGTTCGGCGTAGTGAACATAGTAAGCACTAATTGGACCATCAATAATCATTTATATGGCGAAGGATTCAGCTGAACGAAAGCTCCAAAGTATATTATAGTGGCTGGGGTGCTAAGGTGTCAAGGTGCTTGATTCGTCAGTTAAGCGAGCTTCGAATCAGGTCTAGCGCGTTATCCATTAGCGCCTGAAACACTAGCAGCTCTTCCTCAGCACAGGTTACTCCTATCTCATCTACTCTTCATTTGTAAGATTACATCCAGTATGCCGGAAACTACCAACTTAGGTGCAACAGAACGCTCTCCCCTTCTGAGCAATACTCCAGATCAAGCGGAACGTCCCGCACCCAAGAGCCATGGCTCAGCTCAGAACGGATCAGCAAGCGATGTCGAGTCGAACCAGCAAACGGAAAATCCGGAAGACCCGATTATCGTGCAAGGGAGGAAAACGGTCAAATCTTTCTTACCCATTCTCGGCGTCGGCATCTTCTTAGCCTTCCTGGACCAGTCCATTGTCGCTGCCATCAATGGAGAAATTGGTAGTGATTTGCACGCGCTCAGAAACGTCTCCTGGATCGCTACCGCCTATTTCCTCACCATGACAGCTTCCCAGCCACTCTATGGCAAACTCAGCGACGTGTTTGGGCGGAAGCCATGCCTCCTATTTGCCTACGCCATGTTTGGCCTCGGAAGCCTTGGCTGCGCTGTCACAAGGAACATGGAAGGCTTGATTGCTGCCAGGGTAAGTCAAAAGCATCTGTCCCCACTACGATAGTAATGCTGAATGTAGTAGGCAGTTCAAGGGATCGGAGGAGGAGGCATGTTGATCATAGTCACCGTTCTTCTCTCCGACTTCATCTCGCTGCGGGAAAGAGGCACATATCAAGCCTACTGCAATCTTATTGGAGCAGTCGGCTCAACTTCTGGTGGCCCTATTGGTCTGCTACTAGTTTATCTTCGTTCTTTTGAGACCCGAAGCTGACATTTAGATCCAAGGAGGGCTTTTTGTACAAAGTATTGGCTGGAGATGGTAAGCAGGATTCACTTGCATGGAGATTTTGTGCTTATGCGGATGACAGGGCCTTTCTTATCCAGGTGCTTCTGTGCCTGATTGCAATCGTCTCTGTCGGCCTATTGCTTCATCTTCCGAAACGGCAATCTGAAACACCATGGAGAAAGCAACTTCCTCGCATCGATATCCTTGGTGCCTTGCTCCTAATTTTGACCATCTTCGGCATATTGTTCGGCCTTGATCGAGGCAGCAATGTTTCTTGGCGCAGTCCCCTGACCATAGGATCGCTATGCGCCGTAGTACCTTTGTCAATCGCATTCCTAGGAGTTGAAACCCGTTTCGCCGTCGAGCCATTCACGCCCGGCCATATCATCTTTGACAAAGCTCTCTTTGCATGCTATACACAGAACTTTTTTGGATACGCGGCTTTCACCGCACTGATATTTTATTTACCCTTATTCTTCCAAGTCATTCTGGAAATGACGCCCGCCCAGGCCGGGGCGAGCCTTATCCCAGCAGCAATTTCTGCTGTTGTCGGAACGCTCCTCGGCGGAATAATCTTGAAGAGGACAGGAAAATTCTATTGGCTCGCTGTACTGGCGATGACAGCGGCTACTCTTGGATCTATACCTATCGTGGTGGCGCCTTCACTCGATGGCGGTTCACTTGCAAGCATCTACGTTGGATCCATTATCAGTTTCGTGCCACAAGGTGTAACTGTGACAGCTTCTCTCATCGCGATTAGTAAGTCTTGACACCAAAGATGTCCATAGCATTGCTGACGGTCTCCAAGTATCCAATGTCTCAGCAGCCGATCAAGCCGTAGCCACAGCATGCTCCTTCCTCTTCCGATCTCTTGGCGCAGCTGTCGGTGTCTCCTTGGTCGGCACACTGATTCAAAATGTCTTACGGATGAGGCTTCGTGCCTCCCTTGAACCTCAAGAGGCCGATGAGATAATTGGAGGTATCGCGCAAAGCCTCGAATACATCAAGGATCTTCCTCCTTCGCTTCGTGCGGTCGTCCGAGAGTGCTACAGTGCAGGGATCCAAGCAGGCTTCGCAATGTGCTTAGCATTACTTGCAGTCTCCACACTGAGCGTCATTTGGTGGCGGGAGAAGAAGCTTTCTAGGTGATTAGGCATCATTTTGTCGTATCCGCAATGTAACAACAGGGACTATTCTATCAAACAAATTTCAGCTTCTCTGGATCATGGTAATCAACGGAGCAGGGAAAGGCCAGAATGCGAGTGACTCCTCCAGTTGAATAAGGTATCTTTCAATCCGCTTCAGTGGTGCTCAAAGGGATAACTTGTTGGAAAGACCGACCCCTTTAGAACGCTCCTCACTCCTTGAAACGATCGGTTATACACCTCACATCAAATCATCATTCATTGAGCGGATTATGTAAGATACAGATGCAGTCCGGGTCTCTGCACCGATTGAGATTAAATTTGTAAGAGCTAAAGGTGGATGATGTGAGGCAGTACGGTCACGCAGGCCTGTTGAATTTGCAAATCTGTTTTATGAGGGCTCTGCTCGGGTGCATTGTTCTCGCGCAGTATTGTTCCTACCCAGCCAAGTTTTTCACGCTTGTTCATGATCAAACTCGGTAATGATGTGATCGGTCATGATTATGTTACACCCCACATCCAAACCTCTCCTCCTACACTACACCCCTACGCTCAGGCAACATAGCATTTGGCGCTCTTCAAGTCATTTACCAGCTTCGCCAACCTACAAGGCGATCCATTTGCCATGGGCGACACAACGGAGATGGACGTCTCATCGCTGTTGGCACAGATTGACAATCTCGGCAAGAGCCTATCCCCAGGCAGCAAGCAAGATGCAGCACCACGCCAGAAGTCGCGCCTTGCCGCGCGTGATTTGGGACGAAGCAATGGAAGAGCCCGGTGACATTGTCGAATGAGTCTGCTCCTCGGTAAGGAACCCCTTCCGACCGATACCTTTTCATCTCACCTTGGCCACAATCATCGCTAATATTGATAACTCAATCCACCAGTTCATGGAAGAAGTGTCCATCCGTATTGCCATCGATCTGGATTGGTTCAACATCTTAGTGAAGAGTGGGAAGCCGGAGACGCTCGAGGACTTGGCCAAAGCAACGGGAGCCGATGGGGTACTACTTGGTGGGTTCTCGGTCGACCATTCACACACTGATCACTGACTGATATGTTCGGCAGCTCGGCGCAGTTGGCGCAGCAGGAGAGGTTGGGAAGGTAGGCGAAGAGGCGTGTGTGCCCACGAAGGTGACCAGAACTTTCGTAATACCACCGTTGGCTGCTGGGGTTGAGTTCTGGTTTGTTGCGGCTCTTTCGTCCGATCTGTTGCTACCTAAGCCAGAAGTCAATCCTCGTCTTGCTTCTGGGAGGGTCCGCCGTTCAGGAATGCTGACAACGTAATCTCGACCGCTAGTTTCAATGTCCTCAGTCCCAACTGGAACGAACTCCCCGCATACCTCAAAGAAATGGACTATCGGAACCCGACCGATTTCCATGAACGCGGCTTTCCACAAAGCACACAGCACGACCGACCATTTCATACCCTTCCTAGCCCCCAAGCTAGACTTCCAGAGGTCTTTCCAAACCTACATGAGCGGATTCGACAAAGGCAGAATTGTTTGGACAGACTTCTTCCCAGCGGAAGAAGGAATCGGCAAAGGCGCCCGGCGAGACCCGGAGGCTATCATGTTTGTTGACATCGGTGGCGGTATGGGACACGAAGGTCTTGCACTGAAGAAACGATATCCGAACCTGCCAGGTCGCTTTGTAAATCAAGACCTACCTCAGATCGTATCAGATCAGAAACTGCATGGGATTGAGTCCATTGCTCACGACTTCTTTACTCCCCAGCCACTTAAAGATAAACACCGAGTCGAATTTGCCCCCCAAAGTCCCTTATCCTGCTGCATCCACCGGCACTATTGGTGACTGGCAAGCTTCGAGATGAAACACTAGTTCCATCCCTGGCACAGCCGCTCGCGTCTACTATCTACGCTACATCCTGCATGACTGGAACGATACACTATCCCGTACGATCCTTGCCCATATCCGAGCCGCTATGGATCCATCGTACAGCAAGGTTCTGATCGACCAATGGCTGGTTCCATTACAACGAGCCTCCTCGTTCATGACCCACCAGGACCCGAACATGATGGCGAAGTTCAGCCCCCTGGAGCGGACGGAGGAGGAAAGGCGGCATCTGCCGGATGGGGCGGGACTCCGCGTCCTACGTGTTTGGCGGCCTGATGATGGGGAGAGTGGGTGTGTTGCTGAGGCGGGGGCGAGTTAGGATGACATCGGGTCCCGTGGGAGTCGCAACCGGCTGTAGTGGTAGAAAGCCATTGGAAAAAAAAAAGGGGGAAGGGATGGTCGGGAGCCGATTCTTTTCGTAAAAACGAGGTCATGGACATATTCAACGCTAGTCTCGGTCAGGCTCGTCGGATGAGATTGATCAAGCAGGATTCGCAGTTCGCTGGCTCTTCAGTCGGAGATGCATCATGCCCGCGTGAGATCGTCCCTCCGCACCACAGATAGGTAATGGAGAAGTATTCGCGTTCGACACCGTCTGGATTCCGGTATGCCGGCGGCGCACTGCACGGACCGGGGAGCGATGGGGAGGGGTGGCATTCAGCACATCACATACCACATATCGTTCCCAGTCCTCGTCCGGTACAAAGACCCCCGTTCTCCGCCACAACCCCAACGGCTCCCTCGAAAGCACTTTTCGTCGTCCCCTCACCAATCCCCTTTTCTTCGGGCACGCCGTGACGGAAAGGTTCGGTCCTTCCCTCCCCCGCCTCGCGATCTTTGGGTCTCTCCCAGCTGTCTTCGATCCGTGTTCGTGGCTAGCCGGCCGCATGGTACGCTTCATCCGCTGCGGAGGGTTGCATCCTTCCCCCTTTTCGACGAATCGTCGGCCCAGAGGACGTTCCGTCTCGAGGGCTGGGCTGGTGAGTTGGTGAGCTGGTCCGGTCGTCCTGGAGTTTTCGGATGGGGGGCTTCGGGTTTGTGTGAGGACTGGAACTTTGACCAGCTAGTAAACCACTCTGTCAGTATTTTGCCCTTGCATGATCCTCAAAGATAGATCCCGTTGTCCAAAGATGTGAAAGTCCTACTAAGGACACTTACCAGCTTATCGGCATGGAGTAAGGGGAAAGGACTTATGCCCCAACGCGGTTTGAACGTAATAATCCCGGAGCATACATCCTGCGATTCGATACCTGAGCCGCCAGTCATCCGAGTACCTCTATCCAAAGCTTCAACCGGAGGAGCTCTCGAGAATGACCTAGATATTTGAGCCTAGTCTCTGAACTAATCATTGTCGAAAGTACCCCTGGCTTTGCAGCCCAAAGTCCATCATGGGACGAGACTGCACGTATGATAGACCAGCAATGGTACCCTTTGGAGCTTAGATTATACCATCTTCTGGCTTCACAATCAGCAGATCGGTGTTCAGCTCGGCTGGGTCTATGAAGAGTTGCGCCGGCATCAAGGCTCGTACGCGACGACTCATTCAGACCCGTGAGCTGACGATCAAGGAGACTATCAAAATCCTGTTCAGTCGAGAGAAGCTCCAACCTCCGTCCTCACTCTTGCAGTCAACGGACACCGTCAGAGGACCCAGACTCAGCCGAGATTGTGAAGTTCGCCTTGGATGCTGCAGAAACTTGTGGTAGCAAGGTTTCGATCGTCGCTACGTACGACGCTTCAGGCTATTCCCGATCAGGCGATTTTGGTCGTCGCGGATCTTTGTGAGGGTGGAGCGCACGAGGGGGGGTTCAAGAAGAGCTTCGACGTCCGGGATCGATAGGTATTGGCCGAAGATTACGCTCCCGGTAAGGATTGAATCGAGGCTGCAGAGACGTTTCCAGAGGAGTGGGAGAGTCGGAGATGTCGGAGTCAACAAGTCTCAAGGGGAGGTCGAGCGCGTCGTCGATCCGTCATTCGACATCATCGATACCGCCACTGTTAGGCTTGTTATTATCATACGAGTGCTGATGTGCAGCGTTGTGTTGTATCCATGCCGCTCTGAAAGCGGAATTGAGAGACGATGAGCACAGACAAGAAGTCTGCAGGCTGAAAAAGAATACCAAGTTAAGCAATCGTGCGCTGTGTTTAGAGAACAATTTAGGTGAAGATCTGGCGGAATAGTTTGGGGTCCAGACCGAGAGCAAGACCGGTGTTCATGCCTTGCTGGCGGACTGCCGGACTGATTACAGGCCTTGAGCCTAGACATGGAGCTGGGATTTGGTTCGGAAAGTCAACTACTTGTTCGGCGTTTCGTCCTTCCCGTAGACATACGAAAATGGTATATTGAGCACACGAAATCGATTGCTAACTTTGACTTATCTTTTGCGTTTGTGGCATTCACTGCAAATGGGGGTGGGCGATTAGTGATAGCTTTAGGGAAGCGATCGAGGAAGCCACGGAACGTAGAGGATCAGCAGTCGAGTGTCGAAGGGACATGGATGCCTATTTGAGAAGGTGTACGCTTGGCGAGGAATAGTGCAACATCAAGGCGCGGTCGTTATAGAGTCAGCATTACGCTTATAGGTTCTGGGTGTTTGTAGGACGAGATTCGGATCTCTCAAAAGCGGCCAGGCGATGTGGTGTTTCAGGGAAGAAGTCGCGCAGATGGAGAATGAGGAAGCAACGCAAATACATACATAAAGTGAAAGTGGGATTCTCCTCCCGAAGAGAACCCAGAGCTGGTGGCAACTCAAAGGTTAAAGAGTTGACGGCCACTTGGCAAGATAGGTGAACACAGGAAGGTTTGGTTCAGTAGTGCTGTTTGAGGCGGTAGGTGTCGAATATAACCATGCAAGAAGTATCGTTCAAGATATAGAAGGGATTGCATTGGCAGAGCAATATGGACCATGACATTGGCTAAGGTGGGAGCTGCTATTTTCCATCATCACGACTCTCGCCGGGCGGTCGGAGCTTGCCTGTCATGGCGAGACGATTGGAGGAGACGCTATGTTCGCTGGGACAGAGGGGAAGCTCGCGCCAGCTTCTTGTCACAAGGTTGAGAATAACTTTCGACTCAGCAAGAGAACAGCCTGTCAGGACATGCGCTACTCGACTGGGACATTTAAATAATGAGATGGAGAAAACGTCTTCTTCTTCTTCTTGGGCATTGCTAACATGTTTTGAATTCAAACCCGAAGCCAGACCCGCGGGTAATAATTCTATGGAGAACCCATTCTTAACTTGATAGAGAGCTATCGAAACAGTCTTCTCATCGAACGGTCGGGCGAGAATATACAGTCTCTTGGAGATAGTCTCCCGGACCTCTATTGGGGCAAGACCGGAATCTGCTGAGAAATGGAGCGAAGAGCTTGACCGCACGAGCGACCACTCAACGATCAATCCATCTCCTGTTGCTGCAATCCACGCGCTGCGACCTGATTGCAACTCCGGTTCGAGCTGTCACCATGGAGTTGTGGTCGGATAGTACCGCGATTCCCTTTCGATTCGTGTCCCATGGTCCGCCCCCCACTTTCTGGACCATTAGGACGGACTTGTCCAATGGACTATTGGTCCGGACCGACTCAGGTGTTCGGACGGACGGTCCAAGACGGTGGACGGACTACGGATCATGGAATGGCTTCAACCTGTACTAGTTCAGGCCTTTGGCCCGACTGGACGGACCATTGGGAACCTCGGATTTCGTGTCTCGCTTTGACACAATCTACACCGAGCCCCCACAAATTGCAAGAACAATGAGATCAATCCAGATCCTTGGCTTCAAGTGTTTTTCAGACTATATCGCTCAGCTTAGCTCAATATCTCCTCCCATCGTGAACTTTCTCGTGCCCTCGTCACCAACCCTGTGGGACCGAATCACTGCACCACCCGACATTTACACCCTCTGTCTTACCCACTCTATTCATCAGACTACCACGGTCACAAAACACGACTCCCTTCTAGACTCCCGCAGCTGCCTCACCGCCTCCTCGGCGGTGATCGGTCCAAACGGCCATCCATAGATAGCATGCATCCTCGTTGTTCCATCCATGGGAATCTGCGTCCGCGGGTTACCGTCGGTCTGAGCAAGTTGATCGTTGATGGAGTGGTGTTTGCTACCCCGCATTTCGGGTCGGGGGTGAAGCTTACAGATTGTGTGTGATCCGTGCGTGCGGGGAAATGCGATCGATTGGGTGATGGGGGGCGGATTGGGTGGGTGAGAAATTAGCGCGCGCGCGCTCTTCCCTGCGAATGGGTTCCGGTTGGGTTCGCTGGGTGTCGAATGAAAAAGCGTTTCATGCAATGTGGACCTCTAACACGTTGCCCCGTCCTTTCGTATCTCTGCGCTAGAAGGACCGTCGGAGAATTCCAAAATGACTAAGACGAAACCATCGTGGCTAACCAATTTCCCGACTCTTTTTCCATCTACTCGTAACGAGTGGTAAATAAAAGATGACCCGCATCCTGCATGATTGCGTCCCACACAATCTAACAGCTGCAAAGGCGGCATGAATGCACGCAGGCCATAACCTCCCATGATGCCAGGGTCTACACTGCCATCGTCATAACACACAAGAGCCACCAGTGTCCGGCACAGGAGCCTGGACAGCCACCCCTCCCCCGCGCCTGATTTTAAGGCGGTTTGTCGAACTTGCCTGCGATGCAGTATGAAACGAGAGAGGTGTCTTGATTGCCGTTCGGCGTTTCGGTAAGGTTGTAGCTGCTATCGAAGCTTCCTAGATAGGTAGGTGATGTCCAGTCAGCGCGTGCGTCCGGAAGTACGAGCCAAGGGAGGAGCGGAGCGGGGAAGTTGTCGTACCAGCGGCCCAGCCAACCCAGCCCAGCCAGACATCGGAATTGTAGTTCAAGTGGCTCAGCTCGGCACAGACGTCCGTGTAACAGCTGGCCGTGTTGCCGCCGCCGGTCTCGGTGAGCATGCCCTGGCGGCCCACGCTGCGCAGGTAGGCCGTCAGGGGCGCGAGCGTGTATTCCACGCCGTTGGTGTCGCATTCGGTCGCCGTGCCGCCCCCACCGTCGAGATACTGATGGGCTTCATAGATCAGTTTGTCATGAGACCCATCGTAGTCTTGGACGCTGGAGAGCGCCGGGGCAGAGTTACTCTGGAAGCCGCCGACGGCGTCGTAGCTCGTGCCGGAGAGGAGGATCATCTGGGTCGTGGCGCCGTTGTCTCGGATGGCATAGACGGCCTGCTGGACGCTGGCGGCCCACGTGGTCATGTCCAGGTCGTGAGGCTCGTTCATCAGGCCGAAGATGACGTTGCCCTGCGAGGCGTATTTCTGCGCGAGCTGGGCCCAGAGGTTGCCGAAGTCGTCGTTCGATGGGCCGCCTTGGCCGATGATGCCGCCGTTCCAGCGGGCGTAGTTGTGCACGTCCAGGATGCAGTGCGCCCCGGTCGCGAGACACGCTTGCATGATTCGGTCGTAGGTGCTGAAGAAGGTCTGGTCGAGCGCACCTCCGAGGTCGTGGTTGACGAGGTACTGCCATCCGACGGGAAGGCGGAAAAGGTTGAGCTTGTCATCGTTCACAAAGTGCTGCATCTGCGTAGGTCCGACCGAGCTTGGGCAACCCGACGTTCCCGAGGTCCCCAGGGTTCCCTTCCAATGTTTAGTATCATCTTACATCCAGCGTAGAGTGGAGTCTGATCACATTGGTATCTATGCCAAATTCGCATCCAGCAATGTTGATGCCAGCGTAAGTAACTCTCTGCGTTCGTTTTGCCAGGCGAGTGTCAGAGTGACTGCTCCAGCGAGGCACTGACAGAGCTTGGGAAATCGGAGTGCTTGCGGCAAGCAGAGACATCAGGGTCACTTGAGAGATCTTCATCTTGGTTGATGTGGCTTTCGAAGATGAGAGAATGGTATGGGAATGTTGCTGATCCACCTAAGTAAAACGCAGATAGAAGGTACTGGATATCTCAAATTGGAGAAATCACTGACCCTTTTATACACGACATTCGATTCCTCGGTCCTACCTGACTCCTTTCGTACCCTTCCTTATTAGAAATATTCTCATCGGGGAACCGATAAGGAAGGTTCAGGCCCACCTGGTCTATCCTCCTAAGCAGACTATGTACCAATTCCTGAATAATGGGTACTGTCAGTACGGCAGCGGTCGTCTAGTTCGTAGGAGAAGACAGGCTTCTTCCGTACGCTGACATCCCATGATGGTCATGTTTGCCTCTCAATTACGGCATTGATGTTTCCAATGGCGTGTTGAAGGAACAAAATGAGACAAGAGTATCTATGATTGGTTGCGGATGCTTCACCGCAATGAGGGGATCTCGAACAGAAGTGTCTATGAACGGTTTAGTTGTCTTATTTCCCCGCATCGTACACACATATAGAGCACATATGAGATGTAAGCGAGTGGCTGGGCGATTTCAGCGCTGAATGCATTAGCTGAATAGACGTATTGTCGGATCTCAGCGTCAAGAAAGATACCCAAATCCCAAACGACGGCCTCGTACGAAAGGATGCTGGCGTCGACGAGAAGAGGTCGTCCCAAACGATAATCGTCAGCATCAGGGCTGGAGGTGCGAAGAACGATGGTGTCGACGTGATAGGTGACGTGGCCGTGTGTTCTGTGTCTTGTGTATCGTGTGTCTTACTATTTGTGTGCCTTGCTGACTGTGGGACGCTGGCGACGAATGTCAGTCTAGAAGCTATATTCTTGAAATGCCATATAGGAGTCTTATTTTCCGGAAATACGATACAAAAGTCTTAGTTCTTGAAATACGATGATCGTGAATTTTACCGGCCGAATGCCTTGCTAGTCGTGTGCTCTGCTGACGGGTGCGCTGGTGACTGTTCATTCCTAGCCGTGAACTAGAAATGCTCGTGTGCTCTGCTAGCCGAGAACTAGGGATCCTTATGTGCTGTTAGCCGTGGGCTAAGGATGCTCTGCTGGTCATATGCTCTACTAGCCGAGGGCTAGGAATGTCCTGCTAAAGTACTCTGCTAGTCGTGGATTAGAAATTCTCTGCTGGCCGTGTGCTCTACTGAAAGTGTGCTCTAACATCTGTATGCCCTAATGCGGTATGCTCCGACAGCGGTGTGCCTCTGATCTGATTATGCGTTACTAGCCATATGATCTACTAGCCGTATATCTCGAAGTCTATGCGATTCTTTTCGTATTGCGTGGGCTGCTTGCCAAATGCCCTGCCAGTCGTGTGCTTTGCCGGCCGTATGCCTTAAGAGCCAGTGTAGTCTTGAACATGATATTCGTCCTCGTTGGTCTTACGAAGTATCAAACCCCCTGAAGAAAAAAAGCAGAAAGAGTATTAGCTCGTTCGGTTCTATTTGTCGCGTACGCTGTCGTAGTAACGTCTCTATATCTGAGTCAGTCTTGTGAGGAGCTGACATCATAGCGACTTAGTCTGTCTGTGGACGTAGTAGCAGGGGTAGTAGCACGGTGTACTGCAGACGACGGTGTGTCTAGGTAGTCGTGGCACAAGTGGTAGCACAGTATGTCACGGTAGCAGTGATTTTGGCTTTTCTGATAGTATAAACACGTATGGTGTATTACATGATGTATTTGGAATACGACTAAGACGTAGGCGAAAAAGAGGGTATGATCAAGAGATGTTATGGCTATGAAAAAGGTAAAATGAAGAGAAGAGCCACTTACTGGTAGAGAATTGGTGTAGATGTGGCTCAGAGTGAGTATCAAAAGGCCCACTTACCCTCAGTCCCACTGTGGCGATAAGATCGCTCCGCCGGGATGAGGCATTTTGATCTCGGGCCTTACATCTGAGCTTCGCCAAATGGAGTTGCGAGTCCATGAGAGAATGGCATGAGGAGTTGACAACAAGACCAGGGCGAAGAAACCATTGTTTTACTTACTTGCGGCAGCCGTGCAACCACCATGAAGTGATCCACCTCTTGGAGTTTCGAAGCTCATGTTGCGAATTCTGGAACGCGTAGTTGAAAAAAATTTGAACCCGGTCGCAAATCTGCAAACTTATCCTCAGGAGCAATGGGCTGTTCAAAAGATGGACGGCGAGTGTGGACTACGTTTACTATGTTTATAACGATCATAAGCTCGGAGTCGAGAGTTTTTCAAATCGCACCAACGCAATAACTCAAGATCCGGCATGCAAAATAGCGGCATTCAATGACGAATACACTGGGAAATGACCAAGGAAACGCTAACCGTGCTCTCAAGACCTTCCAGGTCCTTCCAAGGGAGCCTGCAGCGAAGCCTGTGAATCGGGTTTAGATATCCTGGCGAAATTTCCCGGTGCAACAGCGTCACATTCTAGGAAACCTCCCGAGATACTCCCAGGGGCCAAGCGCCAAGATTGGTCTTCAATGAGGCGCATCAACTATTTTAGGGTGTGAAAGAGGCTGGGGAGCAGACGGATCCTTACACGGTGTTGCATTATCACAGTGCAAGGTTTCGGCACTGAGGATCCGGAATGGAAAAGTGGTGGAGAGATTATTGGGGTCGTTGGAGAATCGAGGAAGCACGGTGATGGGTCACTGGGCCTGGGATTGGGTCAAAGAAAGTCTGGCTTCGAGTATTTCAGAGCAGCCGGGAATGCTGAGGTCGACGCATCAGAATCAGAAGCGGTGAATAGTTCTGAAAGCGCAAGACTCGTATTGGTGGCTGGCGATGATCATAATTCGCCTCGCCTTAGATAACAATGAGAAGCGATATGTGGAATTGAGACCTAACGAGCTCTCTAGGCATGGCGAGGAAACGCGACAGGAGTGCCAAGCTTGCGATTCGATCGCTGTATATGTAAGGCGTGTCACCTTTTTGGAACATGAACCTCCCGCAGGCCAAGCTTCCCAGTAGTCCGCCCCCACTTTCTGGACGGACGGTTTGGACCAGTCCAAGGATCTTGTCGACCGTCCGTGGACGAGTTCAGATGTCTGGAAGGACGATTTAGACTGTCCGCGTGGCGGTCTGATGGGGGCCGAATTGTGTGGCGGATATTTGAGTACAATGGCAGTATAGCAATAATACTGACTAAGCACAGATTGTCTTTCCGAAGGGGTCGCTTAGCTTCTTTAAGAACCTCACCAAGTATCTTGGAGGTCTGGACTAATCCAGACTGTGAACGGACTGTGGACTGCGTAACGTACGGTGTAGATAGTTTCGTTTTGAACTGTTCCAGGCCTTTTGGACGGACGGTTTGAACGATTGGAAACCTGGCCACAGACTCGGGACGGGACAACTGGAATGACTTCGCCCTTAATACATCAGGATGCAACAGTCGGTCAACACGGTGACAACTGACTAAATCCGAGAAATTCCATCTACGATCCTCGGGTGCGCAATCGACGTCATTTAGGTCTTGTATGTTTGTCGTTGTGGACCGAAGAAGTGCAGTGATGCTTAGCGGAGATACTAAGCAGATCCATTATGCTGCGATGGACTTAGCATGGATGTTCCCATCGCGATGTACAGAGAAGCATCCAATGTAGTGTGAGGATGAGCAATCGATGTTCGTACATCAGAGGCGGTAAGGCTGAGAATAACGGGAATAGTGTTTTGGGAACAAGGCTAAGGAGCAGGGCCTGGACTTCGAGCCATGGCCATCTTGCAGCAGGAGCTGTAACCTTCTTGGCCACGTCTCGAGTACTTCCGGAACAGGAAGTTGTGTCAACGATTGACTCATCACCTGCAGTATGCATACATATGTGACCACGTGAACGAATTGCGACTGGCCTGATCCGTTGCTGCATCATTTTGCTGCAGTCAATTCTTTTGGGACATGATATTCGGAAGAGTTCCGCTAAAAATGATCCAAAGACAAGGACAGAGATCTGTGGGCATCAGCTTTTGGGTAGTCATGGTCCAGTGATGTCCAGCTAATCTTCAAGCCCACGACCACGATAGATGAGCATCCTGCTTGCACAACATAGTCATTGGCAATAGCTCTTTTCAGAAGCTTCGTCACAAAAGGCTCATTTCCGTCATCGTCATTGGTGGCATAGAATTGAGGGACCGGGATACTGTTGAGAATGAACGCCATGCAATGAGGGGTTGTAACTGAGGCAGAGGCGGCGGCGCACCGCTTCCCACTTTAATTCACATCGAACGTTATCTTCCGATGCGTCTTGCGATGCGTCTTGGTCAAGATGGTAAGATGGAGCACGTGCGGGTTTCCGCCGCCGCTCTCACAATGAAGCCTGGGTAAGCGGAAGGAGGGATAGGCGTTGCGCTGAGCGTGGATCACACGGCCGAGGTAGATGTTACAAGCGGCAGTCCTCGGATCTGTTTCAGTCAATCAAAACCTTCTCTTGTTAGCTCGACACACTTTGGCTCCGAGACGAAGAACGACTTCGAATTGATTCTAACCAAATTGGCCTCTTCCATCCCGTTCCCAACCCCACCGCCTTCTCATCCCATCCCATCATCATCAGACTCATGCACCATAGATTGCCTCAAGGTCGTCTTGCTCTCTTTGGTCTGTTCTGTTCTGTTCTGTTCTGTTCTGTTCTGGTGAATTGAGCCTCATCTCAGTCTTGGTAGCGTTCGTTCGAATGCGATTCGATTGATGTAGACTTGTAGTTGATCTGTAGGACTACCTTAGCGGACACCCCGCTTACCTTACTCGTACTACTCGTAGGGAACGGCCAGTCTAAGATTTTAGCACTCCGTGGACATGTCTGGTCCGCGTCACTAATCTGGTCTACGTCAGTAGTGTCAAGATATCTACTGGCGTTTTTTGCTGCCCCCTCGACTCGCTGTCATAGGTAGTCTATTACTCTCCTCTGTACTTTATGGTTTTATCTTGCTGTAATCTTGACGGCGTGAAAGGCTAGAGATTTGCGCGCGACGCTAAATTTTTAGACTGGCTGTGCTCTAAGGTAAAGTACCCTAAGCGGGCCCCCGCATGGCGGCTCGCTCGGGTAGTCTAAGTAAAGTACATAACTTGGTACTTTACGTTTCAATCTCGTTACCCTACCGTATGCATTTGCTGCTCAAGCGGACCTTCGTACTCGCCAATATAGGGTGTAAAGCTTTCTACGAGCAACATGCTTCATCATTCTCTTGCCAGTATACACAGACCCGACGACTCAAGCTATTCGCTACCATGGGGGAACAGGTCGACGAGGAGCCACCGGACTTGTCCACCTGGAGCGCTGATCAGCTCATTGCCCGGGTAACTTTATTAGAGCAACAGCTCAAAGAGCAGACCGCAAAGTGAGTGATTCTAAATGCCCGACTACAACAAGTACTCATTGCGTAGTCAGATACAATTCCACCGCCCTTCCGCCACAAATCTTTTCACCAGCCCGTAAACCCAAGAACGCGCGTGTTAATCGAGAGTTTGACCCCTCTAAATATTCCACCCGCTTCATCGCCCTCAAGTTCGCTTACTTGGGCCAGCGCTACAACGGCCTCGAGTTCCACCCCAATAACAAGACGCCCTTGCCCACCGTTGAAGAAGCGCTATGGAAGGCATTGAACAAGGCCCGACTCGTGTTTCCAACTCCTAATCCTTCGCTGGGGCAAGATGAGCCTAATTGGGAGGGCTGTGAATATTCCAAGTGCGGGAGAACGGACAAAGGCGTCAGTGCTTTTGGACAGGTCGTTGGGATCAGGGTTAGGAGTAACCGTCCGGTCAGCCGGGTTCAGGAGCCGGCTTCTTTGGGAAATGCAGCAGCGGAAAGGGGGGTACCTTCGCACATGAAAGATCTGGAGACCGCTGCTCCCAGTCTCGTGAAAGATGCAATACCTATTCCATCATCTACAAGTGAGTCTGAGAGTGACGAAGGATTGCCCTTCCATCCAACCAACGACGAGATTCCATACTGCCAAGTCCTCAACCGACTTCTGCCGCCAGACATTCGAATGTTGGCATGGTGCCCTGCCCCTCCTCTCAACTTTTCCGCCCGCTTCTCCTGCAAAGAGCGCCGCTACAAATACTTTTTCACCCAGCCAGCCTTCACACCAACAATCGGCTCTGCAGGCTTGCTCAATGCATCAATCCAGCCAGGTCTATCCGCCGGCCGTAGACGAGATGGCTGGCTCGATGTCGACGCCATGCGGGAAGCAGCCCACAAATTCATCGGCCTCCATGACTACCGAAACTTCTGCAAAATTGACGCGAGCAAGCAAATCGACAACTTCGAACGCCGCATCTTCCACGCCGACATCGAAGGAATTGGCAGCCAGCATGGCCCCGTCGGCTACATCGGCAAACCAGGCTTCCGGCAACACGAGCACTCAAACGAAGCTCCGGGCTTCCATCAACATGACGACCTCAAAGGTCAATCTTCTACACCAACCATCTACACGTTTACCCTCCATGGCTCAGCCTTCCTCTGGCATCAAGTCCGCCACATGGTCGCCGTCCTCTTTCTCGTCGGCCAAGGACTCGAACCTCCCTCCGTCATCGACGACCTCCTCAACATCTCCAAAACTCCCGCTAAACCGCAGTATGAGATGGCAGACGACGCGCCCTTGGTGTTGTGGGACTGCATCTTCCCCCGCGAAGACGCCGACAGCGGGGTCGATGCGATGGAATGGGTGTACGTGGGTGATACCTCGGGGGAAGGAGCGGGCCCCGCAAAGGGCGCCGGCAAATTCGGTCCCGGCGGCCTGGTGGATGATCTGTGGAGGTTCTGGAGGCGAAGGAAGATGGACGAGGTGCTGGCGGGAAGCCTGTTGGACGTGGTGGTCGGGCACGCCGGTCGCGGCGGTGATGATTCAGAGGCCGAAGCTGAGGTCGCCGTGGGCAAATGTGCGGGCAGCCAGAAGGTCTTTCAGGGCGGGGACGGGCCCAGGCATGTGGGCACTTACGTGCCCGTGATGCGCAAACCGAGGATGGAGAGCGTGGGGACGGTCAATGCTAGGTATGCGGAGCGCAAGGGGTTCGAGCGGAATGAGGAGACCAAGGAAAGAGGGTTCAGGAGGGTCGTGGGCGAGGGCCAGGACGGTGGAAATCACTGAACGTATGTGTCTTTTCAAGAATATGTACATATGAACTCGAGAGTAGTAGTCAACAAAGTATCCAATTCTACTGTTCGCTTAGCCTCCCGTCAGATCCAATACCTCCACACTGTTGAAGACACTCCGACCAGACGACCTCGCTCCGACCTCCCAGGGCTCCAGACACTTCCACGCGCCCTCCAGGCTTTCCCTGAGGGCAACTAGCCTTCTAGCACCCGCGGTCCTGGTCGGCGGTTGCTGTACCTTGGAAGGCGGCTCCGTTCCGGTACTTTCCTTATCCGAAGGGTTTGCCGGAGAGAGGAGGGTCGATGGCGACGGCAACGAGGATGAGATTGAAACTGGAGACGCTGGTGGTGGGGTTGCTTGGGTTTCCTTGAAGTCGAGTTTGCGATTCACCTTCTGCGAATTCAGAAGGTCGGCATTCTCTGCCATACCAATCCCATCCTGTTGCTTCCCGGTTGGAGTCAGTGTTGGAGTACGTAGCTGTCCGGCCAAATACAGATCGTTGGCCATCTGCAGTGGGCTCCGCTTCTTTCGTGGCGAGGGTTTTGCTGGTGTGGAAGGTTTCCCCCTGCGTAGAGTGACATTTCCATTGATGCCTCGTGTGGTCCCTGTCGGGTCTTCCGTGTCAGAGATTGGGGTGGTAGGCCGAGAATGTCGCTTCTTCGTTGAAGCCGACGCTGTAAAGCATGCGATATGGCTGCAAGCTTTTTCTAGATTTTCCAGCTCTTGCGGAGAATCTCTTGGTGGAGACTTGAACCTAGGTTTTTCGGGAGTTCTTTTCGCTAACGTCCAAGGATTCGTCCCGCGGTCTTTTGGTGGTGTAGAGGTCTGGCTGGCTGACGGGGCCTTTCGAGTCCGTGTCGCCTTTGCTTCTGAAGGCTCTTTTTGCTTCTGTGCTTTTTGACCCACTGGATTTGTGTTCTCAGCCAGCACATTTCGCTGCTGAACTGTGGACATGTCGACAATTCTAGGCGCTAAAAAGGCCGGAGGCAGTCGTGTGCTTTCCTTGCCCTTTACTGGAAGCTTTGTGGCACGACCATCCGGTCCTGGCTTTGTGATTTTGACATATTGGTCCAGTGCTCCTAACTCTATACCGCCCTTAAACGTCATTGTCTTGGCCTTCTCCCTTGTCTTTCTGGATGCAAATTTCTTGGGGTTCCTCATCTCTTCCTCCCATGTCTCGACGAGCAACGGCACACCCAGCTTTACGTGGGTCTCCAAAATCCAGATCTTCTCAATCTGGGCAGGATCATAAGTGGATGGGCCTCGCCTCTTCGCAGGGCTTTTGGACCGATCTCTAGTCTCATCACATTCCGACGCTGGCTGCTCGTCTCCCGAGGCATCCAGGCCGTAGCCTTGAAAATCATCCTTCTCCTCTGCTTCCAGATCTAGTCCAACAACGTCAATTGGGATGTAGGCGATCCGTAGCTCGGGCTCGCCATCGGTATTCCAATGATTTCTTTGGCCACCAATACTTTTTACAAGCTTTGCTTCCGCAATTTCCTTGGCTTCAAGGTCGTCGTTGTCTGTGGCATTGATTTTGCTCCTTCTGATAAGTTGGTGCGGCAACAAGGCTGGTGCCAATCCACGGACGAATTTCTTAGCACCAGAAAGGTATTGCCAATCGAAGGCATCTGCAACGAATACGCGGAGTTCTGTGACGTTCACTTGGAGACCCCACTTAACCTCATCGCGCAGTCTCGCAACTTTCTCTGTAGATGAAACCGCGGGGTGTGTGTAGTAGCCCCATACGGCCTTGTCAGGGAAATTTTCGGGAATTTTGATACTTTTATGCTTTTTTTGGAAAAACTTGGATTCGTTTGTCTGGAGTTCCTGCTCAAGTCTTTCTCTCCATTTCCTGATCCCCTCGATATCATCCTTGGACAATTGGCAAAGGTCTCGACCAAAGCCAGCTTTGGCTGCCGCGCATGCAGTCATTATCCCGCACCCCGGTATGCCAGCGGGTATATAGTCTCCGCCACTCATAAGGGCAATCAAGATCATGCCTTCGCTGTCTAGGCCCTTCTCTTTCTTCGTAGATTCGGCGTTGTAAAGATTCACGTGTGTTGGGCTCTTGCTTCCTCTTTGCCCTTCGGCGGTCCAACTACGCATGGTCACAGCGCAGCCGAACATTATAGTATCCACATCTTCACTCAAGACAGCGTCAACGAGGTTTTCTTTCTGCAGCAGCGCACATTCGGCCTCCGCTTCTCCGGGAGCAGTGTGGTATGGAAAGCCAAAACGCTTGAGGAGTTCCTTCGTAAGGCAATTCGGCAGGCACGCTGCACCTGTCGCAACCTTACGACCCCGCTTGAATGGAGGTTTATGCGGACCATCAAAGACGAAGAGGGGCTGTATCGATAGTGTGAGGAGTCGCAGGAGGCGGTAGTAAAGGGTACGGAGAGCGGGGTTCTTTCCTCCTTGACCGGACTGTATCTGGAACTGCCATATGGATATGTCAATAGCTATGCGAAGAGGGCGGCCGGTTCTTTCGAGGTGTTCCACTGCGATTTTGGACAGCGCTATTCTCTGACCAGGCCCAATCTGCTTGTAAATGCTGTGGAAGTCGGTGTTAACAAAGCGAGATTGACCTGGATTTGCGGGACAACTTGCCCTGGGATTCCCATTGCATATAATTATACTCATAAGATGTCTGAAGCAAGCAATAAAGGTGTATAATAAGAAAGCAATGCTTGGATATAAGATCCTGAGATTGGAGAGGCTTTCCAAGTCTCACGTCTTTAGTTACCCGGCGGAATACTTCCGCGGTAACACGCGATCACATGATCTGAGTCCACTGAGTAACCATTCAGAAACCAGACTTCCCTCTACACCAATGTCCAGTCGACCGAATATTGTTGTATCATGCGTTGAGCTAAGGGTTCTTGCACTCTCATAGGTAACTCCTCCCAACTATTGGGTCCCCAAAGAGTAAGTATTCGAATCGGCAAATCCTTCTCTTCCTTTTGCTCTGCTATTCGATCCTCGTCTGGGTCTACATAGGATCCAGAAAATGATACACTGATACCTCTTTTTTCAAACAGCCTCCCTTTTCTTTCCACCGTTTGTGCTACTTCTTTGCTTCGCTTACATTGACTATTTTCGTCATATTGCAAACTGTGGAATTACCCAACGCCAGCAATGCGCCCCTACAAGATAGGCTGCTCGGCTTAACGATACCAGTAGTAGTGCCTAAATCTGGCTCCGGGTCCTCATCGGCGACAATGAGTGTACCTGCCGCCAGATCTACCTTTACAATGTCATCATAAACGGATCCCGGCGCATATAGTATTATGGCAAGCCGAGAATGATCACCTGTGCAGAAAACCATAAGCCACACGTCCCCTTCATATGATTTGCAAACCCACCGACTACGAGATTTCCACCCAGGGGAGCGGCAGAAGTACCCCCACATGAGCGTTTCAAGCGTTGAGCCTCACCGTGAATACCTTTCCATGTACTTGTGTCATGCGAAATGCTGCCATTGATAAAGCGAACAGCCAGTAATGCTACCTTGCAGCCGTCTTAATTTGTTCTCAGCTGACGGCGGCATGCTTCAAATCACTGAACAAACTGACCGTTCTCGCGCAGGAATGGAAGCTCTACCCTGTGTGACCATTGCGTTTGAGTGATGTCCTCGAGCTTGATGGACGTTTTGAGGGAAAAAAGACGACTGAACCGGTTGCCGATTGGTATCTCATCGAGTATCAAATTGGTACAGAAAGCCGGTTGTGGCTGGCCGTATCCATGGGAGTCGCATCGAGGTATATTACTGCCATGACCCAGGGAGAGTAGAAAGCCAGTCACGATGACCCTGAGGCCAAATCTGGTCATTTTGCCAAAGGCACTGCTTTCTGTGCTTTGACTTTTGGTTGGGAATTGAATCCGCTGTTCGAATGGATCGAGTCGTCTGCTTGGGTCTTAAGGTCTTCGTGCGCCTAAGTCTGCAATTTGTGTCGCATTCGCACAACTCGTCCCTCACAAGCGTCGATTGGTCCACCCATCGCTTGAAGGGAAGATCCTTCCACGCGCAGTCAGCTGTGCTGACGCGTATCTCCAAGCATCTACGTTCATTACGAAGGCGTTGGCATCCTCCATAGGCTTTGATTCTTCCAGAATCCAGGATCATGTCACTGACACGGGGTCTACATTTCTTTGCTGTTCTGGTCTGCGTTGTGCCTGCAAATTGCTTAAATGAAGCCGAGAATCAATTGTCAAGGTTATATCCACCATCTAATCTATTGCATCCTACCTCCTCCTCAAATGGATCTCTCACTCCAAATGATGTCTCAAAAGATAACACCTTAACTATCAAATGTGATGGAGCGCAGTATGGTGTCAAACTCAACATTGCCGATTGTAAAGATGCGAAGAGTTATATCTCTTCTGGCTCGGAGCAATTCCCATGGGTAGGACGTCACACTCGCTGGCACAAGCCTCGCTTTGCCCTGCCATATAGATATATGGGTGGTAAGAATGAACGTGTTGTTTTGACCCATAATGATATTTTTCTGAAACTTAATAGACAAGGGACTGTGTTACATTCAGATCGGTCTGGCCGAAGGTTACTCGCACGCTTATGCAAGTCTCTACGAAGTCCAGAATGCTGCCAATGCAGTTATTTCAAAATGTGAGACGGGCGACGAATTGCAAGGCGGAAGTGCGACCAACATGGGTCAGTATGATCATGTGTACTTTGCAACTGCACTTCTTTAGTCCAGCCGCTGACATTACTTAGGAGCTGACGGCGGACTTACCATGTTTTTAAGTGCCTACCAAGCAGCAGTCGAATGTCGTGGAACTTTCGGACCCCGCAAATCCTGTGTGACTATTTTGGACGACATGGAGGTTACGCAAACAACCGAGGTATTCGGCTCTAGAACTGATCCTGCTGCAAAAGTCAGACTTCCAGCAATTGTTGCAGCTAGTAAGATGTTCTAATGCAATTCTTGCGCCATTGTGGCTCTTGCTTACATCGATGGGTTGTAGGGGACGGTAAAAGTTCGCTTCGTGTGTTGGGCAATTCGGATACGACGTCTTGGTATCGGATTTGGGAGGCTGCGATGCTTGTCTATTCAGTGTGTGTGAGAAGTGGAATGGGAGGGAGCGTGAAAGGACTCGGTATGTTGTAAGCTCTTGACTCAGCAGAAACTCACGTATGTTGCTAGGTGATCACGGCAATATCTTCTTGACGATGACTGCTCGGACTGGCTCATTGAGCAATGTTACGCAGGTTACAGTTGCCAAACACGACTGATGCGCATCGTCGAAAGGATAGAGCGACTATTAATGAGTTTCTAGGGCTTAAGAGCACAGATGAGTCACAAGATAACAGATCGCAGGCCAAGTCTTCCTTTGGCCGATGGCTATTATGTATATTCAGATGCTATAGAACAGAAGGTACAAGGCAAGGGTCAGACACTGTTCGCATTCTACACGCCGGCAGGTGGAAGAACAACGAGAAACCCAACTCTCAAAAATAAAACATCTAATCTCACAGACCTGGGTTCTCGCTCTTGCCTATCTCGCTTACACTTTCCAAGATCGCAGTCATGCCGCATGAACGTATGCAAGCGTTCTTGTTCTCATTGGCCTACAAGATTGTGCAGCCTTGCAGGACGGACGGTAGGATTTGGCTATCCACGTTGGAGGACTCTGTTCCTTTAAACACAGGTGGGCGATGCCAAGCACATGCAGCCCGAGGCAACATTGTATAGTATCCTCTACAGCCTCCCCCACAAGGCTGTAAAATCGATTTGCAACATCGACGCACAAACTCCGATTATAAAATCCAATCCTTTCCACCGTTCAGCATGCAAGCGGTTGTACCTTACCAAGCTCCTGAATCGGGACATGAAGCGCTCCGCGCTATGTATTTCGTGAGCATGTCTTTGTACGGGAACCTTCGGGCTCCAGCCTGGCAATATCAGCACCAGTCGGACCCATTGGTTTCTATAAAGATCAAGCCCAAATTGGATAATGATGAGTTGAAAAATGCTGCACACTGCATCCTCCTAGAACATAACACTGACTCGTACGACTATGCAAGAATGACAACATCCATTTGACAATAAAGATATTTCCGCCCGGCGCCAAGCGCAAATCGTGCTGGGAAAGCTCCTCTCTGAATCTCTCAGCTGATATGAGATAATTCCGGCTCCAACGGTAGACTAGAAACCGGGTGTGGAAAACACTATCTCGGCACCTTGGCGACTATTCGAGGCAAGGCTCGCTTGTGTCCATTATGTAGCCTCATCGCCGGGCCCGCTCAGGAACAAACGGTCCTAGACTTGTCACCGAGCTCTTAGCACTCCACTGTCGCTTGTCATATGCAGTGGCATGTAGATTGCCGCAAAATAAGGTAGTACATCCACAGGGAAATCGATTCGCGCCAGGGCTCGTCGGGTCCGGCTATCACGGACATATCCTGATTTTCAGGACGCTTATGTTGTTGCCAACTCAGATCCCACCCAACAAGACATGCGGTACCTCCAGTTTTGGACCTGGTCCGCAACCTTCTATCTCACCATGGAAGTTCCGTTAAAGCGTAGATACGGTCCAGCAAACAATCGAGGAGATTTGTGGTGGAACGGTCACAGTACACACAGATGCGAACTTGCTTACCGGCCGTGAATCGACCTACCATTTCATCGCGATCTCCGATGCACATCATTTTACCCTCGAAGAGACTGATACGTGGATATGCTTCATCCCAAAAGAGCGGGATCAGTCGAAATGGGATCTCTACTACGTGTTGCTGATAGCATACGATGAACACCATATCGCCGAGCGTTTGGGCGTTGGTAAAGTTAATAAGAACGTTTTCGCCATCTCTTGTGGCGCAGGCCCAGAGTAGAAAGATATTATACTGGGTTGCGCATGAAAATTCTAGCGTTGCGCTTTCTGGGTTTACAAAGCGCTAGCAAACTTCTGAATTCGTACTGATCGATGAAAGGCAGTTCACCGAGGAACTTTGGGTAATATTTTGATGGCACTGATGATACAGCGGTTCAAAGATTCACGATAGCCGATTGGAAGGTATGGGGCCACATTTATCTATCAGTAGTCGAAAGCCTTCTTGGCCACCGGTGGTGATGTTAGGACCAACCGAAAGAGAGAACACAAGTCTTACATGAGATTATTGTCAAGATCTTCCGATCTGAGCAAAGAGCCGACATGGACCAATTAATTGCACGTCTGTGAGATCTCAAGGTCGGTTTCGATCTCAAGGTCGGTTTCCTACATTTTGGCCAACACATACATCCGTAACGTCATGATCTAGTATGCAAGGCAACAAACAGCGCTAACACTCAAAATCTCCAGATTCTCACATTCTTCGCGTACCTCGACTGTCATATTTGGCCACTGCTTTTACGCTCGAAGTCCTTGGAAAGCACACGACATGGTCGAGACTGTAGCACAAATAGAAGAAGACCAGCTCAAATGGTCATCGGCACCAAACTACGCAGCAGTCCTGGACCTGAATCGCCAATACCTTCGCGGTGAGATGATGACGACGCCCTATAACCATCGCTCGGTTCACCACGAGACGAAGCCAGATGACAAGCTGCTCCCTCTTCACGATTATGGCTTCCTCGCTTTTGACTGGCAACCGGGAAAACACGTAGGGCCCGATTGCGAGATAGGCCAGATGACCATGGACGGTGAGCTGAAATGTGAAGGGAACGGCACTTTCTCCGAGATCCAGACGAGGGATTGCATCCACTTCATGATGCCACTAGGACTGTTCAAGCATGACGCCCTGCAGGTGTTCTGGTTGTCGCTCATAAGGCATCCCGCGATCGTCACCAGAATCGTGACCAAGCGTCACGGGAGACTGTACCCCGGCAGCACCGAGTCTCCGCATGTCGTAGTCAGCGGGAATCTCAACTCCGACCCCTATCCTATAGCCCGCCGTCGTGCGGCCCCCACCGTGGATCGGCTCAATGACGCGGTCTACTTGACGTACGGTTACGCGCCTCCCGTCCCGTTCGTTACGGAAGCTTCCAAGTGGAAGTGCGATGCTTTGTCAAAGACTCTCCCTCTGGAGTTCTGGGTTGCTGCAAAGCGATGGGCTGGGACGCTTCGCGTTGCGGTGTTGGTCGAGGACTTGGCGGTGGCAGCAGGGCTGAAGACGGTCTACACTGAGGGTTCTGCAGGGAATGTAGGCTCGGCGGCCTCGGAGACGCTCGCACTTGATGAGGACATTATATGCCATGCTCAAAGAAGCGTAGACCTTCTCTTTCGAGTTGACAGATAGTCTTGCTCTCTATCTTTCCAGATTGCAGCCTGTTAGGATAACAGCCCGTTCAGCGCCCTTTGACTCTCACCGCTAAAGTAGATCTGCCTAGCCGCTTATCTGTAAATGCGATACAGCTATGGTAAATAATCTGTCCTGCCAAATCCGCTTTACGTATTCGAGCACTGATATCTCGGATTTTCTGCCTCTGAATTTATCTAGGAGTCGACATACTAAAGATCATGTCAACCTAACAATAGACACCAACGATTTGAAGACCACGCGCCCCTTCCTGATACTTGATACCTTATTATAGCAGTCGATCTGCCGAAATGCAGAGATGCAGAAGCTCCATACTCTGTAGTTATCTAGCGCTGTCATGACTCCCCCGAATCTCCGCACCGTCCTCTTCTTCCCGCCTCACCTCTCCCCCAATCCCACTACCCTCCCCCTTCTCACAGCCCTTCAATCGCTACTCAACGTCTCCTACACTGCCACATACTGCCTTCGTCCAGATATCTTCGGCACCTCGCACCTCCGAATCGCAGATCCGGCCACATTCGCCGACATCATCGGCGCGGACGGCTTCACCATCGTCGTCTTCGCTGTGAAAAGCGATCAGCGCCGGGATCCGACCGAAAGCAGCGACGGCGACAGGGCGCATGCGAAGAGGGATGGCGAGCTGGCGCAGATGGTAGCGACCGGTAGCGTAATGGCCGTCGATGACGAGGATGTCAGAAAGCGCGCGCAGTGGGCGTCCCGTGCCGGGCGGGCTGCTCCAGGTCAAGAGAGGCAGGGCAGAAATGACTCCGATTCTAATTCCATCTCTGCTGCGTTGGGAGAACTCAACGACAAACTCCAAGCGCTCTATCGTGAACGACAAAACCCGGTTCCCATACACGAACTTCGCGCCTTTGCGGTCTCGCCTACGCATCGGGGCCTTGGGCTTGGCGCTCGCGTTTTGAAAACTGTGGAGTGGCTGCTTGGTCGCGATGGGGTTGGAGTGCTGGATTTTTCAAGGGGAGTACATGCGCCGGGATCTTCAGGGGCGCATTTGTCGTCGTCGTTGCGGACTGAGATGGGTGGTCAGGTGCACGGGGTGGATTTGGATGAGGTGATGAAGGTTTGGGATCAGAATAGAATTGCAGATTTCGCTGGGTCTGAAGCTAAGCAGTTGGAAAAAGACACTGCAAGCGGTGTAGAGTGTCAGTTGGGTCATCGCAAACTTAGGCTCGTCGCTATCCGCGAGCTCGGCAACGAGGGTTACTATCAAAGGCGAGGATATAAAAGCCTTAGGACCGGTATCCTGCCATTGGGTACTTGGGGCAGTAATGCTGAGTGCACTACTGTGTATATGGAGAAAAGTATCTGAAGTGAAAATTGTTTCTGTCATGCACTATCAAAATCCACGGGCTGAATACCGTACATATCAGTGCTCAAATACGTAGAATTGCGACGCCGATTTGCCTATGATGGATGCCATGACATGCTTGAAGGAGGGTCACAAGGATCTGGTCATGAATGTCAAGGGGCTTTGATGAAGCAAGATCGCTGGGATTGAGCCTATGAGATCAGGAGTCTGACGAAATTTACAAGCTAAGCGATCACATCAAGTTCTTCAAAGTACGCTGGCTTAGTCCTTTTCGCCACCATAGATCAGACCCAGGACCTGCTTGCAATATCTTGACTCTTTAGGAACGTATTCGGTCTTTAAACAAAGCTTTCGATAACTAGTCTTTTTCTACAATCTTTGTTCTCTGCAGTTGTTCTGATAAGGTTCCAGTAGCGTTTTGTTGTCCTTCCTTATCGTTGTTCGCTTTCAAGTCAACAAAAGCTGTCACGACTCAACGCACAATCCATTGTCTCTCAAGATTATTAGTGTCGGTTTCTTCATAGAAGCACCGCGTAAGCATGCTTTGTTGCACGGACCGGGGTCCTCAAGCTTCTTTGTACCGTTGAATAGAAGTACTTTGGAACAATGGCTCTTGTTCTCGCCACTCAGCGAGACTCTTTAAAGCTGTCCAGGGGATTCCTGCATCGAGGGAAACCCCAAAATTCAGACGCAGCAAATCCACGCCAGACTTCCCGTCAAGACACACGACCGCAAAAGACGGCGGACAAGCGCGGTCCGCTTGAACGTTAACACACGCAAAGTCGATTCCAACCATGGTGTGGGTGACCGGGGGAGGCAGAGAACCAGGCGTGAAGAGCCGCGGCCCCATTAGAGAGCGCGGAATCCGTGGACCCTCGGAAACACACGGTTCAGTCGTCGTGAAAGAGAGCTATGACAAGCTCCGACACATCGGCGAAGGCGGCCAGGGCAAGCTCTGGGTCGTCAAGAGGAAAAGCGACAAGAAGGTCTTGGTGCGCAAAGAACAGAAACGCTTCGAAATGCAGGGTGCCATACCCTGCGAGATGTACCTTTTCGAATCGGTACTGACCCGCCACCCTAGCATCATCGGGTTCGATCACGCTAACTATGTAGAGGCTAATGGCTCCAGGGGTTCCTTGGTCTTGTACTTCGAACACTGCCAGGGGGGCGATCTGAGTGAGTATACCCCTAGAGGAAGAGAGGGGGGTGTCTCAGAGGATTTCATGTGGCACTGCTTCATCCAGCTTGCGGACGCGATTGCGTTCCTTCACTATGGCTACAACCGCTTCGCACGATATCCCAGCTCCCCGCCTCGGGAGTGGAAGAGAGTCGTGCACCGGGACATCAAGCCCCCCAACGTTTTCCTCCGCCGCGAACCCACAAGCCGGAACCCCGTCCCGGAAGTCGTGCTCGGAGATTTCGGCCTCGCGACAATGGAGGGAGTGACCTATGGAGGCGGAACGAAGGAGTGGATCGGCCCCGAGATTCCCTTGATGACGAAAGAGAACGACGTTTGGGGCTTAGGGTCCATCATCCATGCTCTGGCCCACGGTAAAGGCCCGGTTTCGTGGCCCCCTAGGGATTGGCCCAGAGGGGAGGCCGCGGAGGATAGGTGGTATAGATCTCCCAGGGCGAGGCAGCCGAAACCGCTCCCCAAGGGCTATTCGAGTACGTTGAATCGGAATATGATGGATTGTTTAGTTAAGGATCCGGCCAAGAGGATTAACAGTCTGCAACTGGTGAAGAACTTGGTGGCGGAACGGTCAAAGGTGAGGCGCTGATGCGAGTTGCGTGCAATGGTCGCGAGGGTAGGAAATGAACCGGTTCGCTCGCTCTACTTGAAAAGAAATACGTGCAATTTGAATGAGTCGATAGTGAGCACAAAGATTGAAGCTAACACTACGTTGAAGCATCAACGAGATGTTATACAGTTTTATAGACTCGTTATCAAACACACCATCTAATAGGCGATTGGCTAGGAAAATGACCGATAATTACCACCATGATACGCGAGGCGAGCCGCCATGTTGCCATGAATTCTCACAATGATTATTGTACAAGCAAGGAGACACGGCCATGACCGAGATGTATTCAACCGTAGAGTAAGAGTAGATTGTGGATAGCGTCAAATGGTAAGAGTCTCACGGCTGGAGTAAAACACAAGTAGAAGCAAGTCGAGGCAGACTCAACCAAAGGTCGTCGGTCCAAAAAGTATAAGTTGAGAAACAAATTACCAGAAATTCACTGAGAAGGTATCTACCTTGCGCGCCGCGCTTGCACATAACATGACGAGACGGACAGATGCTTCAACATACGGTCACGTCAAAGGCTAATTGAGGTGGCGGCTTCAGATGTTTAGTCTAATACATGTATCGTTTTTATGATTTAAGCATATCATGCCTAGCGATCAAACCTCATTGCCAGAACACACATTGCGCCAGTGGCCCTATCCTATCTGGGTTGTCTTGCTTACACGTAATGGCCGTCGTTACCGGAATCGTGCATAGCACAATCTCCCCGCCCGGATTGCACGTCATACTGCCAGGTTGTGAGTTCCCTGGACTCGGCTGCCACGTGCAAGGCAAAGGCGCCGGTTCAAGAATCCCAGCCGGGATGGCAAACTTGAAATCTTTCGTGGGATATGGCGGCACGTTGGTCACGGCATCGTCGATCGGCACGTTCGCGATCCAGCTATTCGCGGCGCAGAAGTCGGGACCTGCAGCATCTCTGGTGAGATTCGTCATCCAAATCTTGTAGTAGAAATCGGTCATTGCGTTGGCACCGCCCCAGGTGTAGATTTGGAAAGCGAGATCGATGCTCCATTTGGTACCTGTTGGTTGGGGAGAAGGTGCAGGTGAGGGGGCGAGTGACGAAGAGGTGACTGGTGAGGGCGATGCAATTTTTGCGGCGTCTATAGCTGCTACTGAAGCGGACGCGATCTGGTATGCTATGGCCGCTAACTCGGCTCCTAGGGCGTCGTCGTTTACTGCTGTTGATGTCGGTATTGGTATTCCAGTGGTGACTGCCACCCCCGCAGGTTGTATTGTATGGGTTGTGGCTAGCTGTGCCGCGATTTGGGCTATCTCTCCGCCTAGAGCGGCAAATCCTGCTGCTATACCGGATGAAAGTCCTGGGCTTGCCGCGGCACTTGTGAAACCAGCTTGCGAAGAGGCTGCTTCTTCGCTGGTGACTTGGGCTACTATACTTCCTAGGTTACCAATGCCTGTTGCTGCGGCTTCCGACGGCACTACCCTGGCTGACGAAGAGGTACGGACGGTGGCGGGTAAGGAAGACATCACAGCCAATGAAGAAGAAGAAGAAGAAGAAGAAGAAGAAGAATTGGCTGTTGCTTTGGCGCTTCCGATAACGACGGCGAAGCCTGATGGACCAGATCCGATCCCGTTGGCTGACGAGAGAATGTCCCCTAGGAACGCCATGAAGGCTTGATTGGCAACATCTGGAGCGCTGTAGTTAGACATGTCAGGGTCGGCCAATGGGTACCTGTCGATAAGCTGTATGGTTGCAGTGGCCGTTGAACTACTGGACGACATGCGAGACGAGGCGGTTGATGTCATGCTGGGCGTACTGCTCATTGAAGTGCTTGATCCTTCCGTTTCCGAGTCCCGAGTTTTTGAAGCCTGCGAGTCCGTTTCGCTGGTAGAAGTCTCATCGTCATCGTCATCTTCTTCCTCCTTTTCAAGGTTCTCCGCTAATTTCCCAATGTTATCAAAGACGGTCTGTATTTTTGTTATATCAGGCGTGTCGTCTTCAAGATCGCCTATTACTTTGTCGAAGGCGCCTTTGAGACATCCTAGATCTTCCAAGAGGTCAAAGATGCTAGCCCCATCGAGGCACGCCTCTTCATACGACGGAGGAGGGCCAGGAGGATGCATGTCCTCCAGCTCATTGAGGATCCCATCATCAATCCCCTTGATTTTCGAAACCAAAGATACCTTGGGTCCGTTGTCTTTGATGATAGCAGAGAGGGTCTTCGCCTCCTCAGTGATGCTAAAGATTGCTCCAACCAGCAGCATAACTTGTGAACTAGCCACGGATCCAGTTGGGTTTAAGGAAATGGTGGGAATAGCTAGGGTCGGACCAGTCGTTATGGTATTGGGCTGCCCACCAGGCACTAATATGGCCGACGGAGATGGTGTTCCCGTTGAATGCATTGACTGTCGATCAGAAGACGCGCTTGAAGATATCTTCGAGGCTCCGGCAACAACGTAGAAACCAGAGCTACTGTTGCTATGAATGGAAGAACCGGTGGGGATCAGATTGATCTTGGGCGTCGAAGCAGACATAAAATTCGAACCTGTACTCCTAGATTGTGTCTGTGATACATTCTCTTGGACGTTGGGAGCTAGTCCAGCAGTTGAGGCCTTCGAAAGTGAGGAATTGGTCATGGCGGAAGAAGCCGAGGGAATCACGACAGGTCCAAGAGGGGCTGAACCGCCAGAAGGTGTTGCTGCCATTGACGTCGAAGCAGATACGGATGTAGAGATTGGAACTCCCGCGTGATATGTTGCATGAGTGCTTGCCACTTGTACCGCTATATGAGCAATTTCTCCTCCCAGGATGTTGTATCCGGCGGCAGTAGCTGTGACAGAGCTGGCCGGGACACTGCCGGAAAACGTTGCATTACTGCTGAATTTGGCAGTTTTGTTGTTAGCGATATTCTCGGCAGAATTCGAGCCGGTCGGATCAGCAAGTATTTCGGTGCCATCCACGAAGAGGTCATGAGCAGCGTCAGCTGACACAATTTGGCCATTAATGGAAATTCCAGCTGAGCCAGGTTGTATTGTCGTCCTGTCCAGGATGATATCTGCTGGATCGACTATGAAGACTTGACCTGCAATTGTGACGGTCGCTTGTGAGGGTGGTGCAGAGATGGAGGATGATAGGGAAGATGGATAAGCATAAGCTACTGGCAATGCTACAAGAGCCAGGCCTATGAGCCGGGTAAGAAATGCAAGGTCCATAGAAAATGGAATACGATATACTGAAAAGCGAAGATATAGTAGGATTGTAGGGAAGCGTGAAAAGGCGGAAAAGAACTTGAAGGCACAAAATGAAATAAACCTCCCAAAAAGTATCACTCCAGCTACTCGTAAAGTCACGGCATGCTATACATCCCGTTTCCCGGGATAGCGGGGCCAAGTGCCTGGTCACCGCTTCATGTAAGTAAAAGTCTACAGATAAGCCCTAGAGGGCAGTGCTCAGACATTGTTAGGACCATATTGGCCGAGGCAGCAGTGTTAACCTCCTGACTTTCCAGCAGCATCTGGGCGAGATGGAAGGACACTAGAAAATCTTGATAGCGAGCTTGTCTGGGTGACGAGGTAACAGGTATATTAACGATATATTGACCGTCTGTTTCAGCGTGGGTGGACCGATAGTGGGTGCAGGAAAAAGGAAGCAACTGAGGCGAATCCTTGTCTGTTGGAGGTTGGTTTGGTAGTTTAGCGCGCTCTAGCGCGTTTCGGCGGCTGGACAGGTTTGTGGCGGAGCACAGGCATTTGATGAGGGCACACTTCTCTTCCTTCACGATGCAGGCACTTGAAACGCGAGCCTTGAAAGCATAACGTCCAAAGTTCCGAATTAAAGTAGTCATTGCTTGTTGACCGTCAAATATTGCTTGTTAAAGATGCAAAAGAACAGTGCGAGCTCGGAGATAATTAGCAGGAATCAAACCCATGACGAGCTCAGCCTCTGCTTTACTACTCCATGGCCATCTTCCCTAAACATAGTCACTGTCAGATGTTCCTGCCCCTATCCCTTTACCTTGTCGCCCGCAAAAGTCAGTTCGACCAACTCAACGTGAGCAAATCAGTCCGAAAAGTCTTGTTAGCCATCAGTGCCATTCAAAACATCTCCTTCTCCATCTCGCCTGCGACTTCTCTCTCACGTATCCTGTCATTTCTGTCTATATCTTTCTCCACGAAATCGTCGTCATCCACTAGTTGCTATGTTGAATTCTCTCCTTCATGGCCATGCGCCTCTGCAGCTCCTTCTCTTCTCGACGCTTTCTCCATTGGTATTGGCCAGAGTGCCCATTACCCCACTTTCATATTCAACGTTCGACAGCAGCTTCAATCTCTACCCTCTCTCCGGGAATGGTGGGTGCAACAGGCCCACTCCCAATGGGCGACCAATGATGCAGCCTACCTTGAAGTCTCTCGGCGGTGTTTCGGCCATCGCGCAGACACTCGTGCAGAATCTCCCCTCATATCCTACTCAGCAGGAAATCAGAGGACTACTATTTCTGTTCTTTGGGATTACCTTTCAGGCGAATCACCAGCTCAATCCTGCCACAGACAATGTGAATGCTTACAACAACATCATCAGTATGGTTTGAGAAGGAACAGTGTCCGAATCATGCGATCCGTTGCTAAACAATACATTCAGACACATTCGGCATGGTCAACCGAGTATTCACAAACCCTGCGACCAACCCCTATAACTTAAAACCTCGATACAGATGCCTGGAAGACTATGCAGTATACTATACACATATGACCAATTCCAATGGACAACAGGACTTTTCGTTGCCATTGATCGGAGAATATTTCGATTCAGTCACAGAATATGGACTCACAAGTACGCCTAGAACCTACCATTGTGATTCAATTTGCACTACACTGATGACACGATTGCATAGGACCACCACCCTACAATGACATCTGGCCGGGCCTCATGTTTGTCAACAATCAGCTCGACGGCACCTTCTCCTGGTATATGCCAAATCCAGCCTCCCCTTCAAAGGGCACTTGCAATTTCGATGTTGCTCAGCAGCTTCTTGCAACCACCGCATTTACAGACGCCAAATATTCGACGGAAGGTCTGCTACCGGGAGCGGCGCAGACCGCGGTGCAGGATACGGCACGAGCTCTCTACGGGATAACGGTGTGCCCCTCTCATTTTGACGTACCTACTCTGCTCGACCTCGGTGCACCGACACCGAACGCGGGAACCTCGGAGGTCTACAAATTCCAACGATCGGCAGATCTGGAAGACTTGCACGAACTCATTCATTTGGTCACAAATGGTGGTACGTTACACCGAGAAAACTCTCATCCCCCGCTCGCTCCCACCCACAGAACTGTTCGACACACGTACTGACATTCTCCCCCTCTCTCTCTACGTCCGCAGTCGTCATCGACCAGCCCCAAATCGTACCCCCCGCCTCCAACCCGCCCTCCACGGACGACTACTTCACCAACCGAGACTGGCCCTCCTGGACCTTCAGCACCCTCTACCAATCCTACGGCTACTTCTTCACCGCCTTCCTCGGCCTCACCCGGCCCGAGCAGGCCCGTCTCAACGCCGACAACTGGGCCATCTTCGGCATGTGCGTGTATTTTCCGGAGCTGGATTGCCTGGGCTCGTTCCAGGATGATATCCGCACGAGGAGGTCGGTCCCCGGGGGTCTGTCGCCCAGAGCGGTGGAGAAGATTCGGGAGGGCGGGTTCGATCTTACGAGGGATACGCCGATGGATCTGGACTTGGAACGGGGACCGGGGGGGAGGAGGAGAAGGGCGGAAGATTTTGATTTGGGGTTGGCGGAGAAGGGGGAGAGTCGCTTTAGAGATGCGGATGTGCCGTCGGCAATTTTCGGTTAGATGGATTTGTTTCCTGTACATGGATACTTCAAACCCAACTTGTGGACGCATAGTCCATTCGGGCACGAATCTATCAAATCACTCAATGAGATCTACGCCCAAGGACCAAGTGTCCATCCGGTCTGCCATCCTATGTTGGGCCTTGGCACTGCTTTCTGCGGTGCAGCACTTGCTTCCGCATCCTTTCGAGCCCCGGCCAATCCATGTTGCAGGAAAGCGTCCCGCTCGATCTCCACAACGCCCTTGATCCGTAGATTAACCAATAAGCTCGCCCCAGCCCAAGCGCCCAGCGTCTCGACTCCTCGAATGACGCCAGAAACGGTGGGTTTCCTTCCCTTGTCCTTTTCGCGCTGGATCTTCTCTTCGATCGAATCCTGGAGTTGCGGTGCCAGCGATGCTGGACTTGATATGTTCCCCTCTAACGCTTTTCGATCCATTGAACTATTTGTAGAATTCGTCTCGACCTCCTTGACCTTCGTTGCTTGTCGATTACCACTAACCTCTCTTAACCTTCTTCTCCTCTCCTCCGCCGCTTTCCCCTCCACCGGGTCCCAACTCCTCGTCTCAACAATTGCAGCAACTTCGTCGAGTAGTCTTGCCTTGAGGCCAAGTATGTTTGAGCCACCCCCAGTGAAGATGATGCGGGACATACAGACTGCACGGACGTCGGGTGGTAGAGAGAGTAAGGTTTGGTAAATGAGCTTGTGGAGGGGTTGTTCGTGGTCGTCGAGTTGGTGCCGTTGTAGTGAATTGCCTAGGAGAGCTGTCTCGACTGGCAAGGCGAAGGCTGAGAAGGGGAGTTGGATGTTGAGGCGTGGGGAGGAGGGTAAGGGAATGGAGATTGGGGTATTTCCTTTGAGATCGCTGGAGCTAGTTGAATCTTTGGGCTCGTCTTCGGCAATGGAGATATTACCAAATTGACCGGGCAGATCTTGAGAGGTTGATGATGCCGGAACGGGCCCCGAGCGGCTCCTGCACCAAGCCATCCTCGTAGTCACCTCCTCCGCCTGCTCTAAGTCCACAGTCACCATTCCATCGTCTGCTTCCTCCTTCAAAGCATCTGCCGGCTTCTTTGCATTCTTGCCCTGCTCCCTCTCAAGTAGCATAGCCATCTCCAACGTAACCATCCTCATAGCCCTCGTAGTTCTTCTCTCATGAACCTCTCGATATTCATAAATCCCGGTCACAACGGTCTCCCTCCATCCGATATCAACCACAAGCCCCGACCTCAACCCAGCCATGACCGTATTAAGGATCGGAGGACTCAGCAACGTAATACGCGGACTCTGGAACGTGGCGAATAATGTCCCCAACACCGTGTTTAGCAAAGGGTGAGGCATCAAACTCGGCAGAATAACAACCAGCCGTTTCCCTTTCATATCTATAAGTAGATGCTTGGTGACAGCCTCCCTGACCGCTCTTTCTATTTTATCACCCACGAGCCCCATATCCAATCCCCTCACATCCATGCGCCACAGCTCATGGTCGTTATCCCAATTGTCAACCCTCCGCCTTTTCCTCTTCCGCTCACCAAAACCTGGCATCCATCTTCTATAATCCCCCACCCTCCTACTTTGCTCCGGTCCAAATCCCAGTCTGCATCTCGGTGCGCTCTCGCCCGGAAAACCAGCGCCGAAATGGCGGTTTCCGAACTCGAAAATGATCGTTTCTTCTTCAGGTGTGCGGTAGCTGAGCGACGGGGAATTGAAGGCTGAGGAGACGGTTCGTTGCGGGGTGTGCGGGGAAGAAGGATCGGGTTGGAGGTGGGAGAGACGAGGGCGGGTGGCGGAAGGGGGTTTGCGGTCGAAGTAGCCTGCTGCAGTGGCCATGGTGGCTACGATGCGCTCATTAGGCTCATGACTGATAATCCCGCTTTGGCATGCTACGCACAAGATTGGCGGCGATGGGCTTGTGTACGTAGCACTGGGGGTGTATAGCATGAAGATGCCTCGCGGGTTGTATTATTTGGTATATCGACGCCATCTTATGGTAGGTTGACACAATTTTTCTCTCCACCGGTCGGAAAATGATACTCACGGACAAGCACAATTCAGGGAAAGCGAGTAAGTGCTATGGCTAGAGATAGAGTGGGATTTGTGGACGACTGCTATTGGGCCCTCAGTCGAATGTTCAGCTTGGCTATAAGTATAGAGTGGAGAAAGTGGGGGGAGTTGGGGACAGATACAGGAGACCAAGAGTAAGGTCCGACTCTCACATCATGTCTTACACTTGTCACTTGTGTTAATCACCACATCTGATGCACAAGAGCACTACAGAAGATCATGATAATGGAGACTTCGAAGCCTGATAACATGTTGGTGTTTGGATGGCCTGTTTTTTCAAATAGTCCATCACTGACATAAAAGCCTCACAATAGACTACCATGAAAGGCGAGACCCATAGGATAAAAGCCATGCTTATGAAAAACGTGACAGATTACAAAGATTGGTAATCCATGGTGGGAACCATTTGGGTAGAACAGAAGACCCGTACTAATTATCATACATAACAGAAAATTTCAATGTCGATGAGTATTCTAAATGATTGACGCCTAAATCCATTCCCAACATATATATGGAGGGTTCCGTGGTAAGAGGAGGGCGGCAGGATCCGGACAGACTTCCCAATGACCATTTTATTGAATGGCTAGCAGAAGCAAAGCAGCTGTATCATCATGAGCTGCCCCCATTCGCCGAGAAGAATCAAGGCAGTACCAGAGCCGGTCTCCGCAAACCTGTAACTCTTCAGGTGACTGTCGACCAGCCGCAAGGACAATATATGTGGGCTGAAGTTATCTATTGGTCTTGGAGTCCCCAATACACCTTCTGCACTATTGATATTGGAGGCCGAAGACTCATCGTAAAAAGGTACAACTGGACAGGGCGCCATTGGGATTATTCCTTTGAAAGCTGGCTGGGTCCTGCAGAAGGGTTTTCGAAGCGAACAGTTGCTTATGGGATGTGGCAGAAAGATCCAGGAGACTCTGAAGGGTCCAATATCGATTCGAAGTCACAGCATGCAAATCCCATGCAGATGCTCTCTAATCCACCTTGTGTTGGATCACCGGCCAACCTTGATGGCCGTGCCCAACAACAGCCAGAGTGGCAACCATCAAAATTACCTCTGACAAATCCTTTGGATCCATCTTCGGCGCGTCCAGCCACCTTGAATCTAGGGTACATTACGCCTCAAAGAAACGCCCACTATTTTTTGCTCAACAACCCTCCGAGGCTCATGCAAGCCAAACGTCGTGACGTACAGCTCTCCCCTCCCACGGCACATCACGATAGTCAGCATTCCGTTCAGGCGCCAACCGAAAGAGCACCTTTTTCGGGACCGATACACGATGTATCATCTCCAAAGCGACGTGAGGAGGATTCCCCAAACGGCCCGTGTGAATTTGTGCCGGTCTCACCATATCAGCATCTTACCTCCAAACCCAACGAGGACAGCGCAAATGGAATTCAAAGACAATATTATGCCCCTGCGGAACGCACCGACGAGGGGGCAACCAGCGAACAGCCACATGGAAACAGTGCAGACACCCCCATATCCCATGGACCGCAGTATCAGGGACACGAATCCACAGACCCCAACTCTCTAGCAAGGCCCACGAAACGTAGGCGTCAGATCTCCACCCCAAACCCCTTGGACCCCACATCACCGCAGCTCCCGACGGCAACGCGTTCTCCATCCACCCACTCGTCGCCACGACCAACCCCATCCGCATCCTCGCCGAACCCCTCCAGGTTCCCAACCCCAACATCCCTCAACCCAGACCCCACAGACTCAGCGTTCCAACTCCCCTCCCACAAACAGTCCCGCACAACCCTCTTCATCGCCATCCCCCTCTCAACCGACACCGTCCCTCTCAAACTCCGCTCCTGCATGACTCTCGCCTCCTTCTTCACCGCCGTCCTCGCAATCTGCGCTCAGCCGGGCCAGCACAATCATGTCGTCTCGGGCATCAGGGCCACGTTCGATTGGAAGCAAGACAAGGGCGTCGACAGGACGATTCTTCTCAAACAGGATCTCCCCGACACGTTTGAAGTCTTGTTGGAGATCGTCGATGGGGCGCCGTGTTGGGGCGAGGGAGGGGGCCGGTGTGGCGTCGCTGTTGAGGTCGTGCTGGTGTGAGTCGGTAGGTTGGGGAGTCAAGGGATCGGTTTTCACGCGTTGGACGGCGAGATGAAGATGGGGGGTGCGGAGCTATGGTTTGGGTGGTCATGTTTTGCATTCGAGCCTGTAATTTACTTGTGATGGTTCGGTTCGACGGCAGTATTGGATTGCGATATGAGTGCGGCTTCGACTCTCAAAATTTATATATATAGCGGGCAAGAAGATGTCCTTGTCGGTGACTTTGGGTAGAGAGCCGGGATTACGTGGCGCTTAATGGTGCGAGGAAGAAGGCTTTGACGCGATGTAGGCATTCACAAAAATGGCGAGACTGAGTCTACGATTTGTGATCGTATTGAGTGGTGATATTATTCATTGAGTGTCAACCAAACACTTTAAAGAAACCCCATAGGCCAAGCCCGCTTAGTACAGGAATCGTTACATTGTCATCCCATCCAAAAAGATCGACGACTTCGCTCGCGCTCGCAATCAGTCCGCTGCAGAGACTCACTATTCCTAATGCTACCCATCCACCCACCACACCCTGCGCTTCTTTCAAGCCAATGGCATCCTTCACTGCCTTGGGAAGTCCCAACTGTCCCTTGAACATGAAACCCTCGTCTCCACGCCCATAAGTTGGCACCGCCCACCCCCAGAACACAACCGCTGTAATCGCCCCCACGACTGCCGCCGCCGTACTTCCTGCTAGACTCTTCTCCCGTCGTAATCGCGGAGTGTAGCGCCCCCATAGCCGTCCAAAGGTACTAGCTGCCGTGTCACACCAGCTGAGCAACAGCACTGACATAACGCCCACATCTTTGGGGTAGAACCGCAGCACTGTCCATGCCCCTAGCAGATACCATATAACGCCATTGTATCCATCTACTTCACTTTCCCTCATCAGCGCCCCTAGCACTCGGATATAGAACCGGTTGAAGGCTGGGAAGGTATGCCGCGCATAGTCGGCGCTGGCGATGGGTATCAGTGCACCTAGCAGCCATGGGTGTATTGATGCAGCGGACGTTCCGCGTGTGTAGAGATGGAGTGTGAAGAAGCCGATGGAGACATGTAGGGCTTTGCGTGGTATTTCATGCCGGTGAACGAAAGAGCGCCAGTGTCTGTGAATAGGGATAAGACCAAGGGGCGAGGGGGACCGGGATATGGAGCGCCAGTAGGACGAGTCTGCAGAAGTGGCGGAGGAAGGAGAGAGATGGCCGTTGGCCTCAGAAACCGCACCATCTGGTGGCTTTTTCGTAAGTTGAGACGCTTTCGAGGCTGCAGCTTCCTTTTGTCGTTTGGCTTGGGTTTTCGGACTCCGGCTGCGAGATCGAGCGCGCTTTTCGAGGCTGGAGTCTGAGGAAGGGGAGTCGGGTTCTGGATCTTCGGATATGGGGGAGGGGGAGTTGTGTCTTTTGGCGGTGGCGGAGCGTGTTATGGGGGCAAAGTAGCTGTCGCGGTGACTTTCGGTGGGTGTGGGCGTGGGAGAGATGATCCGAGGGGTGCCGGGTGTTTGGTATTGTTGTGACATGGCGAGGAGGGCGCAAAAGGAATGGAACGGTGGCAGCACCAGGCTAGAACCAAAGCCAGAAGAGGAAGTGTATAGAATAGAACGATTATTTGACAAAATTGAGTGGAGTGGGTGGTTTCGATGCTTGAGGTCCGCTATCGTGACGTTTTCTCTGCCTCACTGCCAGAGTGCGTGCTGCGTCGAAGCGCTCGACATGGTAAACTGCGCAGAATATCTGGGCATGGGAAGTGTATGAAAGTTAACACCGTGAGTCCAGCTTTGAGAAGCTTGCTGGCCTTCGCCGAGGATGTTTGAAAGTATTCGTAGGTCAATGATGACAGGAAACGGCCAAGTATTTTTCCAAGCAGTGAAGGAGTGAGCCAAGGCTTGCCGCAGCGCTAACAGATTAGATAACGATTTTTCCCCGTGTGCCGCCAAGACCCCTCGGACGCTAATGAATCCCTTCAATCCTTCTGTTTCGCAGTCCTGCTATAGTCCCATACAAATTCCCTGTCTGCTCACTTAACCGTAGCGAGATTGAGCAAGCCAAACCATTTGAACCCTGCACGGTCTCGTGGTTGCTTTCCTTTTGCTCTTGTAAGGGCCATTTGAGGAAAAAATGGCACCAGAACCGCAGGCAGCGCCCGTGAAAGCCGCCGCCTCATCATCAAGAGCCTGGGAGGCTCTTACGCCGCCGTTGGCTGAATGGATTCTTGATGCCGTGTCTAGCATGGGCTTCAAGCGGTACATCAATCTCAAGCTTACGCCTTCAGGAAGAGATGCTAACTCTGGATTGTGCTTAGAATGACGCCTGTACAAGCCAGTACTATACCACAGTTCATGAAGCATAAAGACGTGGTTGTAGAAGCAGTGACAGGATCTGGGAAAACCCTAGCGTACTTGATACCAACTTTGGAGAAGCTCTTACGGTTGGACGAGGAGATCAAACGCCATCACGTAGGAGCCATTATTTTGTCACCGACAAGGTGAGGAAAAAGGAAGCGGATACGGCTAGATTGGTGCTGAGAGGTGTAGGGAATTGGCCACACAGATTTATGGCGTTCTGCAATCAATACTAGCTTTTCACGAGCCTTCTTCCGCGGCAATGAAACTCCTCGACGAGAGTGATTCTGCGGGGACCGAGGAATTGTCGCCCTCATCTTCAGGTCCGAGAGTTGTTGCACAGCTTCTCGTAGGCGGTGACACTTCAACAACCCAAGATCTAAGCCATTTCCTCAAATACAGCCCGAGCCTACTTGTAGCCACTCCTGGACGGCTACTGGAACTTCTGTCATCACCGCTCGTCAAATGCCCTCAGTCATCCTTCGAGGTCCTTGTGCTCGATGAAGCAGATAGACTGTTGGACCTCGGATTTCGGGAAGACCTGCAGAAGATACTGGGAAGGCTGCCTAAACAGAGGCGTACGGGCCTTTTCTCTGCCTCTGTGAGCGAGGCGGTGGGAGAGATCGTTAGGGTCGGCTTGCGGAATCCTGTAAAAATCGCTGTCAAAGTCAAGGGAATAAATGGCGGGCAGGATAGAAGGACGCCGTCTAGGTAAGCGCAAGAGGTATCCTTTCGTGGCTGCAGAGGATCATCCTAACGTATCATAGTCTCCAGATGAGCTATCTTATCGCTCCTGCGTCCCATAAATTTCCTGCCATTTCCAAGATCCTCTCAGCATTAGAGCCATCTCCAAACAAGATCATCATATTCCTCTCCACCTGCGCCGCAGTCGACTACTTTCAGCACGTGCTTTTGTCAATCCTTCCGTCGCCGAATCGTCAATCCTTTACTCTAATTCCGCTTCACGGAAAGCATCCTGCAAAGGCCCGTATTAAGAATCTTGCTGTCTTTGCTAATTCGAGCACGCCTTCGATTCTTCTGACTACCGACGTTGCAGCTAGGGGTCTTGACATCCCTCAAACGGATCTTGTGATCCAAGTAGACCCACCGAGTGATCCCAAGGTCTTTTTACATCGTTGTGGGTACGTACATTTTGGAAAATGCTTCCAAGATATGTTTCGCGAGCAAATGTCGCCCTATCCCCCCTCGAGTCATCTCATTACCCGGCCTTTTGTCTGGAACAAGGAATGCTGACTCCAAATTCTCCAGGCGAGCCGGGCGAGCCGGTCGCAAAGGCTTGAGTGTGGTCCTTTTACAACCTGGGCGCGAAGAGGACTACATCTCGTTTCTTGAGGTCCGCAAAACTCCAATCACTCCATTGACTAGGCCTTGTTTCGATGTCACCGATGAAGATGCTCGAGCTGCAACAAAGGCAATAAGGGAAATAGTTTTGTCAGACCGTGCTTTCAATGATAAAGCAAAGCGCGGATTTGTGTCTTGGGTCAGATCCTACAGCAAGCATCAAGCGAGCAGCATCTTTCGGATCGGCGATCTGGACTGGGAGGACTTGGGAAATGCGTGGGGATTGCTCAAGCTTCCCAAGATGCCAGAGCTGAAGAAATGGGAGGGTGACAAAGCACTGGGCGTGGACATAAACTGGAATGCGTATGCGTACAAGGATAAAAAGAGGGAAGAAGTGAGGAAAGAGGCAATAGCAGAGAAGACCGAGGTATCTATCACAGCTGACATGGCTCCTTTTCCGCGGGTAAAGAAGCAGCTGAAGAGGGCATGGAGCGACAAGCTTGATGCACGAGACGAGAGGGAATTGAGAAGAAGTAAGAAGCGTACAAAGCGAGATTGGGAGAAGTGGGAGAAGATGACACCTGCTGAGCGCGAGAAGCAACAAGAGTTGGAGCGTATGATTGACCAAGTCAAAGCAAAGAAGGCAGAAGAGGACAAGCTTGAGACGTTTGAGGGCTTTGATGACTGAGTCCTCCTATCGATCATACCTTAAGGATACTGTTGCGCCACGCCGATGCACATATTGCGCATGCAGCGACCGTACGTCCCGTACATTCTGAGCCTTGTCTTTTGGTTGCCAATGTCCGATGTCCAACACCTGATCCAAAACACAAAGACACCTTCACTCTTTACGGAATGGTAGGGCTACGCCGCAGACGAGATTAACATCCTAAATGTCTCCGACGAATACCCTTATCATCCCATCCAATCCTGCCATCGCTGAACAATTCCTCCCACTCCGACTGACTTGGCACTTTGCCACTAGATGCAAATGAAGTCAGCATCCTGCAATCCAATCTCCAACAGCGAGAAACAGCCACACTGACCTCTTCTTCTCCCAAGTCTGCCCACCAACGCCCCACCCCTCGTCGCGATGCACACCAGTTATCTTCACTGGTTCAGCCCCCTCCTTATCTTTTCCTCTGCCCTCGACATTCTCATCATCCTCGAACTGCACAACCCTCCTTGTGACACCTCTCTCCGTGACGCCGCTTTCCTCGCTCTGGTTGCTCTGCCTGTTGATCGCCTTCTGAACACGCCGATACTCCTCTCGCTGCCAGCACACAGTCCGCTCAATCTCCCGCCGCCATTTCTTCATGCCTTTGATCCGCTCCCGCAGATCTCGCACGCCGCAATTCTCATTCACCCTCTCTTCCTTGCTCTTCCCACCAAGATCCATACCCTTAAGGAACACCTCCGGCACTCTGCTTTCCCCACTACTAGGCCTGCCCTCACCACTACTGACCCTACTACTCCCGGCATTGACGCCCCGATACTGCCCCGGCGACACAGGACCCTTGCTCGCAGCCGGAGTCGAGGGATTATTCTCCTTCCACAGCGCCAACGCCCGCTCAGCGGCCTCCCTGCCGGCGCGCTCCGCCTCCTCCTCTCTGCCCACCTGCGCACCGATGTCGTGGATCAGCTTCGCGAGCACGATGCCGTCCATCTCGAGCCATTCGTTCACGCTCTCGACGCGGTCCGCCAGCTTCTGCAGCTGCGACGACCGCGCGTTGAGTAGGCCTTCGAGGGCGCCGGCGCTGCCGGGCAGGGCGTCCGTGTTCGGTGTGCGGGGTCGTGGGGTGCTGGGGCTGGAGCGCGAGTGGGGCGATGTGGGGGAGTTTGGGCGGGACGGTGGGGTGGAGAGGGATTTCTGCGGCGAGGGCGAGTCAGTGGTCGGGTCTTTGCGTTTGAGAATCCTGTGGGGGAGGAAAGGGGACAGGGTCATGGTGGTTGGGGGGCGTGGGTGTGGGAAAGAGGAAATGAAGGGATGGAGTGATGTGCTCTTTCCTTGTATGTTTTTATGGATTTTCGAGGGGAGGGAGGTGGAAGGAGCTTTCATCGGCACTGATGATCGAGTATGATGTGAGAGAAGCGGCGGCTGATAGGAGTTTCAGCTCCTGCTCCTGCTCTGCGACTTCTTTCGTCTTGCAATATGCAAACATACTCGAATCAGGGCTGCTCGCTCACGCAAAAATCTCTTCATCAGCGGCGATGATTGCGTTGATACGAAGACAGGCTCAGCCATCATAGGTATAGAGTCATGAGTCATGCTCCTGCCTCTCACCTCTCTTCCCTTTTAGCACTCAAACATCCCCTCAAGCACACTCCATCCACTGGCAGTGATGAGGCCAGGAAAAGGGTGGCAGGCGGAAAGGAGCATAGATCCTGCTCCTGCTCTTGAACTTCTTCCCTCTTACACCACTCAAGATTCACTCAAGCGTGCTCCATTCATCCGCAGCAATGATTGAGATAATGGGAAGGCAGTGATGCGAAGGCAAGAGCAAGTCCCAGAGGATCAAAGTCCTGCTTCGGCTCCGGAACTTCCTTTTTCTTACAAGCACCACCAATCCACACAAGCATCGCGGAACAGTGGCAGCTTTCCATCCAACATTCAAAGCATCGATTAAGCGTTACAAACATCTTGCACATGAGCAAAGAATTAAAACACGTACCCTGTCTCCAACTCTTGTCTCACTGGCACTCCGTTGCGTGAGGGTTCGAATATAGTCCATCTTTGGCGGTATGCTGTGTCGGTCTTGCTTGACCACGGATGTCAAGTGGATGTGTGCGCTCGATGCTGTTCTAATAAGGACATGAGTCGGACAGATGGATGTCGGTAGATGGTTGATAGTAGGGTATGGAAGAAATTCGGTCAAAAGATCGCGTGCTGGTGTTTGGTGTTTGCTTTCCGATGCGAAATCTGAGGATAAGGTCTCTGGTGAGATGTGAATTCGCAAAGTGTTGAAATTGACGATGACCGGGTTTTAGAGCACAGGCACAGAGGGAATAATGCTTCACTTTCGAGGAAGTTCGACACAGCTACTTTGCCCTTCGCTACGAACATGAACACTGCTTTCTCCAAGGCTTTCATAGCTCTGAACTTGGGTTCGCTGCCCGCTGCCGAATCACATCATATGCAAGGCCTAGCATCTATACTGGTAGGATATATTGCCAGCCTTGGCCTCGTTTCTGCCACTTTCGAAATTTAGCTCTATCCACCGCTAGCTCCATAGCTGTAACACGAAATATCAATCTATAGTGAAGACAATCTTTGGCCGCCATATAGGAGATCTAGTTGAGCTCCGTCTAGTCGCTATGGCCTGTTAGCTCATCTACTTCTCGTGTCCGCTCCTCGGTTCCGAACTCGAGTATTATCGTCCGGTTGGGAAGAGTTGGGTCAAGATGTGACCTCTTCGCCAACTTCAAGGCTAAGGCTAAGGTCAAGGCTCAACTCCAGCTCGAGCTCGGGCCTGAACCCCGAGCCAGAACCCGAGCCGGAGCGTGAGCTAACATCCGTCACTATCACGGTTGCAGAGCAGAAGGAGCTGAATAAATTCGCCGATAATACAGCAGTCCACCTCGATACGGCCGAGGGGATCCCGAGAGGGAGGAGCACCGCTAGTCCTGAAGGCACCACTGAAGGTTTTGGCAATGGCTGGAGTGTCTATGGACTCAGGTCACATACGAGACTCCACAGCGGAATTGGCGGCTCCGCGAGCTCCAAAGCGCCTTGGTAGTTCTTGTACCTTTTCGAAAGACCATAGCATCACCAGCAGCACGCACCAGAAGATCTAGGATGGTGTCTTATTCAACGAGGGCGCAGAGTTTTGGTTCGCTTACCGGTTGGATGAGCGTGCGGAGCAGCAATGACTCCTGCGGACGTTGACGGATAGGGCATATGTTGATGGCTCGAGGAGATAGGCCTGGCGAAGTTGGACGGTATGCTCGCCTTGGCGGCAGCAGCTCTGAGTTGAAAATCGACCTTTCTCTAAGCAGCACTGGTTCAAAACGGCCTTCAGCATGTGATTGATTGCACCGCTAGCGCAAGAACCCTCTTCTCTGACTACTCGCCCCTGGAATCGCGGTGCATGGCGACTTCGCTGCTGGCCAATGGCATCCTAGAGGCAAATCTGCGCAACCCCAGTCCCACCGCCGTCGTCTCGAGAACCCAAAACCCACTTCATCAGGACTAGACGCAGCATTCCAGCCGCTGCCTGGAGGTGGTCAATGTCCGGCTGCCTCCTCGTCCCAGCCTTCACGCCCAATGCGGTTGTTCCCGTTGGCTCATTGCATTCACGTTCGGAATCGAGACTTCCTTTGGTGGCTCCTATCCTCAACTGCGAACCTGAGCTCTATTGCCTTCCTCACCTCCCTGAAGAACACCATTTGGTCATGAACATCACCATGGAGTACTTGCACTCCGCAAGACATTCGTTTTTGTCTGTCTGTCTAGCGACGTTCTTGCTGTATGATGTTCATAAAAATGTAGCGAAACCTTGGAGATACTCACCACAGATCATGTCATGGAGCAAGTCGTGTTACGAGACCTGCAGTACCGGCCGCATTTCCTCCTCATGGCAGCATAGGCAGTCACCACCACCGCTGGCTCCAGACGTCGTACGGTAGGACAAGCGTTCTGGCTCTTTTGGCTCCATCTTTACAAGCCCGAATATCAAACACTACGAATTATGTGCACTGGACTTTGTTGAAACTGATTCATTGTAATCGCTCCTGGGGGTATCTATTCTATGCTTTTTAAAAGACCACTGACACCCTGATGAACTCCTTCTGTAACAACACGCATGGTATCTTCGTAGCACAGCACACCAAACCACCCATCAAGAGCCAGCTCTTCCCCCTCCTCAAACAAAACCATTGAAAGGCAATGAGATGGGCTGTCTGCGTCCGACTTTCGACGTACTGATACAAGATGCATATTGATCCCATGACCCGAGGTAGAAAGTATCTCCCCCAATCATGACATCTTGCTATTTTGCAGACAACCCAACCTCAATCACCCTCCACTGAAAACCGATATGTCAACGAAGCCTCATGCAGTGGCAAAACTTCCTTTGAAAAGCAATGAGATGGGCTGTCTGCGTCCGACTTTCGACGTACTGATACAAGATGCATATTGATCCCATGGCCCGAGGTAGAAAGTATCTCCCCCAATCATGACATCTTGCTATTTTGCAGACAACCCAACCTCAATCACCCTCCACTGAAAACCGATATGTCAACGAAGCCTCATGCAGTGGCAAAACGTCCTTTGAAAGCAATGAGATGGGCTGTCTGCGTCCGACTTTCGACGTACTGATACAAGATGCATATTGATCCCATGACCCGAGGTAGAAAGTATCTCCCCCAATCATGACATCTTGCTATTTTGCAGACAACCCAACCTCAACTGCCCTCCACTGAACACCGATATGTCAACAAAGCCTCATGCAGTCCAGAACCTCCTGCATCGGACTTTGAAGGCACAAGATAGTTGCTGTTTCCAAGATCTGTAACGCTCGTCCTGTCTTGGCATCTTGTTCCAAATTCTACTCGCGTCATTTTGAGGGTCCTCGTCGGCGACGAGCACGGATGTGCTCACTAGCCCAAACTCCAGTATGTGTCAAGGATAAGCCGGTCGCAAGCCCTCCATTTGCAATGCCGAAGCAAAGCTGGAGCGAGAAGATAAAAGCGTCGTGTCTAAGAAGATTATCGTGAGATGACAGTCCGCCGAATTGACGAAAGGAAGGTGTATGTGAAGCTGCTGTTTATCGTCGGACCGTAGTGGAAATATAACAGATGCCAAACGTCGAAAAGTGCGGTATGTTGTCGGGACCCGAGAAAAGAATGTTAATGTGCATCTCCAAGCCGCCCGTCAGAATTAAGGTCTCGTCACGTCCCTCCCGCATGTCGTACAAATACACGGCACGCTGCCTTAAGCAGGCACCGGTCCCATCACCTCTTGCCCTGCAAGGTATTCGGTGATCCCAGGAGGCACTCCCATCGCTATCACTCTATCGGCTAACTCTCTTTCGATACCTCCATCCTTGACCAGCCTATTGAAGAACACCTTCATCCCTTTCGCAGGATCACTCTGCGTACGCTCCAAATCTCCAGGTCGCCAATTGTCCTCAATTTCAGTCTGTATACCCCTGTCCGACAAACCGTCTGCTCCATTTCGGTCCAACGCTGCAGAGATGACATTCTGTGGTTGTGTGTAAGGGAACCCATTTGGACCGTCCATCAAGTCTTGCTCCTCCGCTAACATCTGTTTTTCAAACTCTTCGTATCCGTCATCTAAAACATAGTCGTCACCGTGCTCCTGCCAATAACGATCCATATCAGCTTTGATCTTCGGATTCAAGTTCGCAATGAATTGATCAGCGTCATCCATAATCTCGCTTTGTTTCTTCGCCGGAACGGCTTGTTGACCACTTGATCGTACATCATCAGTACGAGCAGCTGCAGAAATATTGTGCATAGTCTCTGCCTGCTTTCCACTCGTGTTAGGCACAGCTTGCTGCTCGCCCGGTTGCTCGCTGGCAGCTTGTGTGACAAACTGTGGAAGTCCTGTTGGTGCTGTAGGACTGCTAACCGCCTGCCCGAAAGTTGGTGCCGCAGGAGGAATAGACTGTTCAAAGACTGGTACCTTGCTGGGGGTTGGTACACCGGCAGGGTGCGCAGGATCGTACTCGTCAACGTTTTCCTCATCTCCAAGGTCAGAGTCCACCGTAGAAGTAGACAATCGGCTTGACTCTCGAAGCGTGCTTGGCTGCTTCGGTTGATGCCTCAAAGCCTTCTCTCTAGCCTTCTCCAAAGCACCTGACTGTTTCATGGCGGCAGCTGCCGGCATAGCTGTATGGCCTGAGTCAGGACGCGGTGGTGGTGCCATTGCTTTCGAAGGTAGAGGGGAGTTGGTTGTTGGACGTGGTTGCAGTGGTGAGTTGCGTAGGATACTCCTAATCTCAGGTACGCTTGTTGACGATGCTTCTTGGGTTGTTTTGTTGATTTGCTCTTGTTCGTCATCTTCGTCATCATCACTGTCACTACTACCTGGAGAAGGGACTCTGAATATGAGCGTGGGACCAGGGGGTGGTGTGCTATCCAACGCTGGGTGCGTATCAGGCCCATCAGATTCAATGAAAGATTTGTCGTCTTGACGAGATCGTAGCTCGTCCGGATGAGCAAATAATGTGCCAGTGTAGGGCCGAGCTCTAAAAGGATTACCAAAAATGGCATCATTAGGTGCGCTGGTTCGAGCTTTCTTGAAAGGACGTTCTTTAGTTGGCGTCTCTTGCGCCGCCGCAACTTCTTCGTCAGACGATGAGTCGACCATGAAATACTCATCAACCAAGCCAAAGCCGCCAGTGGCTGGAAGCGGGATAACATCAGGAGATGGCCTGCGCTTTCGCTTCTGTCCAGGAGTCTGGGCAATATCCGCGGATTTCTGCTGCTCCGCCAGGTCTTTCTTCGCAATCTCTAAATCCTTCTTCTGCTTCTCTAAAGACTCTGCCTCTCTCCTTAATTGTGCTCTCATCCTCTTGATCCGCTTCTCCTCTTCCGACTGCTCCTTAGTGAGAAGCCTTTGTTGGTTTGACGTCGGTTGACGACGACGACGGCCTGGGTCAGCGACAGAATCTGGAACGTCAGGGGCAGGTTGGGTCTGGGAGCTACCCAAATTGACCTGGGGCTCGGTCTGCGCGAGGTGCTGAGGTTGTGATGGTTGGGTTTGTGGGGCAGAGGGGGCAAGACGGGATGAAAACGGAATGTATTTGGTGACTGAACGAGCAGAAGGTAAGAAACTTGAGAGTCCCCAACCCCGGGCACGTGGTGTCTCTGGCACTTGTTCCGGTTGAACTTGGTCTTGCGATTCTGCAAATAGTCCCCCTAACGCAGGGCCGTTGGTATCTGGATTCTCTTCTGCAACGTATGGCGATTCGACAACATCCGCGATGTGCCGAGCCTCCTCAAGTTGGGCTCTCTTTCTCGCCTCGATGTCACCTACAACCCCGTTAAAACCTAGCCTAGAGAACGCATGACTATAGTATCAGGAATGTACTCACTCCAACGCGAAGTCGGGTCATCTGTGGGATTGACTGCTACTCCATATTCGTCAACTTCGATTTCCTTGGTCCTGCCTAGTAAGAGTTGACCGTCGGCGGTATACGGGTCGGGCACGATTTTGGTACGCTTTTGAGGCGACTTAAGTGATTGGAAGGCCTCATTCTTTGTGGTTTGCGGAGTACTTGAGCGTGATGCTTCGGCGGCCTTGGCCCTCAATTTGGCGTTCTCAGCCTGAAGTGTAGCCGTTTCTTCCTCCATTTCCCGAAACCCTCTCTTGCGTTGGGCCCTCCTCATGAAGGCGTCTCTCATGGTGAAGCCTGGAGGCGGTAGTGACTGCTGTGATTGCCACGATGGAAGTTGCGGCCGGTATCTTGCGTCCCCTTGGACGAATGACTTTACAATGGGATGATCTGTCGTAAGTTTACTCAAGTCAGAACCTGGATTCGCTCGTGACTCGATGTAACGACAAAGAGGAGCAACAAGTTCAGAAGGCACCACAAATGCCGCAGGCTTTGAGGGCCGAACAGGGTCCTTTGTGCCCTGAATATGGTCCATATGAAGGGTAATGAGACTATGTGAACGTTCTGGATTGCTAGGTAGATAGTAGATTGTTGGTTCAGAGTCAGGTTTGGGAGCCTGTGGGATGGGCTTGGGAGAAGGAGACAATGAAACGGGAGCTACCCCAGCTGGGGTAGGAGCTCTAAAAGAGGTCTCCGACGTAGGATTTAATGGAGTGGTTGGAGCAACGGCATTAGGGGTGAGAGGCCCAGGGCTGCGTCCAGGACTTCGAGGACTACTGTTCAGAATGTCCCTAAATGTTTGGGATGTGGCCGATTCGCGGCGCTCTTGTGGGGTAGTGGCTCCTTGCACGGGATGTGCATTCATGTCCTGAACCTGCACGGGATGTACAGAAACACCTGTAGGAAATTGGGTCTCACCAGGGGGTTCCACGTCTAGCCTCTCCGTATCCTCCATTTTTTCGTTATCATCGAAGACTTTTCGTGTGGTAGGGCTGGCTTGTACCGCGGCTTCTACTTGTGTTGAGCTATCGGAAGCTTCAGGTGGGTCCGCGTCCATAGCCGAAGACTCTGGTGCATCATGGCTGTTCGTGGCTAGGGGTTGTGTACGACCTCGCGCTATTTTCTTGGCTTTGCCGATGCGACCACCTCGAACTGATCCGCCTCGTGTTGAGGGCGGGAGGTCTGGGGGAGCGGCGGTGGTGTTGTTGCGAGTGGTTGTGCGTTTGGTACGATTTGAACGAGTTGCGGTGGGTAGGGATTGCGGAGGTGATGCAGGTACCCCAGACTCTTGTTCCTGGAGAGTAACCTGCCTACGGGTTCTCGCCATGGTAAGTAAGTCGAACCTGGAGGGGAACCCAGTGGGCGGAGGAGTGCCGTGAGGCAATCAAGGTAGAAATGGTAGCTGCCACTGAGCTGTGATGATTCTTTTGCTTAGCAAGATAAGATGTGAGGGTGTGGAAGAAAAGTGAGGTTGGTGTTGTTGATGAGAAAGAAGCGTTTTGTGGAGTTGAAGATGTTCGGAATGTTTTGCTGTTAGCGTGACCACTAGCGCGCCTTCCGGATTGGGCTGGTTGTAGGAACTTGTGCCACCAAAATTCTTTGTGATTCACGAACTCCTCCCCATGAGAGAAACAGACTCGAAAATGGTACGGATCATTTTAAGTGATATCTTTGGGGGAAACTTCTGTATCACTGCTACTAGTTGTTTGCACTTTGGGCGAGCGTACTAGTACTCTAGCGAATAATCAAGTCTCAGTCCACCTCTGCACTCATGAATGACTTGATGCCGCGCTCCTCTACCCTCTGAGCACTGTGTAGTATGTAAAACAAGATAGATACAGTAGTAATCTTAGTAGACACATAGCCTTGAATGAAACAAACATGCTGGCAGAGCGCGCGCACACCATCTTTCTCCGAAGGCGAAATCTCGAAGGCCTAGTAGACACCAGTACGCGCCCTCACGCAGGTTCTCTGTGAAATAGACTACCCAATCTACAGAGATGACGACCGAAGCGACAGCCCCTGATGCTGAACACCACGCGGGGGAGGTGCATGCTCGGTTCAGCTGGTCTTCCTCTAGTCACTAAGAATCTCTTTCTCATTGCACAGCGATCTCGCCCTTCCAGCACGCAGGGGTCAAGCCCAGAAAACTGATCATCCTTTGCCATCGCTCCGAACCCCTCTCCTTTCGCTCCATGTAAGCCAACAGCTTTTGCCGCCTGTGCAACAACAGCCTCAAATTCCGCTTGTTGACCTTGTCGTTACGATTCGGACCTTCATACCGATCTGCCAGCACTCGAATCTTGGCTGTCAAGATGCCAATTTGAACCTCTGAAGATCCCGTATCTGGGCCTGTTCTTGGTGTGGGTACCTGAGGTGGGATAAGTGGATTATGTTTCACAACTGCGGGTCCCTTGGGCTTGAGTATGTGATCTGTGTTGTGACGCCCGAAGGTCTCGATGATGCGTTCGGTGTTCTTTTTCGTTCGGTGTTTGCTGCTAGCATTGGTGAGACTGACGATGCGTTGTACTGCTTCTGTAGCCGATGCATCTCGTGATTCCCATCTCTCATGGGCTTGCGCTTCCTGGTCAGGGTCGGCAATGGTAGAAGAAGGAGGTGGCAGAGGTCGCGTGAGGTATCGGGAGAATTCGAGGGACCGTGCCAGCTCTTCATGCTTAATTCCATGATCTAGGTGCTTCTCTTCTGAGGCGTAAGCTGGCGAAGGAGGAGGCGTGTCTGGATTAGCCTTTACAGCCTCGAGAGAGACGGCACTCGGGTCTTGCTTGATCTCTTGAGGAACTTCCGTATCGAACGATTCGACGAAAGGTGTAGGGATACCACGGATTGGGTCTCCTAATTCTTTGGCCTTTTGTTCTTTGAGAACAGCTTGACGACTCAGATTGGCATCTCTGCGGGCTTTGACTTGGCGTAGTGTGTACTCATCTCGATGCACTTGCTTCCTCTTCTTGAGTTGCCGAATGTTCCAACCAAGGCTGCTGGTCGTGGAGAAATGTAGATGTGACGAGGCTAGGATAGGAGCGAGGAAGCTTGGAGGAGTATGGCACCATAGTGACTCTGCAGCGCATTCAGTCTCGATACTTTAGTTGGCCAATGGAATGACTTACCGACTGCAGTCCGCGTTTGAAGACGCAATGGCAAACGCGACGCCATCTGAGAGACTCGTTGCTGCGGAGGACTAGGGGACTCGCTCAAATTTCATAAACTCTCCGTATCATATCGTATGCGCTAGACTAGCGCATTACATTAGCATCCCGCACAAACTTTCTTCGCGAAATCGAGCTTCAAGGCCTTACACACAACTCAGCTCGACAGCAGCTCAACATCACCTTTCCTCGATATCTTGTGCTCATCCCGATATCAAGACCGTCAAGATGGCACCCAACAACCTCCCATCAATGTTCAATGCGACCTCTCAAGACATTGAGATGTTGCTTGCAGCTCAATGTCATTTGGGCTCCAAGAACATGCAAACTCATATGGAGCCGTACCTGTGGAAGACTCGCCCAGATGGAATCAACGTGATCAACATTGGAAAAACCTGGTAAGATCCAAGGAAGCTGTCAAGTTACTTGCCCGCGGAAGCTGACTCTGCTGCTCCTAGGGAGAAAGTCGTCCTCGCAGCTCGCATCATCGCAGCAGTCGACAACCCTGCTGATATCGCCGTCATCTCTGCTCGTCCTTACGGTCAACGTGCTGTCCTAAAGTTCGCCGCTCATACCGGTGCTGTTGCCATCGCCGGTCGCTTCACTCCTGGCAATTTCACAAACTACATCACCCGCTCGTTCAAAGAGCCCCGCCTCATCATCGTCACCGACCCACGCACCGATGCCCAAGCTATCAAAGAAGCCTCCTACGTCAACATCCCTGTCGTCGCTCTCTGCGATACCGACTCTCCCACCGAATTCGTCGACGTCGCTATCCCTACAAACAACAAGGGTCGTCATGCTATCGGTCTGATCTGGTGGATGCTGGCACGTGAGGTCCTCCGTCTACGTGGTACCCTCGCCGACCGTGAAACCGAATGGGACGTCATGGTCGATCTCTACTTCTACCGCGATCCTGAAGCCGAAGAGAACAAGGACTCGGCAGGCCAAGAGGAGGAGAAGGTCCCAGGTGTCAACGATGTCGGACCTCAAGCTATCGATCAGGGCTTCGCCGGTAACGCCGAGTGGGAGGTTCCAGGGGGTGCTCCAGGTGGCGCGGCTGCTTTCAGCGCTGCAAACAACACTGCTGGTGCTCAACCCAGCTCCACTTGGGATGCGGAGGGTGCCGACTGGGCTGCGGGTGCTGCTCCTGTGCAGACTGGCAATGATGGCTGGACTGCTGAGACCAAGAAGGAGGGTGAGGTCCAATGGTAGAGCAACATCCTTGGATGATGTGATGGAGACAAAAAATGACGGCACTCATGAGGGAAAGATACCTGGTAGACTTCTGCTAGGGGAATGCCCTGTGCTATCACATGGATGGACTTGATAGTAATCCAATCTTCATTGCATGCTGTTAAACCAGAAGATAAAATTTGCTACTTCATTACTAGTCACTGTTCATGTCCGTGCTTCTTGATCTACTGCTGGGCTTCTCGGCCTGAATTGACTCACGTTGTCTATTAGGCCCTCGCGACAGCTTCGCCATCCGGTCTGCATTACCATCGCAAGTCACAATCCAAAGGACCGACGCCGGAGCAAGCAGTACACTCAAGACAGCCATGAAAAAAACGATCCCAACCAGACTGCTGATTATCGTCATCTCCAGCGGCGTCGGCATAGTTGCCAGGCTGTCCATGAGGAGGATGGGGACAATGTGATTATTCGAGTGGCGTCTGGATGGTGATGGTAATAGGAGAGTTGGAAAGAAGACTTGGCTCAGAATGTAGTCGTCTAAAATAAGCATCTTCAGTGCTTTGTCTGTCTTGTGTGTTGACTTGCTATCAATGCTGCTCTTTGTTTGTAGCAGCTGTTAGAGCCTTGTTAGGTCATGACTGTCCGAGCCCCTGGCCTTTGTTTGTTATAAAATCATACACATATCTTTGTCTTCTTGGGACGAGCAATCTCTTTTCCAACATCAAAGGCATCCAATGCTAGGAATGACAAGCCTTCTCAAGTCAACTTCCTTCTGCAAATTCCCAATTCTACCATATATCCTTCAGCTGTCCCGCAAGCATGCCTAAACCACTGAACCTTACCTTCGGTATCGAATTCGAATGCATCGTCTCCTTTGATCCTACCACATACAAACCAGCTTTGCACGCCGCTGAAGGCATCCTTTGGGAAAAGAAAGTTTCATCGCTTTTGCACGAGGAGAGTAAACTCTGCATCCTTTTCCGCGAACACCTCGTCCATTTGCTCAGAGCAAACGGCTTCCCTACTTACAACATGACATCTGCCGGAGGCAACCAGAAATGGACGGTCTCCCACGACACCTCCATCGACATCAAGGACGGTCCTCGCTCCAAAGACGGGTTTCTGGAGTGCGACATTGAGATCACGTCTCCAGCGATGCGCTTTTGTCCGAAGGCGCTGCGTCGGGTGCAGCACGTGATTCGAACACTGACGAAACATCTCGACGTGTCCGTGAACCCATCCTGTGGCCTGCACGTCCACGTCGGCAATCAGACGGCCGGCTTTCCTCTGCAAACGCTCAAGCATTTCTGTATCCTGACGGCTCTGTTCGAGTCTCAGCTCAACAGCCTTCATCCCGCTCACCGAATCGGCAATTGCCACGCCAAAGGCCCGTCTGCAGCATTCACAGGCCACGATCTGTGGGACACCGTACGAGCGATCCAAGGCTGCGAGACGGAGGAAGAACTCGTGCTGCTGTATGCAGATAAAGAGGACCGTCCAGACAGGTGCTTCGCTTATAATCTCTGTCCGATGGTTTTCGGATCAAACAAGACGATTGAATTTCGACAGCACGAGGGTACTCTCGAGTGGTCGGAGATCATGAATTGGGTTCAGGTGGCGGGCGGTATGGTCGATGCAATGCATGATATCAGCAGCTTCGGCCTGGCGCAGCTCATCGGTACCTGCGCTTTTGACCCCAGGTTTTCCGTTTCTGATCTCCTCCGCCGGCTCAAACTGAAAGCTCTGGTCCCGTACTACAGCGGCCATTTGCATGTGCATCAACGCCTTGAGCCAGTTCGGGCGCGCGGTGGGATTGAAGGGAATGTGGAGGGTGTGTCCCAAGGACGTCATGCGGTCGGTAGGTGGGACGAGTTGGAGAGACGGCACAAACTTGAAAAACTTGAAGAGCTGGAGAGACTCCGGGTGCTTGCTAAAAGGCATGAGCTTGAGAGGCGTCACGAGCGTGCAAGACAAGAAGAGGCGGTCGATGCACGAAGAGCGACTTCCGAGTATGAAGGAGAAGAATGACGCCTTGACGACCGAGGCAGTTTCAATTGAGTTCACACTTTGCGGGTCTGTATGGGTCTGTCGAAGAGTGGTAGCTTTCTATGGCGAGAATGAACAGTGTTTGATATTACGTCCGGCTCCGTACTGTCCATCTTTGCCATCTTGCAGGGCGGTTGCTGAGTTTCCTGCTTAATTTCAGGGTTAACAAACATGATTTCTGTAAGTCTTAGGACATTTGTTAACAATTCTTTTCCGTTAATTTGCTCATGGATAGTCCGCCAATATGAACAAAAGCTTGGGGACTGTAATGTAGGGCATTCTTAAGTAGAGTAACGATTGCAACTCTGGATCGAAGCACCTTGCAGCCCACAGGTTCTCAAACAAAGTTAAAGGGAAGACTTGACCCGCAGAATATCTTGGTATCTGGCTCGCCTGGCCCAGAATTTCTGGCAAGTAGGTAATATTTGGATATGACCAGTGGGTTTTTTAATGTCAAGCTTTCTTTGAGATAGCTTCATCATACATCTCGCCTGCCCGATCAGTTCTTCCCCTTGAGATATTTCCTTGCACATTGGGATCGTAGCCGCTGTTGTCTCAGAGGCATTTCTTCACATTTCAGCACAATTCGATGCTGCAGTGGACAGACGGAATGATCTTATTGGATGTATCACCGGTGCAGCGAGGTAAGTGCGTGGCACGTCTGACTCCAATCCAAATCCACCGCTATGCCATTTGAGGCCATGGCCCAAACAAGCTGAGAGAGAAACTTGGTTTCTAAGATGGATTTGCTGTCAAATTGAGGTATCATACCCGGGGAGGTCGTTGCGTTGTTCAAGACTACGATCGCATCGTGTTTGAGCATTGACAGCGAGAAAACTTTCGTTGACAGATCTTGTCGATATGTTACAATTCGACCAGCTTCGAACACCAGATTTATTGCAAAGCTGTCTCCGCCTTTTCTTCATCTTATACTCTCTTTACGCGTATAACCAAGATGTCCTTTCCAGAGAATGCTGTACATATAATGGGGATTCCCAATCCCGTTATGAACCCTTGCTCTTGGTTGTCACTTTGCTGTCTCCTGATCAGAATCGAAGTCATTACCAAGTGGCCGACTTCATTAAATCACACGGCCATGTTCTCATCGGATGCAGTACTTGCGCAATATAAGTCGCAGCGTATTGAAGTGCCATAGCATCTATCTTATGACTTAAGCTTCGGGCGACGTAACTGAACAGAATCACACTGCTACACATAAAGATCTCCCATCTAGATGATCCTCGATGGATTAGTACATATATCGAAGTACTCTGGTAGGACCAATCGTGCGGTACAAGGCTAGAGCCTGGGATTAGGCGATTCGCACTCGCATTCTCTATACAGAATAATACCAATCTTTGAAACGGTCGATAAGATTTTTATGATTGGTCAATCTTTGCGCTTGCAGAACTTGAAGAGGATATCGGCTCTATCTGTCGTTATTCGTGATGCGCTAGGTACGAAATTATAGAAGGCAGACTCTTTCATGATTTACTAGGCAAAATATTAGGGCGGTCACCGGAACACCAAGACTGGCCAAAGGCCAATTGGTGTTGAGAACAATGTTTGTTTACGTCCATTTTCTTTTCCTACAGTCCAATCAACACCATCCATACATACCATTTTGCGTCTCGAATAGAAGCACCGATTATGGTGGTTGGGGCGGTAGCCTTACCAAGCCGTGGCTATTTGTCGCCCACTGGTGGAAGAAATCGCCCAAAAAAAAAGGAAAAAAGAAAGGTCGAGAAGTTCTCGATACTAGAGTGGTTTCTAGAGCCGAAGGCGGGGCTCGACTGTATTGCTGTCAGTACATGTAATAAATTATCAGAGACATTGATATTCGTACACCCGCGACCTTGAGGTTTTCTTGACTAAGAGCCACACGCTCTACTAGTGAGATGTGAGCATATTTCGGCGACCGCACAATAAGGTAGCGTACCCGATTGAGCTACCCCGGCGTCGGATTCTGGAACGCAATCTTTTGCAGACTGCGACCTTGAGGATAAATTTTTTATCTTATTTTATTATATATCCAAATGTTCCTTTTTTTTCTCGTAAACCCTTCTAACAATCTTTCTCACTGCAAAAATTACCTAGACATCAGAATTTCCCTGCTTGGGGGGCAAAAACAAAACCTGCACTGAGGGGCCGCGAAAATTGCAAATCGTATCTTTACCACCTTCTATAACTCGACAACGGTAAGCCTGGTCACAAACTCCCCCGCATCAAAATTGTTCTCTATAGCTATTCCTACCAATCATGTACCAAGAGTCTGAGTGTATGTCCCGTCGTTGTTGAGTCATCCAGCTTCACATCTCGCCCCCAGTGCAGTCCCTTTTTTGCCCGCGCAGCGGACTTCGCGGCTTCGACATGGCTTGTGGTGCTGTAACCTCTTAATCCTCACTTTGCTCTTCTACTTTGTACGATTATTTGATAATCGCGTTCTTTTGATCAAAGTCTCCCATATCTGAAGCAGTGAACTCGCCTCATTGATGCGTAACCCAAATCTAGATTTACCCCCCACCAAACCCTCCTCCAGTCTCAACCACGCATAGCGTTTCTGTGTCACTCACCCCATCACCCTCGCCATCATCAAACTCCACAATGGCGGATACAGGCCCGCCAAAAGGCAAACTCAAACTCATGACCCCGTTCAAAATCGCCGACGATCCCCCGACCCCTCAACCCATCCCCTCCCTCGTCCACCCCGAAAAGACCCCCGCGGAACGCGCAGCCGCCCGCTTCTCCCTGGCCGGCAAAAAAGCAATCGGTGCGTGTCCCCACCCTCCGCCCACACCCGCAAGACTCAGTCGTCCTCCCCCCCAGTGACCGGCGGGGCCCAGGGTCTCGGCCTCGTCTGCGCGCGAGCGCTCCTCGAGCACGGCGTCGAGCAGCTGGCGGTCTTCGACGTCGACGCGGGCATGGGCGGCCGGGCGTTGCAACACTTGGCCCGCGTCGTCGGCGAAGGAGCGAGGCCGGGGGTTCGGTTCGAGAAGGTCGACGTCACGGATGAAGGCGCCGTCGATGCGGCCGTCGCGCGGGTGGCGGCCGTCTTCGGCGGCGTCGACGTCCTGCTCTGCTTCGCCGGGATCTCGGAGTCGAAACTCGCGGTCGAGTACGACATCGGCTCCTGGCGTCGCATCTTCGACGTCAATGTCCACGGCTCCTTTCTCGTCGCCAGGGCCGTCGCTAGGTCCTCTTTTCCCTCCCTTCCCTTCCCTTCCCGCTTTCTTTCTCCCCCCGTTCGTCCGTTCCGCTGACACGGTGACGGACAGAGACGTCATCGCCCGCAACCTCCCCTCCGCCTCCATCGTCTTCACCGCCTCCATGTCCGGCTACGTCGTCAACCAGCCCCAACCCCACTCCGCCTACGCCGTCTCCAAAGCCGGCGTCCACCACCTGGCCCGGTCCATGGCCGGCGAGTGGGTCGGCCACGGCATCCGGGTCAACAGCATCAGTCCCGGCATCATGAACACGCGGCTGAGCGGGGGGCCGGGTCAGGCCGGGCTGAGGCAGTCGTGGCTGGAGAGGAGCCCGATGGGGATCGGGGATCCGGAGGACTTGACCGGCGCGGTGGTTTTGCTTTGTGGTGAGGCGGGGAGGTTCATCACGGGGACGGATATTAAGATTGATGGTGAGTTTTGGGGCTTGCCTGGATAGGAGATGTGGAGACTGATGGTTGCGTGTAGGGGGTTATACAATTTTTTGACTTGGAGGATCAAGAGAACGGTGCCATGTCCCCGTGAGTTGGCTCTGGTTGTCTGGGTAAGATCACCAACGCCCCGGGTCTTCGCAAACCCATATCTTTTGAGAATGAGATTTTAATAAAAATTTCCTTGGCGTAACGTTGTCAATCTGCTTATGAACAAACAGTAAGTGCGACGCTGAAAGATTCATCGTAACTTCGTTTGTTGTTGAGTTGTGGTGACATTTCAGGAGGCGGATTTTGGTAGCGCAACCTTTTACCCCTGAAACCAGAACCCTGCCGGCACCACCAGGGTATGGAAACATGAGGCGGGCAGGCTTATCACTGGGACAGAAGCCAAGATCGATGTTGGAGCACGGGGACCGACACTTGGTATTAGGTGGCCACACAATCTTTTTGAGCGAGGTAAATATCGATAGAAGAGGGGTTTTTTGGTACATGAAACTCGCAGACTCCAACGACGGCAATGCACGAATCAAAAGACGTCCTCCAGGAAACCCGTCCCAGCGCCACCAACGCCGTTCGCCAAATGCTGCTGTTCATCATCTCGCGTCTTCATGTATATCGCATAGTGCCCGACTGCAAACACGATCTTGGCCACGACCTCCGCCAACGAGACTTCCCAAGATTTTGACTGCGGGATCGTCAGCCACGCTTCCTTTCTTTTCGGCGGCGACGGCAACATACCTGAACACTGCACAGACTCGAGAAATGCACCACCCCGTTGAACTCGGACTGCAGCGCGGTAGCTTGCGTCGAACAGGACCAGCCCCAGAGGTCGTCGTTTACTCCGTGCGTGCTCTTCTCGTACCGGTAGAGCGCCGAGATGACAAGCCACGCTCCGATGTGTATCACGTATTTCACCACTGTAAGCTTCCAGCTCCGCCTCGCTTTGTCGAATGCACAGCAGTACGAGAGAAGCGTTATGGATGACAGAAGCAGAGTCAACCCAGCACCGGCAAGCAGCATGAAGGTTGGCCACAGCTTCGGCTCCTCAGGCCATGCGGTTCTGCCACCGCGGAATTCGCCCTTGGTGGATTGGTATTTGATGACCGTGAAGAGCATGATTGCGAACATGATGGTGGAGAAGAGAATGGTGATGAGTTTGGTGACGATTTTTCCGATGCGCAGATAGCGTTTCAGCGTCTGGAACCTGCGCTGTCGAAGACGACTGTTGGGGGTCTGGATCTTGAGCGGTTGAGGGACTGCGACATGAGAGGAGTGCACGAGCGGTTTCGTGGGAGGATCTATTGGGTGTGGAGGTCTTGCGTTCCAGCTGTCACTCGATAGCTGCGGAGGCGGGCCGCTGTGCATATTGTTCATAGAATGCTGAGGAGGGCTGTTGTAGCTGTTGCTGTTCGAATGCACAGTGTATAAGTCCGGCCTCGATGGCTCAGTCGGCCGCATGTGGCCGTCGTTACTGTTGTAACTGTTGCCGTTCGAATGCACAGTGTGGAGGTCCGGTCTTGACGGTTCACTGGGGTGCACGGGGTGGTTGTTGTAGTCGTGGCCCGAGTATAGGTCAGATCCCGCAGTTGGGTCCGAATTTGGGAAGGAATCGAGCTGGTAATAAGAGGCGGCGGCCATTTTGGTGGACTGCTCTTGGAGAGAGATTCGCGATTTCTTTTCTTGAAGTTGGCAGTAGTGCTCCACGAACTGGTTCTTGTTCAAGTGATTACCTCGCATTGGCTGGCAGTGTGGGTTGAGAGCGCCGTAAGCTGACTTGTATCACTACTGCTACTCGGCGTCGCGGCATTCAAGAGTGGCACCAAAACACAACGGCTTCACGTATGTTCAGACTTGTATACAGACAAATGAATAGAACGGATCATGGTGTAGAAACTTCTGTTCTGAACATAAATACACACGCGATGCACAGCCAGACTCCAACGGACCGGCTCTCGACTGTAACACCAAGGCTTTCAGTGAGCTCCGTCGTAACTAAAGCGAACCGTTATTAGCATCGAGTCATTAAAGTCATTTTGTTAGTACTATTACATATAAGACTGAGGCTTCGCGCTGCCAGTTGCCCTAGTGCTGACCTCAAGGCCAGAAGCGACAATCAAGCGAACTCTGACAAAGCATGAAACTCTCGAAGCTGACAAAGAGTTCTGGGGTAAGAGCACATCTAGAGCAGTCGCGACGAAGTAAGAACATGACCAAAGCGCGGCAGAGATCAGCCTCTTGAAGTCTGTTCCTCTGGATGCGTACAGCTGCCAGGTCTGGAGCCATCGGCCTTGCCCGTGAGCCGGTTTAACAGAATTCAATCTCTCCCAGACTCCCACTCAGCCCGCAACTTGGAGAGAAGCGACTTCTGGTCGTCACATAAGAGATGGCATGTCCTGGGCTAAAGGGAAAAGCCTATCTTATGGCATTATGTGAAGAATAGTGATGACTCGCTCTGCAAATTGCGACAAACTTTGGAATACGAAGAATACCACGCTAGTGTGTAGCGCGGTACTTTTCGCTTATCTACTTGTATGGCTCGTCTTTTTTCGTTCACCCACCAATGATCAAACACCCGGGCTTCTCTTCACTTGTTGTATCTCAATCTCATCACCTTGGCACATATCTGTTTAATTTATTGAAATGGCGCGTGAAAGATTTGTATTCTCCCCTCTTCGGCCTCGATCCGCCTACTCTCTAAATCCGGCTTCCCAGCCCCCCCACCATTTCGCACTTGGTACAGCACGGGAGTCCGCTACTTCATTGTTTACCGAATGTCAGTTATCTAGCCTGGATTAACCCTAAATGCGATAGTCACTCAAGAACCTGATTGATCGGCTGTATGCGCATCTCGAACGGTTCCCTCATCCCGAACAAGTCTTCACCATGACTGAACAGGGAGTGGTAGCCTGCATTGGACGAATTGGCAACTGCTGCTGAGTCGTACCGAACAGTGGTGACCATGTCTACGCTGCATCCTATTCTCAGTGATAGCTACAAGCAAAACCAAACCTATCCAGGAAATCGCCATTCCCAGAGACTCCTAGCTCTTTGCCGCTCATGTCATCAGCCTGGTACACCCGCGAAGCTGTTGAAAAGGTCGCCGGGCATGCAAAGCTAACCGCAACGCTTTTCTAGAGACGCGGTGACTGCGTTTTTAGATGGTGATGCACGCAACCCGTCCGTTCGAGCTCCCATACTGTCAAAGGATACGAAAGTACGTTCATTCTGTACACGAATCACTGGCTCCGGGCTTCAGAGAGTCTACCCACCATGCTCAACAGGTCAGAGAGACCATGCTCCTAGTTAATGTTTGAGAGGTCAAGACTGTTGCCTCAAGGTCTCAGCCTTATGTTAGCCTTCTGACCCCCGAATGGCACATCTGTGGGATCATCATCTACACAGTGACATGGAGCAGATAATTTCTTCACCTTAACAGTATATATTTTCCAGGCTACAGCCTACGTGCATTTGAAAGCGCCTGTGAAATTGCTGATTGAAATGAACCGTTGCCACAATTCTGACCGAAATACAACTGTAACTATCACCCGGAAACGAAGGGGACCCTCCTGAAAACACGACGCTCATCAGATCTCATTTCTCGCCCGATCACATGCACCACCTTTAGCTCAGTACACAACAGCACCTCGCTGAGTGGTACCTTGTCTGTTCAAGATGCAACCTTGATGAAGTCCAGCGACTGGGACATGGCTGACATGTGTTCCGGCTCGGCCTCGGCCTCAGCGTCCGCCTCACGAGGCTTGACGTAGTCTAGCGATTGGGACATGGCTGACATGTGTTCCGGCTCGGCCTCGGCCTCAGCGTCCGCCTCACGAGGCTTGACGTAGTCCAGTGACTCGGACATCATCTGAACTTCACCGAGGCTCACACTTGACGTAGTCCAGTGACTCGGACATCATCTGTATACTTCCTGGCTCGAGGTCGGCCTCAGCGTCCGCCTCACGAGGCTTGACGTAGTCCAGTGACTCGGACATCATCTGTATAATTTCTGGCTTGGGCTCGGCCTTAGCGTCGGCTTCACGAGGCTTGACATAATCCAACGACTGGGGCATCATCATTAAGGCTCCGAGCTCAGACCCAGCCTTAGCGTTTGCTTCACGAAGCTTGAAAACCACTCAGCAACGGTTTGGTAAAGCTCCGCACGATAACTCACCCTGATAGCCGCAGGCAGTCCACTAGAGATCGCAGAGAGGCAGAGGACAAGGGTTGCCAGGTGGAGAAGCATCGTGACAGATGGGATGATGATCCGCGAGACGTGGGCTGTAGGCTATGAGAAATTCGTTTCGACGCGGGATGAAATATGGTCAGAGAAGACGCTTTGAGCCCGAGGCATGCCCGGCATATATACGATGCTGCCAGTTTGTTTATGGCTACTCTCTTGTGGAAAGCGGGGTTGTACCAGACGTACATCTTGATAAGAGTGTCATCGAAAAGGTCCACAGCCTGACGTGGTATTGCATGATGCACGATTGATCCAATAACGCCCACTAAGAGAACACCTCATTAGATTACTGTCTTATCATTACCTCTGGTGTCGCTCACCATGCTCATGTCTTCCGTGAAGATCCTGGGTGCGCTTGATTCAGAAGGTGCTCGGCAATGGTCGAGGCTCATTGGACTGCTTCACCTGCACTATGAGTTAGACTGGGGTAGAGGCATGCCTGGTCGCAGAGGATGAGCGAAGGCAAGAGGTGCGGGGGAGGTGTGATCTGCGAGTATATCAGAACCCGCCATCCTGAAACAACAAGGCTCGAGCCGCTCGAAGCCCGTCCGAAATCCTTAGACCTATCAACGGCCAACAATACTAATGCGAGGAGTATACCATCGACTGAGGTGGTGTACTCGTCTCCGCTAGTAGTGTGACGCACATAACGAGATCAATGAGTGGCATGATTAGAAAGTATTCAGGCCGGAGGTGCCGGTTTGCGTAGGATCAAAACTACGTGATTACGTGAATTATGCAGGCATAGGTTCTTATCTCTCTATCAGCGTCAATAGAGCCTACGATCGGCTGAGGAGACAACGATGTCTGCTGTGTCTTAGTGTGGGGTGAGTAGCTCAATCACTTGAAGGTCCAAAGAGAGGTTACTTGAAGCTTCTAACCTTCAACAGAGATGTCCGCCGGCGGATCATCTGATGTTCTCACTTAGCGCCTATGAGTCGAGAGCAAGTGAGGAGATGCCATTGAACTGGTCTTAAGAGGGTTCGTGAGGTGGTGTTGAATCTTAACATCACCCTTGTCTCTTGTCTCCGATTGCAATTCGCTGTCGCACATCCAGACAGGCAGGAAAGCAAGAACCTTTCAGCAGCCATTCAGGCTCACGGTCGGCAGCCATCTGGAGAGAGGAATTCTTGTTCCCTTGGAAGCGTGCAGTTGATGCCCTCCTTTCCTGAGCTACGTCATCCCGCAGATGGAGGGTCTCTCTTGCATAACGCCGATCGTTCTCGTGCATGGCAGATCACTGCATAGCTTCTTATCTGTACTACATTTCGTCTATTATTCCTAAATACGGAAGTTCGCAGTCTCGTTTCTAATGCTAACGCTATGCCAGCTCATGCTCCCCATCACTTGCACCTGCCATGTCTCAACGGTCCCCTATATATTTTCGTCCTTTTGGTACGACGAGATGCAACAATTATACTGCACTGCACTTCGCGTCTCGAGTCCTTTCTGTTCTTACTAAATCACTTTTTGCTCACATCCGGCGAGGATGGAGAAATACTTGCCTCTGATCAATGAAGATGAAGAAGGGTTTGAGAGGAGCCAGCTAGCTTGGAAGCGAAAAAGTCGAGGCTGCTATCAGATCCGCCTTTCCACAGCCATACTCAGCCTGATCCTCGTCATTTCATTAAGCTGCAACTTGTTCTTCATATTACCCTTACCGAACTCTGCAAATTCTGAGACGTCCAGCATCTCACCGCAAGGCACGCGCTGGGGTAAGCTTCCATGCCTCGTTGCTCATTTTGTAGTGTACTAACAAGCTACTAGCTGGACTGGTCCGCAACGTATCTGTTCCTATTTACTCTAGTACCGAGTATGGCCCAGCAGTGGGGACCCAGGAAGAGCGAGACGCGCTGTGGGGAGCACTGGACATAAGTCCCGGAACGATCGCTCTTTCGGACGAGTTTGCCGCGCAGAACGGCCTGCCACGTTCCCAACGGTTCCCTTGGGATCAATCCAAAGGAATTTACATCATCGGTGCATTCCATCAAATGCATTGCCTTGTACGTCTATATCCCCACCCAGACTGTGGTGAGGAATACTCTAATCACAAAAGCGCAGATCAAGATCCAAAAGTTCACGTCAGCGGCCCATCGGGGCGCGCCACTGGAAGATGACAACCTCTACCACCACGTGGAGCACTGTCTCGACGGCCTCCTGCAGGACGTCTACTGCCACGCCGACGACACGCCCTGGTTCGAACTGCCGCCCAAACCGTTCCGCCAGGGTTACGACCCCTTCCAGACCCGGCAGTGCAGGAACTGGGACCGGCTCGTGGACTGGGCCGCCGGGTACGACGCTTGCTATCGGGACGACAACGTTACGGACGTGAACGGGAGGGAGGTCGAGAGTGAGTACGAGCACTATACGTTTTGCCCGGAGGGTTCGGAGTATGTGCCCGAGATGGAACGGTATTACAGGGAGCACGAATTGCACAGGACTGGGTTTGTATTCGGCGCGGAGCGGGACTCGGAGGAGTGATCTGGTGTGTCGTGCAATTGATGAATTATATCGATTGTATGTAGCTCTGGCCAGATGAGCATTAGAATTCGACAACGAACTTGCCTGTGACGAAGAATTGTCCTCGTTGCAGGTGCACACGGTAGAATAGGATTCCCGTGTGTTGATCCGGCACGCTTGACCACGAGCTATACCCCATGTATCGGCGGCCAAGGGCGCGTGCGTGCCTGATGTTCTGCGCTCTTCCAGATGCACATCGTGAGACTTTTCGTGGCCAGATTGCATACAGCTAGGTAAGGCAGCTAGACCGACGCCAAGGCGACCAGGGCGAGATAAGGTACTCTACCTAGGTAGCTGTATGTCGTTAGCAACGTGTTTAAGGTGAATGAGGTACCTACATAGTCAGCACTACGACCTAGACTAGCGTCGATGCTCCCTTCCCCCTCTTGCTTGCTTGCTTGCTTGAGGGGCTCCGACCATCCGTTTTCACTTACTTACCTCGGCTCGTGTCGTTGTCGTTGCCGTTGGAGCACGCCCTTGATGGTCAATGTCACGAGGAAAGAAGATGAGTTCCGCTGCAAGGTTAAGGCGACGATGATGATAGGGAGTTCTGCACAGATGAAGGGAGCGATGGGTTTGTGATGGATTGATGGTGAGGGTGATAAGGTATTGTGCGTTGGGTTTCGCTCCTCGTCGTTTTGGGATATTTACTTGGGATGTTTGATGCTGTGTGCTTGGTACGATGATTGTAATACACTTCACTTCGGAAAAGAAAAAGAAAAGCAAAAGACGGCCATCTGCATGTGCATAGGCAGATTCTCTCCCCTGGCGCGGAGACAGATCAAACTACCTTACCTACCTACACAAACTCCATCAAACACCCCCGGCTATGTCCGCTCTACGACCTCCCGCCCCCATTCCCGGACATCTGCCCCCCCGCCTGCAAACTCGGCCGCATTTGCATTTGCATTTGCGGCCCGGGACGCGGCGACGCGGTCGGCCGCGGTCCCGTACCCATACCCATACCCATACCCACACCTACGTTCTGGCCCTGTGCCTGGGGCATGGTTTGAGCGGGAGACACTGATGTTCTGGGACCGTAGGCCTGCTGCTGCGTGTATTGCTGCTGCGGTGGCCTGTTCGAAGGAGCCGGGAGCTGGTTCGGGGGATGGCCAGGTCGCGGCATGGGTTGCTGCGGGGGCGGGTTTGGCGTCTCGTTGGCGTAGGGCATGTTGGGTGAGGCGGTGAAGGGGCCGGGCTGCATGTTCGGCGGTGGGTTCTGGGCCATTGGCATCCGGGGCGGTTGTGGGCTTTGCTGGGGTGGGACGCTTGGATCGTTGAGCGGTGCCGGTGGTTCATTTTGAGGGAATGCTCCGGGAGGCATTGGCTGTGGTGGTTGATTGTTCTGCATGCTCTGTGCTGGTGGTAGTGGTTGGTTCATTGAGAGGGTTTGCGGCTGCGGCATCTGCTGCTGGGGAAATACCTGTTGCTGCGGAGTAGGCGTCTGCTCCTGCGGCATGGATGACGGACCAGGGTATCTGTTCCCGCCGTTCAGCTCCTGGGACCCCGACCGCGCCTGCCCCCGTTGCGAGTCCCATCCTTCCGCGTCCCGATGCGCGGATGCGTTTCCGTACTTGGAGGCGTCCGCGGCGTCCGCGAGGATCTGGCCGTCCTGGATGTCGAGCACGGTGTCCGCCCACATCTCGTATTCCGCGCGCCAGTGAGCGAACACGGCTTCGTGGCCGGCTTCGGAGTAGCCTTCGAACTCCCACGAGTGCTCGTGTCGTAGCCCCCATATCCGGCGCGAGCTCGATTCGAGCTCGTAGGCTGCGGATGCCGTTTCCTGGGTATTTCTCTCTGGAAAGATGTCAGTGAATGATAGTTGGTGTGGGGGTGGGGGTGGCTCTTACGGGATTTTGCGAGGAAGAATGCTTTCTTGGTGATCTCAAAGTCCAGCGCCATACGGTGATACAACCTTGGGGCGGATTGTGGGGAATTTCTACGTCTTGCGCCCGGCTGTGGGGGCCCTTGTCCCATCATCACCGTGGATGGACTGCCGTTCTGATTGGCTGAGTACTGACCCTGTGGACCCTGCTGGGACATGGATTCTTGCGCCAGTGATAGATTCGACATGGGTTGCGAGCCTGGAAGCTGGCTTTGAGCCCCAGAGTATCCGTTCAGTCCCTGGTCTGCCTGGCTCATGTTCGAGGCGATATATGGAGTGTTCATCGGCATTTGTGAGCTTTGGACCGGCTGTGCGTAACCAGGCCGTGGAGACGAGGACTGAGAATTGGATTGGCTGGGTCGATTCGGCAAAGGCGGACGCATGAAGGCGTCTTGAGACTGATTCTGTGGGTTTTGACTGAGGATTTGGTTCTGTTGGAGTCGATTGGGGTCCTGTACGTTCGGCTGCTGGCCGTTCAATGCACCGTTCTGCAGTCTGCCATTGCTTCCTTGCTGATGCGAGATGTGCTCCGGAGGTATGTTGTCTGCGATGTATGTCATGACCGAGCTTTTGGGGTCCAGCATGAATTTCCGAAAGCCGCGGGTGTTCTGGTCTGCCATGATGGAGGTGCTGGATTTGCTATGTGGAAAAGGGAGTACCGGAGAGTAGGAGGTGGAAGAGCTGCTCGGTCGCAAAGTTTCTGGGGACCGAGGGCTTGAAGAAAAAGAAGAGCTCAAAACACCATGTATAGGAATAGGAGCTACTGAGCCGAGTGTAAGGGTTCCTTACCGCTGACTGTGCCTGGTCGCTACCTTAGGTAAGGTAAGTAAGCTGGAGATTTAGGGCTTACCGAAATTAAGCGAGAGCTTCATCATTCACAAGCGTGCACCCGGAGCGCGCCACTCATCTTGCACTTGCGACTCGTGTCAGCCGAGGCTGAATGCGTATCTGTTGGTTCCGCTATGTTGTAACTACGGGAATGGAATAGTTGTCGGCCTCAGCCTCTCGGGAGCTGTCTTCTCTCCCCAATCAGCAATCGCGCAGGCAGTGGACTTGGTAACCTGGAATGCGAATCAAGGAGAGATCGATAGTGCATTCTCAGGACATTGAACTGTTACAGGTACCAGAACATCAACACAATCTATCAACACCCAACTCCACTCACGCTCTCCCCCAATTCCTCCCCACCTCCTCACACCCAACACCTCATTTCAATTCAATTCAATTCAGTTTCAATTCTTCTTCCCCCCAAACCCACCAAAACTCACATTCTCGCTGAACCTCTCCGAGAATCCTCCCCCGCCCACCCTGCCCCCCTGCGCGCTGTGCGGCCTCGACCCTTGCTGCTTCTTCTCCTGCTCGTGCTTCCTGAGCTTGTCCTCGGTGAAGCTGCCCAGGATCGCTCCTCCGATCGCGCCCAGGAACCCGTGGCCCACTTGGTGGCCGCCGAAGCCGCCGGCGAGACCGCCCGTGATGGCGCCGCCGATGCCGCGCTCGCCGTCTTGGCCTTCGCTTTGGGGGTATTGGGGTTGCTGGTAGGCTCTGTCGTGGGCGTTAGTGGTGGGGCTCAAGTGGTGAGTGAGTGAGGGAGGGAGGGGTGCTTACTGTTGCTGCTGCTGGCCGTATTGTTGCTGGCCTTCTTGGCCGTAGGCGGCTTGTTGGTGGTTTTGTCCGTAGCGGGCTACTTGCTGGTCGTACTCTTGCTGTTGGTTATAGCCTTGCTGAGGGTAACCCTGTTGGCCGTAGGCTTGCTGGTTGTATCTCTGCTGGTTGTAGTTTTGATGCTTGGGCTGGCCTTGGTAGACGCCGTATTGGGATTGTTGGTTGTAGGGGTCAGACATTTTATGTTGAGCTGGGGATGTAATTTTTGGGATTGAGGACAGATTGTATGTCCGAAATGGTAGGTGATGGAACTTTAGGAGCTTTGTAGATTGGTCAACGAAATGAGATCAACGACTGCCCTTTATGCTTCTGCATTTTGAGCCACGCATGCATGTCAGCGTCTAGAGCCGTCGAGCCGATACTTCGCCTCTTCGGTAGAGGCTGACCAGTTGGTCGCTAGATCTAAGTAGAAGTGCCGTTTTTAAATCACGTCAGCTTGGTGCTTACGAAACGATTTGGTGGACGATCGAGATCTTGCTGCCTTTACCGAGAGGTTTGTTGTGGATGTTTTGCATGCTATCTGAGAACCGCAGTCCTGTGCAACCCTGATCCGGCCTGTTCTAGATTTTGACTATCTTTGGAACCGCGTCGGGGCTAATCTGTTCCCAGCCTCACCTCTCGTCTAGTTCTCCTGTCTCCATGTCCTGTTCTCTGAGCTTCAGTTCGACTCTTGTCCTTGCTACCCTTTGAATTCGTCCACTGACTGCGTGTTCCATCCTTGGACAAATCTCAATTAGCTTTCGGTTTCGTCGCCCTTCTCTTTCTCTTGACTCGGTACCATACGAGGAGCGTTCTTCGACTTTCGTTCTTCCAACAGGCGAGAAATCTTCCCCAGACATCCGGTCTTCGCCTCGAGTTCTGAATCCGGCTTGATGAAGCTGCCTCTGTACTCGAACTCTTCGAGCGAAGGACATCCGCGCACTAAGTCTGTCAATGTGCGGCAAATCTGGTGCAGCTCCTCATCTTTGCCTGCAGGAGCCAAGCATCGAGGCCAATCTCCGTTTACAGGCCATTCAAAATAATTGGAGACCCTGATGAACTTCAGTCCTAATACGTGACGCGCAAGCAACGTTGTCATTAATTGAAACTGATATTTATTGTTCTCGCCGCAGGGCGCGACGAATTCAATGGCTCTCAAGCTGGCAGCATTACCGGGTCCAATGCTGTTGAGGAAACATGCGAATGTGGAGTCTCTGAGTAGGAGGGGACCATCTGATCGCCACCGCCAATCCTTGTTATTGAATTTAAATACGTTTTCGCTTTGTTCAAGGATGCTGATGTTCCCACCGATTTCATTATTTGCTTCGTAAGGCACCCCGAACTGAAAAAGATTCTTGCCGTAGAGTACCTCTGTTGCTTCTTCATGGATGGCCCTGCAGGTGGATAGAATGGCAGGGTAGAGAGGAAATAAACTTGCTATTGGCCGGCCTCCTACAGTCCAGGTTTCTGGTGAGAGTATCACGGGTAGAATTGAACGTAGACCCTTGTATGATGTCTCGTTGGTTCGAGGTGAAGAGGCCAGGGGGGCTAAGAGGAAGTACCCGTAGATCTCGAGCCGAATCTCTGAATTTGATCTGTCAGCTACCTATCTGCAAGGCTTTCAAAGGTCGACCGACCTGTTGGCAGGCCCAAGAATCCCAAAGCGGTCTGCTGAAAGTCATAACTCTGTAGTGAGGAATGCTAAACTCCAGATCAGATACAACCTCTGTGGCAATTTCAAGGCCTGGTAGACTCACAGTGAATGAGGTTTCCGAGTCCACGGTACTGGTTGAAGAGTTTGACGCATTCGTAGCCATGGCGTACATTTCTGAGCTTGGATCTTTGATCAGAACGAGTCAGGTAGATGGAATGATTTCGTAGGGGAAAGTCGCCTTTGATGAAGGGGATAAATTTCACTGTCTTTGATTGCGACGTCGTAGCTCCTTACTTGTCTATGTCGAATGGTTGGGTGAACTCTTTCCACAGGTAGAACTTCCGGATAGTGGTTTTCTGAGTTGTGAGGCTTTCCAAATGTTTAGAGGCCTACTAGGACGTGAATAAGATTTCTTTTAGCAAGAGGTATGTTGAGTGAATCGAATCGAAAATGAGGTGAAGAGAAAGGGTGTTGTTGCAGCCAGTCGTAGTCAAGTGGGTGGTGGGGGTGAGAGGGTGTAAGATAGAGGGAGGATTTATGAATTGCAAATTAATTAAATAAGAATGCTTGGCAAAGCTGATTCAGCTCCGCCTCCGACTTTTTGTTAGCGCCATTCATGGAAAATTGTAGAGAACGTACTTGCCACTCTTGCAATAATAGCCACTGTCGTCTGCTACCTCAGTTGGACATTGGTGATATCGAAGCTAGTGGGTATACACGCTTTTCCTGGTATTTTGCCTCTAACTTAGTGTTGGAAATAATATAAAGGATTGATTGATTAGGTAGCTATGAGAGTGCTGAGTGGGCTACTTATACCCCTATTTGCCACCTGCGGGGTAGCTTCAACACAGGTGCTGCAGCAAATCTCAACACTTAGGCGTGTAATAGCCACATCGCCAGCCCTTACTCCGAACGCGATGCCATCATTTAGAAAGAATCCCTCTATACGCCAGCGTATCCAACTCTTACTCGAATTCCATTAGCGACCTGAAGCCGTAGCTGCGGATACCTGTTTTAGTATATCGACGGCGTATCGATGGGAGCGGAACCTTGCTATCTATGGTGACACCGTGATCCCTCGTGACAGGTACATTCATATATAAGGGCGATGCCGCAGTATCTCACCTGCTGCTTTAGACGCTCTTCTTGACTATGGTGGCCTCTTTCTGCTTCTTTAAGGCTGCTCTATCGGCTGTAGCTTTGGTCTTTGCCTGAGCAACTCGGATTTTCTCTTGTTCCTTCTTCTGCTGGGCTGTGGTAGCAGCAGTATCTTATCGCCCTGCTTATCCGCGAAAGAGACCCGCTTGGAGGAGGGGCGACGACGAGATTTAGAGGGTCCCTGATTATTGGTGGCCGTCTTAACCGTCTGACGAGAATTGACGGTATTCCGAGGCATTGTAATACCACCGTATTCGTGTTTGGGCTATATAGAAGCTTCAAAAATATGGAGTAGGCTGGTATAAGAGTGGTAAGTACGTTCTCTATAATTTTCTATGAATGGCGCTAACAAAAAGTCGGAGGCGGAGCTGAATCATCTTTGCCAAGCATTCTTATTTAAATAGATTGGACCTGAGATCTGGGAACGAATTCTGATCTTCAAAGCGCCAACCAAGCCAGGGTTAAGACGAAGTGAGTCAGTCACGAGAGCATTCTCGATATGACTCTCGGTGCTTTGAAGAGGGAGCGTGCAAGGTGGTACATCGAAGCAGCCGAATTAGGAGTCTAAGAGTTTGGAGACATGGGAGAATCCATCTCTGCTCAGGATTTTTCTCGGGGAAGAGCATTTTTCAGTCTAGATACCTTGAAGGAAGGAGCGTGTAAGGGAATTTCGTATCCAAGGGCACTGATTCTAAGGTACAAGTGTACAATGATGTCTTCGCGCTCTCGTGAAGCCCGTCCACTTAGATGGCGCCATTCTCATTTTTTGTACCAGAGGTACCAACACTCAGTCCTAGCAGTGCTCTCCGGCCACGCGTTCCTAACGCCTAGCCTTGACAAGTGCCTCCAGTTGCTTCATTCCCTCAAGTGCCGGAACATCCTGATCGAATCCAGCAAAGCTCAATTGATCCAGCCAGGTAATCTCTTGAACCATATCTGCTGTGACTTTGTACATCGCTTCCTGCTCCTTTCGGCGAACAGCAGAAGGGGGATGATAGTGCCCTGACTTGCCTTGATCATCGAAGTCCGCATCATTTGAAACTATCTCGGTTTGCTTGGGAGCGGACATCTGAGCCTGAGATTTGGTGGTGTGATCAGAGTCATTTTCCCCAAAACCTTCCAAGCCATCATCAACCAATTTTGAGGGTTCTTTTTCATATTGATCCTGGTCAACAAGACCACGGCAAATCTTGACCTGACGAATGCCTGGAACATGACACTTGAGCAGTTGTGTGAACACTTGGATCGCGCACCCTGCTAGTTGAGTGTGTGCGCGCTCGTAGACCTCCGGTCTGAAGAACTTTAGCCCTTTCAAGCTTGCTGCATTCTGTTGCCCGATGTGTCATAGAAAAATAGCGAAAATTGAACTGTTCAGAGCATCAATAGGGGTCTCGTTCCAACCTTTGTAACCAGGGTGCGATGTTCCGTCTCCTCCTCCGAGGTAGAATTGGAAAACGTTTCCGCTGTACAAGATCGGTGTCGCCTCTCGGGGAATAGGCTTGCAAGTTCGAAGGATGTGTGGAGTAGGACCTATGCTGGCACAGTTACTGCTACCGGTGCGCTTGGAGACGATCGTTTTCCATTGGTCTGCATCCCAGATGGGCTTCATCTCGAGCATGACGCTTTCCGAGGCTTGTCTCGCCGAGACTGTGGATTTGGATAAGACGGGAGTGCTATGAGAAGTTAGCCGTAGACTTGTAGCCAGATCTCTGTAAGAATCAGAACGAAGTCATTAGCCTTTATTGTATGCCCGATGTAAGGACAAGTTGGAGACTCACCAAGCGCGAGCTGCATGAAGGGGAAGTCGCTCAGCTCTGTGTCTCTTGAGACAGCCGGGCCCGCCATGTTTGGTTCCATAGCGACGTCTTGGAACGTATCACGAGAGGTCACGCTGGAATCTATGTCGGCGTTCCCCTTCGATTCGGCGATGACTGGAGGTTGAGACACGTTGTCCCAGGGTTATCGTAGCGTGCGGGGGCTGTCAATGGGAAGAGGGGAAGGGTTGGAAATGATATGAGTGATAGATGAAGCGGTGACTTGAGTCAAAAGTGTTGACAGTAAGGCAGGGTTCTGTATTGTTGGTGGGACAGCTTGCCGTGAAAAGTAAATCAACGAAAAAGCTATGACCCATGAAGTCAAAAGCCAAGCAGGGAACCGTTGCCAAAGCCCGATGACTATGTCCGATGTAGGCATGAATGGTAGAAGTACAATGGAAGGGGTTTCAGGGACTTGGTCTATCGCAAATATGTAGCGATCTAAGTCCAATTGGCTATGGGAAGTTGAACTATCGATCCCCTGGCCAAGAACGACCACCCTTTCTACGAACAAAGGCAACCGGGGCACAGCAGAGAGATTGCTGACTTTCAACAATCATATAGAGTACAAGACTCCGAATACGACTGTGAACGCTGTATTTATTTGATAGATGATTGGAATAATGGGTCGGCAACGCCTGGAAACATGTGGAAACAGCACTCTCGACATTGCCTTTCAGGCCAATCGGCTGCGTTATAGGACGGTACGAAAACACTGTTGAAGAGGACGAGGTTTGTCGTCGAGCCAGCCTCCAGAACAAATCTTCTACAAGGCCTAATCTACAGATCACACCTGAACGATCACCTACCGCACTCGCTCGCCCGGACCCTCAAACCCGAAACCCTACGCCCTTCACTACCTTACCAAGCCTCCTCTCCTTCTCGAAACTTCACCCACGCATCCTCACCCCTCGTCTTCTCTCACGTCGCAATCCCATCTTAACCATTTCCGTCTACCATGCTCGAGTCCTGCAAGCTCACTCACTCCACTTCGTCCATGAATTTCTTCAATGCTTCGGACATTGGCACGGCGTCCCCATCTGTGCGATACCCAGCTCTTTTGCTTCATCGGCTCGTACGGTGGGTTTCGCACTTCAGTAGTGAGCGCAGCGAACACACACGCACTCATCGAGTGCAAAACCGACGTTGGGATCTCTGCCACTTCTGCTCTCCGAAGTCCAAGATGTCGGGACTCAATCTCTCGGTCGGTGTGCCAAAATATGAGCCGGCTGCTGCTCTGGGGAACAGGTATGTAGATTAAAACCATCCCCATGATGAATCGAAGTCTGATGCACAGCGTCACACGCTGCGAGTGTCTCCGGGACGATGTTGTGGCTTGATATATGAGGAGAGGAAGACTCATGTCGGCGTGTGCAGCGACTCGTCTGGTTGTTGTCGGGCGAAGCATTCCTGCCTCGACCATCGACACCTTGCACGGCTCGAAGTGGGGAACCCATTTGAGAGCCATTGGAATATACCCCCCAAAAAAAACAAGATGTCAAGCCCGCTTCCATCCTTACCCTTACCACCACCACTCAATTAGCGAATCGAAGAACCCGAGCCCTTTGACCGAACACGGCTTCTGCGTCTCAGATCTGGAAAGAGTCCGCCGCCTTTGATACAGGTGCGATACGACATATCCACGAAAAAGAACATGAACAAAATAATGCACAGATCGCAGCACACCCCCGTCCTCCGAACCACTACCGTTGCGAAAACGATGCTCCTCCGCCCGATGGGCGCGGGGAAAGAAACCACGTGGCACGTAAGCAGCAGACGCGCGCGGGGTGAAGGATCCGGAGTGCGGGATTTTCGACTTCGGCTGAGGGACGGACTTGATCGTAGGGATATGAGATGGATGGGCCGCTTGCGATGATACGGTGGAGCGTTTTGATGGGAGAAGGGTGGCGGGAAGGGATGGGTGGTGAGTTGTGGTGTGAGTGCGTGTGGAAGAGGAGGGTATGTCTGGTTTCGGATTCGGACAAGGGAGGACGGTTTGAGGCGTTGATGGGATCTGAGATGTACTGGAGGCGGGGTGGAAGCGGATGGGAGGGAGTGTTTAGGGGTTGGTTTTGAAGAGAAAGAAATGTGGCCCCTTGAGGGCGTGGCGAGTGCAGTGGATGGTTCTCTCACAGAGTGGTGGGACTTTAAAGATACAGTATATTATATATGGCTATGTACTAGTACAGGCTGTGAAAAATCGCTCAAAACGCCATAACGATGCTGTGGCCTCTCACATGGTGGGACTGTATCTACTGAACTCCCGTAGTTTCTTCCCATAGATGAAGAACAGGATGGGCATGGGCAGGAAGGCCACGGTCAAGAAGCCAAGGAGACTGGTCGCCCAGTCTACGCCCAGTTTATGGTACATGGCGACAGCGAATAGGGGGAATCCTCCGCCGGCCACAGATCGCACAAGGGTGTTGGCGGCGAGGGCGCTGTTCGCGTGCATCAGGTAGACGTCGATGATGTAGCTCAACCCTTGCAAAAAGATCAGGAGTACCCCTGCTCCGATGGGTATACCGGCGATGGCCTGCGGCACCCAGGAGACATGCGGGTTTGAGGTCCAGGCGAACCAGAAGAGGCCGATGGGTAGCAAAAAGGCTCCTACTATCATGGGGACCAGTCTCTCTTCGGGTATCGGCTTGCCTCCGTTGGCTTCCATCTTCTGCTTGAAACGGGTGTTGGATGTGTACACAATGATGGCGACACCGATGATGACCCCGATGGTGATGCCGAGGAAAGGGAGTGCGCCGACACCCCCGTTCCATCCTCGGATCTCCTGGAATGCGATCGGGTACGCTTCAAAGAAAAGGTATATCATTCCGTAGATGAAGGCCATGTAGAATGTGATCAGAACGAGAATGGGCTCGAGCGCCAGCATGATAAAAGGACGCAAGAGGTATTTGTTGACGATCTCCTTCGTGTTGATTTGGTTTTCGTCTGCCGGTGCATGTATTGCCCAGTTCTTCGACTCAAAGCGTATCTTTGCGGCCTTGCGCTGTAGCAGTACCGGTGTATACGACTCTGCGCAGATGAAATAGGCTATTGTCCCAAAAAAGGACGACATGATCAAGGTAATCCAGGCCGTCCATCTCCATCCAAGGTAGCTCTGCGTGATGAAGCCGCCAACAATAGGTCCTGCCACTGGTCCAATGAACGTAGCGCCTGCGAAGAGACCAAGAGCGAAACCTCTCTCAACAGGGCCCCAGAAGTCCGCCAGTGTTCCTCCTATTATCGCCAATGGCGAGGACCCGAAAAACCCACCCAGAAATCGGGATAGCATAATTGTTTCGACGTTTTGGGCTACCGCGACAGGGATTTGAAAGATGGCGAAGACGAAGAATCCGAAAAAGAGAGGAATTTTTCGACCATAGAGTTCGGAGAAGGGTCCCCATACTATTGGGCCGACGGCGAAACCCTGTTGTCTGTGTCAGTGTTGGATGGATGATGCTGGGAAAGGCACTTACAAAGACGAACAGGCTGGTGCCCAGCGTCATGACTTCGGTGGACACGCCGTACTTCTCGGCTGTAACCGCGGTGGCGGTGCTGAAGACGCTGCTAGCGAATGTGATGCAGAAGGTCATTGAGGCATAGAAGACGGTGACGGTGTATTTCTTCGATTTCTTCCAGTTGTGCGGGTTCTCCGGGTCGTTTGGCCCGTCCCAGCCCACGACATTGTTCTCCCATTGTGCTTGTCTTGTATCCTCGCCGTCTTGGTTGATTTGGTCCTGCTCTTCTTTCGCACCGGTTGCTCCCTTTTCCAAATCACGAGATGAGTCATTGCTGGCTCGGTCGGCCTGGTGGGTCATTGTGGTGCGTCGATACTGGTTCTCGCCGTCTCCAATGGTGGAGCTGCTGTTCTGCGCCAGTGGCGTGTCCTTGTGGGCTCTCAAGTCGTGCTTGTCTTCGTCTTTGATCGTGTCACTGCTGCCATGGTATCCGGCGTTTGTCTCCCCAGGTATTGTGATTCCTCTCTGCTCGTCTCGCAAGGTATCACTGCTCCCTCGCTCAGCTGACTGCCTTCCCTGAATGCCATCTGTAACAGTGTGATAGCCGCCGTCGATGACTGGATGTATCCCGTTGTTCGCTCCCGCTCCTGGTATAGCCTCGTCAGCATCTCGAAAGTCATCGATGCTGGCTCGCTCGGGAAAGAGATCTTGAACAATGCGCCTAGATTCTTGGTGAGGGAGAGTTCCCTGAGAGCTTGGGGGAGCTTGCATGAGGGAAGGTTAGCCGGGTAACAATTACTTCTTCTAAATCTTTTATTATTTGGGGGAATTTTGCTCTCTATTATTACCAAAAAGAAGGGAGGAGATTATTGAAGCAGGGAAGTATGATATTTTGTCTACCTATATTTTATAATCTCATGAGATATATGTACAGAGAGAATGAGTGAATAATCAATTTAAAAAAGGAGTCTGACACATACGGACACGGACACGGACTGGATAACTTTGACGATTGGTGGATGAAGAAAAAGATACAACATCAATTCACATTTGCAATCCGAGGCATTGCGTCACCACGCAATCACTACGCCAAGGTAAAGTACGGGTAATCCGGCCTTCGGGACTTATAAGTGCCGACTAATCTTACGCTTTATCGCCGAAAGGTCCGGCTAGCGAGCGTGACATGGTGCAGGGAGAAAAAGAGTGTCTGGATGAAAGTTGCTACATTACTTTTTATCATTCCGGAATGTAAGATAATGTACCCTGAGCATCCCATCTTTGGTGTGTCATAGCTACAAGAGGTCTAGCAACAACGGTGGAGGTTGCAATCTCAGCTGCAAAAGCTAGAGCTGACCCGGTGATATCCACTGTCCCTCAATACTTCCTCTACAACATCCCTTCTTTCATTCCGTAGGATCAAAGCCTTTGCCGAAGATATCGGCTTTCCCTGCCGTCTCGACAATCTCCCCAAGTATGTATGAGTACAACATATCCCTGCCAGAGCTATACTCGCGAGACTGTAGTCGCCCAGCTAGCATCCTCCCTCAACTTCGTCGCCTTAAAATCGGAAAAGAATTTCCAAAACTCCTCAGGAGTAAATAGATCAGCCCACTCGACCTTCTACGAATTTGACCCAGTTGAGTCCTGATGCTCTGTTGCCGCTTGCCACATTTCTGTGATGGCTCCCGACTGTGAGCTTCGACCTGGTGTGGCGTGATGTATTTCCCATCATTGAACAACCAAGACTGATCCCATCTTCTCATCCAAATCCAACTTCGGACATTTGACCCAGAAGAGACCTGCTACTTCCATGTTCTTGTACCTATCCTTTTCACCGTTGTCTTTTCAAGCAGGGTGCGGAGGAGTTTGCGGACTCGAAGACGCACGCCAACCATTTCTGTCTCAATACAACATGGAGCTCTGCAGCTTCGGTTTGCCAGTAACACACTAGGCGGCGTACCAAGCTTTCTCTGCAGCCATGTTTCCCCTATCATCTCGTACGATGCTGGCCAAGACCTGACAGATGGTGTCTTTGCAGCGATCCATGCTCACACCTTACCCGCATCCTTTCCGCTTCATCATTCACAGCGGTGACGATTTCACTTCCTCTCAGAGATTCACACAAGGGTTCGCGAGGGCGAAAAGCCTCTTTCCTCTCCACCTTCCCATCGTCTCTACAAATCATCCAATGCGTACCTGAGTCCTTCCTTCCAGACGTCGACACGCTTCCACCAGTGTCACCGCCGGGGGATTACTAAACTACTGGCAAGTGCTGGATTAGACTCACAGCAAGAAACACAGTCTCTCCTGATCGTCCGTGTGCCCATGGCCTTGGATGGCTCGATGATGTTTTCAGCTACAACTGGTGACGTAAAGTCGCTTTTTGCTTGAAGCGATCAGTACCCACTTACCTACCTCTGTGTGAAAGCATCGCGATGTCCAGCAGACCGGCTCGCTCCATGCATCTCCCGCTCTCTTTCGCATCGTCCCAAACGCTGCTCATGCGTGCTCGATTCTCTCTGAAGAGTCGATGCGGTCTTGCCACTCTACGCTACCTTTTTCTTGTAATCCTTGTTACGCTCTCCCGTCATTTGAACTGGTGAGGTAAGACTTACGCTTCTCTGTCCTGGAATTCGGTTCCATGAAAGATTTGCAGCGCTGCAGTAAAAGCACTGTGTTAGTTATCGTTTAGAGAAAGTTTTTCTCCATGCTCAGATTCGGACATCCTTGCTGATCTCTACTCGGATTTCTGTTGTTTTACAAATAAATACGCCTTTTGCGCTCTTTTGGTTGCTTCGATGAATTTGTCACGGTCTTGACAATATGAATGGCAAAGAAATGTTAGGGGTGACAGAGCTATTCGGGCAATGGTCGACTCCACTTGGGCTATGCTTCCCTCGGCTATGAGAGGTTCCTCAAAAGTACCTATCAGAATTACACACGTCAATCTTTCGAGCGCGCTCTGGTTGATTACGACCTCTTCTCTACCTAGCCTTGTGTCGCAATCTACCTCATCGCACAGGCTTTGCAATGGGTGCCAGTGCAAGTGATAACTCACTTTGATTCCAAAGCGAGGATTGGAGGTCTGGTGGGTATGCGGACGCCCAAGGAGACAACGTGGCTGGGCCTTTCTTGTCAATAGAATCGCGCCTGATCCAGGCTATTGCCCGAAAAACCTCCATTGACATTCAGTCGATCGCTTAAACGGGTAGTTGAGCTCTACGATAATTTTCACATGTACCTCAGAAGCAGAAAGAGGAAGGAGTCTCTGACTTTTAGAGCCGAGATCGCAAAGACTTTCCTCGACTTTCATTTGTGTCTTCATTCTTGCCAATGATTCCTTCCGAGTGAGTCCGCAAACGCCTACGGTGGCATGCACCATGCTCGGAAACACAGCATGGGACCTGAGGGATACCACAGTCCTCATCTTGTTGAACGATACGCCGCCTCTGTCCCTCACCGACTTTTCCTTTGGCGAGCTTTTCTATGTTTTCCTCTTCCTCACAACGTCAGCTAATGGCCTGCTAGCCAGAAACTCATCACACGCTGTGCTCTGTTTTTTGAGGCAAGCTGACTTCTGTACCGACCAGAGCCCCCCTTCAGCCACGATCATCAAGCAACCAATCCCGTCGCGATGATATGACTCCGGCGACAACAGGCCTTTTTGCGGTCCCTTTTATTCAGTTTCGCGGATGCAAGCTGAGTACCGTACAAGGCCTTTCGCCGCCAACGCTGTCCTAGTGCCCCCTCAAGCGCATACCTTCAAATCTCGCCATCGTGCGCCCGGTATGGTAGTGTCAGGGTAAGTTCCTGAATGTTACCTTCAATATCAGCATCCTGTGAACTAAATGACAAACAACGTACAGCTATTCGTGAAGCTTTCGGACTCGCCTGCCCTGCTAAACCTCCGAACCAGCGACGATCTGAACGATAAACCTGCTGTCATCGCCGCCATGAAGAGAACTCTAAGCAGTATTCAACCGAGCGCTCATGGATGAAGGGTCCCTCACCTATTGTCAGTACGCGTCTCACCATATACGTTCCCCCAACTATCTTGCCATTCTCTCGTGCGAGTTTTGAATCACGGGTATACTAGAAGATGCTGCCAGACTCTCTTTGGAGAATTCACGGTGGGAGAGCGAAGGTTACATTCATGCTCTTAGGGATCTCTCTGAGTTGAGTGAAGACTCACACTACGGCCTCTATCACATATCTTCTTGCTTATTGACATGACTTCAACGTCTTCAAGCACTATCTTACATGTTTTGGCTTGCCATGGAAAGCCACAGGCAGCTCCAGTGGTCAGAAGCACCGCCGCAAGGTCTGTCATTTTGATGTTGTGAGCGATTTTACATGCTGATGCGAAAAGCCTCATGAATGCGGGAACGAGGCTCTCCTCTTCCAAGTTGCGATTCTGATATGCCGCAACTCTCTTCAGATTACTCAACGAGAACCTGTCTTACGTTTCGCACACGTGGACATATAATTGGCATGTGAGATATGGCGAACTTTGGAAGCTGAAGCGCAGTCACCGTGAGCATTTCTCGGCCCCAGACTCAATACGTTCTATTAATTACACAGATTCTGTTTTAAAGCATGCTGTCCTATGGACTCTTCATGGCCAATGCAGAGATGTAATGACGCCAAGGCAATCATGTTTCCGGATGATCCGAGTATGTGAATGATCGAGTCAGCTTCGTTGATATGTATCATGAGAGTCCTCTGAAACATGGACAAAGACAAGAATGCACATGAAGTGAACCCCACCCTTGAGCGATTTGCAGCTAATCCTGTTTGGAGAGTTCTCGGTGCTACCGAACTCGTATCTCAAGTGCAGGAGTTGTACCGCATCAAGTGAACCGATCACGGACAACTCATCGAGGAACGTGCGAGCATGTTTGTCGAGGATGTCGCGCATGCCCTCGTTGCACCATGGCCCAATTTGCAGTTGAATGGGCAAAGGGTGTAAAGTTCGATTGGACCATGGATCGGTCACGACTAGGTACCACAGCCATGTCCACGGGGACGCAAGGACCGCCCGGACAAGCCACACAAGGAGAATCTGGAGGCGAATTCCGTGCTTCAGATCTAATTTTCTCCCACCCGGATCTTGAAGAATCATATGGCACTGGAGACATTATCTTCGCAAGCAGGGAAACGATATACCGTGAAGTGTGCTCCTTCTGTCGCCGAGTCGCGGATTATGCTATTCTCAAGGGTAAAGCCACAGCAAGGGCCAATCTTTCCACCTGTTTCCGAGCAACGGCTCTGTACTGGTGGTTGAACACTCTTTCTCAAGATGAGAAAGATACCATCAAGGAGAATTCTTTCGTGGATCAACTTCGTCTTTGCCTTACGTTCAATCTATTGGCGTGCATCGGATGGCAAAGGCCGCCGCTGATGCCTTTGCCCTTCAGCTCGCGGAGCTCGTTGCTTCTTCTCGCTCGGAGCTGACAAGGAGGGATGCGGTGGAGGGGGTGAGGTTCTGCATGTAGCCCCCGGTGCAGATGCCGGGATGGACCTGGGCAAGCACACGGTGAGATAGCCCTTTCAAAGGGGTATAGCAAAGTCTTCAAGAGTCTACCGAGTTGTGCTCTCATGGACGTTCGAAACACTCCAAACAGCCATGGATTCGCAATCGACGACAAGACTTGTCCCACGAAAACTAGGACTCTTCTAAATGGGACAGAACCGAAGGAATTTTGCGGAAGGCACTATTGTCTCTGCCTGCCAGCGAAGCATGTAAGGAAGGAAGACAAGGACAGGCCACA